TCTCGTGAATTTCACCTAATGGATAAGACTGACAGGATTAGTCACGCCTCAATGCACATGACACCTGTGATTGTTAACCGTCAACTTTGGGGTACTTCATTATGCAACTGTTTGTTTTAGCTTAAAATATAAACACACAATTAATTTTGATGGCAGTTAACTAGAAAATGTATTTTAGAATATGGCTTGGATGCATTTATTATCATTATCTACATATATTTAAATACTGTTATTTTAATAGATCGCATAAAACGTCTGTTAGAATAAAGATTTGTATTGTTTGGGTGGACTGACACTGCATTAATTCATTTCAATTGGTACTCGAAATATTTTTACAAAAACTAACTAAAAGATAGTACTTTAATTAAGCATGATAGCTTAATACCAGTTTTCATGCACCTTTGATCAATATGTCTTAATTTATTTATAAAACGTAAACATGACAGCATTCTGATAATTCATAAAGTTTAGTGCATGATCATACCCCGTAAATAAATTTTTGCGGTATAGTGCAACCGCAGAAAATACCCGTTATACGGTATATGTATGTATGTATATATATATATATATATATTAAAATTCTTTATAATAAATTCATGTTATTCATTGTTATTATTGTCAGCCGTTTTTTTTCTTGTAAAATAGATACATTTGAGGTTAAAATGATTGCTTTCTGTATGCACTACCAGTGCAGTAATATACGCAGAATAAATTTCTAGGAAACTTAAATGTAGTTTTTCTTATAAAATATCTGTTCTCTTGTAATCGTTTATCGTGTAGACTATTGTTTTGAAACCAATGTGGAAGTAAACAGGTTAAGCAACTTAACACCTAAGCTTAATCTGTTTAGAAATGAGACGTGTTTAGAGCTAAACGCGTAAAAAAAGTGAACAAATTATGTGTTTAGGGAACAAACAGGTATAGCAACTAAACATATGAAGTCTTAACGTGTTTAGAAATGAGTTATGTTTAGAATTAAACGTGTAAAAAAAAGATAAACAAATTTGGAGTTTATTTTAGTTTTGTGTTTAGGATCTAAACACTGTTTTAACAGTGTTCTTCTCTTCAAAACCTAGTGCCGAGATTTTGTGTTTTTGAAGTGTACCAATAATTTGATGAAGATGTTTACATGGATCACATACATCTTCTGCACAGTCACTGCACCGACTCCGCCTTAATTTTTTTGTCAACCCGTAAACAAATTGCACAGGATTTATCCTCAATTTTTCACCACTTAAACTTGTCAGTGAGTTGACCAAAATGTTGGTTAGAAAATGTTTAACCCATTCATTCACAACAATCCCTGATTCTGATCGACCCGTTACACGACGACAGACAGGACATTCAAAGTCAACTTCTCTGGATCTTTCCCCATGCATGGGGGCTCTAGATATAAAAGTCTGCAGGCATTTTTTCCCAAAAAGTATGAGAACAAGGCACACGTTTTGGTCTGATGATCTCTTCCAAACAAATCGGACAACTATAAATAGTTGGATTTACTTTGAGTATACCCTCCACCATTATGAATTTCACAATTTTGATGAATGAAATCAGGGTAATTTCGGTTTGGAGAATGATGAACAAAAAATAGGTCGCGGGCGTGGCGGAGTGGTTAGAGCGTTTGCTTTAGAGTCGCGAAAGAAGGAGTTAATCCTTACGTCGCGGGTTCGAATCCCATTGCGGGACATGGAGACCGGTCCTTCGGAGAAACCGAGGCCCTGTGTCATAGTAGATGCTGGCACGGAAAAGATCCCTCACTGATCAATTGCTCTGAGTGCCGAATATAGGTCTAATATTTACAGCCCTCCACCGGCAAGTGGGATGATGTCTCAAACGAGTGAAAAACTCTCGAAAGGGATGTTAAACAAAACAAACAAAAATAGTTACATCTTATAGATTTCTTTACTCCTTTTATCAGCCTTTCAATTAATAACATAAATCATCGGTATTTGAAGAACATGTACAAAAAAAAAAATTTGTTTACAATGAAAATAATCAGAGGGAACATGGTAAGATGTAATTTCATTCATTAATACATTTTACAAACACCAAACATTAAATCCATTTTATACTTAGTCATTTATTTTCATTTTACACTGCCTTAAATATGTTTTTCCTTCTATTTCAATATTAGCACAGATTCACATTATGTCACGACAAAAATTTAAATATTGATAGAAGTAAATATGAGCTGATTCATTTTTGTCCGACATATTACAATCCCTATCCTAGATGAAGATGCAATATCTGTATAGATCAAGAGGTTTTCTGTTTGTTAGTTAAACATTTGGATACGTATTCGGTAATAGGGAAATTCTTATTCGAGACTGCCATTGTTTGCAAAATATGTGCAGATATATTTGCATTAATTGATATGTTATTATAATTAAACAATACATGTACCAGAGATGTTGAATTTGTGAATAATAATGGTTTTATGACAAATCACATTGTATTTTGAAGGCGAGTTTCTTCGTCTTCGCCGCGTACCCCTTCTTATCGTCGCTTTATTTTACCGTGTTTACAGATTTTACGAATTTTCCTCTGATGACATTTCAAGCATATAAAGTTTGATCTCCAACCTCATATCGATAAATCAGTGATCTGGTCGTGAGAGAACCTCGTTTATATCGCGTATATTTAAGTAAGATTAAGGTAAACAACTGCTCAGCCATTGTCGCCTATGACGTATCAAGGTCACGTGATCGCTATCTAATTAACTCTGATATTCGATTCAGGGATTTTTATTTGAGTCAAATAATGTTTAATTAACGCGGTATATCCGCACTAAAACACAAATTTTATAAAACTGTGATCGGAATAAAGGAAAGTAATACGCTTTTAATTATAAGTAATTGAGAAACATGCGATAAGTCCTTTAAAACATGTATTTGGCCAGTTCATGGTTTTCCCCAAAACTATGCTCTAGGAGATGCGTACATTTCGACAGCCAGGCCAACAAATCACTCAAGTGTAAAAAAAAAATACATCAGGGTTTATATAGCGGGTACAGGTACTCAAAGAAATATGGCGGAATCAATAAAATATATGGCGGAGAAGGGCGTTCAGAAATAAAGTAATTCGTACAAAGATGAAATATAATGCATATTTAAGAGTTCATGTGATCATGAGCTTTCATATTCAAACCAGTTAACACACATTATATCATGAAGAAATATGTACAGTGTAGGATATACATGTAAATAAGTATATATATATATAAATAAATGTACACGTAATTTCAAAAAGATGAATAAATGAGAAAATAAAATTGGAAACTTAAGGACACATACACATGTAACTGTTTTTAAGATTTATAAGATATGGTTCTTAAAGTTTTTTTTTTTTTTTTTTTTTTTTTTTGAATAATAATTGGAAAACTTCAGATACACATAAAAGTCGATATTTTTAGTTTGAAAAAGGTATTTGTTTAAACAGTATCATTAACTAATGACCAATCCAATTCATTAAAAACGTGAAGTCATGAAATTGATTATAAATTAAATATTATTCACCCATTCCATTTGTTATTAACCTCTACTCTTAGACATACTTTATTCATTTAAATACCAATAAATTGTTGTTTTTATATAACTATTTACGAAATCATAAAAAACATTACTCTATTGGACGCTAATTTAATGAAAAAATAATAAATTTAAGAAATTTCATGAACTTTTTTAAAATCTTGCATTATTCAGGTTAGTGCAGTTAAATTTTACATGTATTCCCCTAGGAGGGCCACTTTATCACCCCACATGATGACATGTTTTGGCGAGTAGACATTTGGGGAACACAACCGTTAAACAACTAAATCAATCAACCATTTCATCAACAAAACTTGAAAAATATATTGCTTTAATGATTCCACATTGTGAAACAGCACATACGTAAGTTTACATCTCAGATAAAACATAAAATGAAGAGTGATTAGGTAGTGAACGTTTTGAATAAACAATCCCATACATGTGTCACATTTTTAAAAAAAAATATTTTCTGACAGAAGAAATTCCACAATCTGATTTCTCGTACAAGTAAATTACTAAAATGTCGTTTATTAGATATCAAATACCTTCCAATCTGCGGCATCTCAAATGTTATAAAGTATCAAGCGATCTATCAAGCGATTCGCCAGTAGAGATACTTACTTTCTGTGATAATTTTTGTATAGTTTTCGAAATTGAACTTGTCTAGAATTACATTTATTTCCATAATTTTTGGAAAGAACATTCAGTTCAGAATTATTTCCTGTCTGCATATACATGAACAACATACCGGACTACATCTTTCACAAGGTGCAGTGACATTTCTTTTATTTAAGGCTAAACAAAAAAAATATGTTTGGTTCCGGTTACACCTCCAAAAAAAATAGGGTAGGTAGGTAGGGTCTTTTTTTAACAAAATGATTTTCTTAATTTTTCTAAATAATACCTATCACTCCTTTGCAAGTGGCATTTAGATGTGGTGTGATAATATACTAGTCAATATTGGTAGGGGACACCTACATGTTAGCTTGCTTTGGATTTAACACTATTAAACACTTGCACTATGTTTTGCAAGGAGGCCGTCATTGCTGAAACTAAAACTTAAACCGGAGCCATTGATAGAAATCTGGGAAAATTCCGGAAAAATATATGAAAATTGCCGAAAAAAATTTAGGGTCGGGGGTATAAAATAGGGACGGTTGGGTAACCGGAACCACACATATTTTTTTATTTGGCCTAACAAGAAATTATTCCAAACGCCAGTTCCTTGAAAACTAGACTGGTTTTATATCACACGCAAAAGACCTGCATTGCTGAAACATTTACATTTTTACAGATCATACACTGAACTTGAAAATTGGAGAGAAAAAATCTAACAAATATATTCTATATTATACAAAATCAAAAAGTGACTATACGTACTTTTACAATGTTTGTTTTCTCCAGGTACGTGTATATTATGTATGTTATTAAATTAAACTAATTAAAAGTATTTTTTTTTTAAATTACAGAAATTCAGCTATCAAGCGTATAGACAATACACTTCATTCCATCAGCATTAAAAAGATCATCATATGCTTGATTGAAAAACATGAAATCGCCCAAAGGACAATTTGATATAAAACACCGACCACTACTACCGTCATGCGCAATTTGAAGAACTTCGCCATTTTTCAGATGTACATTTGGTGTTTCTCCGCAATTTTCACAATTGTTATAAGTAAATTGGCGACTATTGTTACAAACGGCGCCTTTGTCAGATAAAGAATAATTTCTACATATAACTTTTCTATTACTCCCTACGCGCCTACAGCTACCACATGATGCAGCAAAGTTTTCACACCTTGGATATTTCCAATACAATGAGTACATATTATTCTTGGGATCAAATAACAAACAGTGAAGGATGTCTTTATCTTTTTGTTGATGCCGAAATATTTCCTCTCCAGTGATTGAAAAACAAACCACCTCATTATTTCCTCCCACAATAGCAAGCCGGTCACAGGTATTCGACAGAGCCAGTACAGGAGCCGTTTGTGGATTCTGGAAGGTGATTGTGTTAGTAATTGATAATATAGGGGAAAGTGAAAAGATAGTCACCTGAGTTGTGGATGCTATTACGATCCTGTTATGTTCCTCATCTACATCAAAAACGCAAAAATCCTGCTTTAGATCTATTTCTCTGATACAAGTGGCACTTGTTGTGCCTTTTATGTTTTTTATCTTCAACTTTCGAATTTTGGACAGACAGCTGATGTAAAATGTATCTCTTGTTTGTCCGGAACTTAAAAAAGGGTTTCCTGCTATTTCCAAAGGAGGATTACATAGCCTTGAAGTTCCATCGGCAAGGTTGTAGAATAGCAGGGAATTTGACGAAGAAATCATTGCAAGTGTTTCACTGTTTATAAATATGCCTTGTTGTGCTGGAGTAGGAAGCTGAAATTCCAATTTTTTCACTGCTTTTAGAGAAAAGGGGTTTTGTAAATTCTCAAACATTGCTGATGTCTTTTCTTTATCCATGTTCTCAAAGATCGGAAATGCTGAAAAATACTTTGACAAACTCCAAATATTCCCTGATGGTCTTGTTAACAATGTGACGTCATCTATTTTATCGTGCTCACAAATCTGTTTTAGAATGGTTGTGTGATCGTGTTCATAATCGTACTCTTCGTCTTCTGCGTTTCTTGCTTTGTAATGTTCAAACTGTTGGTCTACATCTCTCAATATCTTTAATGCGCACAGAAACGTTTGCTTACTGGAGTCTCCCTTTTGAACTGCAGAAAGAAGGGTCCCTCCGTTTTTGACAGTTAGGAGGTATTGCTTCATGTCAAAAATGCATTGTTTGAGTTTCTCCTCAATATCGTCATGCTTCTTCAGGAAGGATTTTTCAAACTGTTGCTGTAAGTCATCGAATTTAGTTTTAATATTCGCAATTTCTGTGGATACGTTCTTCAGAATTTCTTCCTTTTTGGCATTGTTGCGCAATATTTCATTTTCCTTGTGTACTGCAGTTTCTTCTATAATCTTTGATAATTTTGAAAGAGCGTCAATATTCCATTCCACGACTGATTTGGGCATATTTTTAGAAACTTCATCCAAAGCTTCCACATGTTCACAGTGTCTATGTTGCGTTGCAAAGCAAACGCTGCAGCAAAGAGTTTCGTGATCCAAACAAAACACTTCAACATATTTGCCTTGATGCAAATGACAGGGCTCGTCCAGTTCCGGGAAATTAAACTGGTCATCTTTCTCGTCAAGATTTAATGCTAAAATTTTGTGTTTACGAAGTGAAGCAATTATTTGATGTAGATGTTTACAAGAACTACATATAGCCTCTGCACAGTCATGGCACCAAGACTCCGCCTTACTTTTTTTGTTATCTCGTAGACAAATGGCACAGGATTGATCTTTTTCTTTATCATTCGAATCCATTAATGAGTTGACCAATATGTCGGTGGGAAAAAATTTCGCCCATTCATCCACGGTAATCCCTGGTTCTGGTCGACCTGTGACACGACGGCATACAGGACACTCAAAGTCGAATTTCTCTGGATCTTTCCCCACGGAAGCCCTAGATATAAAAGTCTGCAGGCATTTTTCACAAAAAGTATGTAAACAAGGGAGGCATTTTGGTCCATTTATCTTTTCTAAACAAATCGGACAACTGTAGACAGCAAGTTTGTCTTTACACGTACTTTCGGCCATCATTATCCTCACCTTTAAAGGGCGTTTGCCAACTAACCAGTCTATTTGCAAACGAAATGCATTATGGTAGTTTCGGTTTGGGTTGCACTTGATATGAAAGCACATTTCGACCCAAAAAAGGAATACGTATTGTCAGGAACGATTCATCTTTTTTTCGTTTATACCAATTTTTTTTTAGTTTGCCGGAAATTTCATATTCTATTGCTTTATATTTGTCCTGAGTAGTGTTGTCAAATCGGACAATGTTTAGTAACCGGTTACTCGCTTACTTTTCCGATCGAGTAACCGGTTACTCGGATGGGTTTTCTTTAGACCTCAAAACGTCCTTTTTCGCGGTATATATACTCAATGGTAACTGAAATACATTTTGTATATGTAACGTCGTTACCATTTCTATGTAAATCTTATCATTTGTATACCTGTATATATGAAACAAAAATGCACTGCTTATGAACTTTATTCTTAATTACAAATTCACAGTATTAAATATCTTCTTAATATTTTTTTTCTCGAACATCCCGTAATAGTTTGCTGTTTTGCGGGAGGTCCTTTATTATAATAATATATCGCTTGTTTCAGAGTTTAATTTCAATCTTAGGGGGTTTAGAATATTAAAATTTTGTTGTCCCACCCGATATGTTAATTCTATTTCAAATATTTCACAACTGGTGGATTTAAATTCAGTCATTTTTTTTTTAATTATTTTGATGCATATGGCGGCTTCCTCTTTAATCTTGTACTGTGGACTAGCACAGATTTATGTGAAGTAATTATAATTAACTAAAGCCTTCAAAACTTGTATACACCTTGGCAATGAAAGATAAACATTTAACTGTAGAATACTTATCAAAACAAATTGATCGCATTTGTAAAACGCCAGGTCAATCTATCGTTAAATAACGGTAAATAAAATAAGGGAATTTAAAAACATTTTTTTCCTGCTGATTTAAACATGCTAACATGTAAAATGTTATATATCCGAGTAACCGAGTAGCAGTTTTACTTACCGATACTCGCATCGTTCGACGGTTAACCGGGCACTCGTTGACAACACTGGTCCTAATTAAGAGAGTTCTTCAACTTCCTTTTTAATTATTATTATAGCAAAGAAGTTTTCACATATTTTGTAATCAGCTGAACTGAAATTCATAAATTTTTGAAACATAAGATGCAATCTATAATCATGAATAATATGATTATATGTAATCTAATCTAATAAATTACAGCTACAAATTTTACTGTAGTCATGATTATCTTCTTATGCATCAATTATTTAATATAATTGAAGATTCTGATTGTTTTCAGTCTCCCTTAATATTTTAACTCGTGATCAGTAGTCGATCATTTTTATACAAGAAAATACATCTTGCAAAGGAGAAACGTTTAAATAATCGGAATATTATTGAAACACATGGAGTACGTTACTATTCTAATTAGTATGCATTTTTTTCTAAATATTATTTTTTACTATATTAAAAATTATGATCATTAATATGTTTTCTGTAACAACAAACTTTTGATGATTGAATGATATCGACGTATAATTATTCCAACAATAGCTGACACCTATTAAATTAACTCTGTCAATATTAAAAAAAAAACAGTATGAGTACATGTGTGTGTTCTCGTTACTTTTTTGGTATTTATTTTAATAGTCTGCTTTTATACCTGTTTTCCGAATTATCATGTTTAATGTGTATGGCGTTACATATATCTACATGTAAGACGACCTATTGAACATAAATACCGTTGAACGATATCTTCCTATAAAATTTAGAATATGCAAGCAATTCATTCAGTATTCTGAAATTCATATACTGGCCACGAAGTCGAAATGAACGATATATTGATTTAAACCAGGTTGGGGGAAACGTAAATTCCGCTATAATAGTGGTATATCACTATTATAGTGAGATTCCGCTATATTTTCAGCCGTAGTTGTCCTCGATTTCATCAAATAAAATATTTGCTGTTTGAAGCGCAAGTTATGATGGGTATAAAAATGGACAATAATTGGCATCCTTACATGTTATGAATTTTATTTAATTTTCTGCCGATGCGTTTGATAATGCGAACACACTTTTTAAAGCGGAAGTTACATTTTTAACATAGCAACCAGTGATTGCGGTAGTATTGAACAAAGCTTGACTCTTAATATCTCTCACACATAATTATGCACAAATTAGTGCTTGTAATAATTTTAACCCATGTTGGAATACATGTAGGTTTGTCGAATTTACACAAGAAAAGTTGATTTTTGCCTGCATAGTTACTGGTACGGAGGTCCGTTATGACAAAAATCAGCACATGTACAATTTAATGGAATCGATTTGTGTCGTCTAAACCGTAAGCAATATATATAAAGATGTCACTTTTACAAGTAATCTTAAGTTCATGTATAATGTTTCCTTTCTTGATGATGAAACCATGAATTTAAATGATTATACTTAAAAAGAAAAGAATCATTACACTTGTGCATGGAATTACCTGTAGACGTGACGTAAAATAAATTCTGCATGATTTATTGATTCTCTGAATTGCATGAAATTTTAAATTTAACTACGTTATGCACTGGAAAAGAGAAAATGAAATCCTAATTACCAGACGTAGATTATTCTGGTGTAGATAAACGAAATACAAGGAGAACAGAAATATGAAGATAACGAAAAAAGCCATTTGAGCAATTTTTTTTTTTTTTTTTTTTTTTTTTTTTTTTTTTTTTTTGCATAGCGAATAGGTAGGATAAGGTGCTATGGAGGAATACGCATCCCCTGTCGAGCATGGACTTTGCAAAATTCATTTATTTATAGTTATCATGAACTAGTCTATCGTTGTCTGCGCCACAGCCGCTAAAATATTAAGCCCGCTTTTTTAACTACACAGAGGCCATTATTTACACATTGAATTGTTTTTTTTCTTTTCGTTTTTTCCCGATCATGACAAGGAACACACTTGTGGCAGGGGATGCTCACTCCTCCATGGCACCTGATCCCACCTCTGATGTTTTTTAGAGGTCCGTGTTTTACCTGTTTAAAATTTGCAATGTTTCAATGGACTTTTGAGATTGATTACAGTTTATTGTCTTCATATTTCATACAGTATTTCAAGCAATTTGAAAAAAAATTGAATCCATTTAATTTATTTTCTGTCTTAAAGTGCAAAACTTGAGTACATTATATCATTTTTTTCTTTCATCTATTTATTTATTTTCTGTCAGAAAATGTACAAAATTAAGTGAAAGAAATCATTGCATTTTATCGATTTATTTATTGTATTTTTCTGTCTTAAAGTGTATTAAATTTTACAAAACACAGGTATATCTAAGTTGGGATGTAATTAACATAATTGTTATAAACACAGATGAACTTTCAACTCATTTTTTTTTATTTGCAAGCGGGAATGGGTGGATTTTTTTTAGTTTATAAACCACTGTTATACTTTTGTGGCAATATATGCAATGTATACGCCAATAAAGATACTACTACTAATATATAGAAAGTTATATATATTATAGAAAAAGTAGTTATCACATGTACCATGTAAGTGTAGTTATTAGTTTGCCACCAATCTTTTTCTCTAGTAAAATATCCAAATATGAAGCAGTTGTGTCATACTCTCTGGTGTCTTTTATCAATAATTTTCAATATACTTCTATTTTCGGAAACTGCAGCTACATCATAACTAAATGAACCTTTAATTACTTTAGTGTCTCATCATTACGTGGCGTGGTTTAATCATAACACATGTATTAAGCACCAATGTTTCTTCTGAGAAATTACGCCAAATATTCCCAACAAAAAATAGTTTATACATATAATTTTTGATATACTTTTTAAAAAGATTTTTCTTTTTTTTTTATCTAATGTTACATGTATTTGTTGTCATAAAACAAAAACTAATATTTTACAAAATTTTGTTTGACATTCCCGAAACTAATGTCATGTAATGTGTTTGTAATTACCTGCAGAAATGACATCTTATATTTTTCATTTTTTCATTTTTCATTTTATTCACTCACACCAACATCAGTGGTACATGAGGTACAATAAATTAGTCGTCATAATTGTGACAAAAATAATAAATATAATTATGATACAATAGCATAAATGAGGGGCATATACATATGTACATAGTATAGCAATAAACATACAATGAAAGAAGAAAAGAAGAAAAAAATGGTATGATAACATTTAAATTATGGAGGACAGAGGGTGTCGTTTATTTTAGATATAAATATACAAAGGTTTTTTAAAGTTTTTAAGTTTGTCGTTGACATAATTTCAGAAAACTTAAGTGTATTTGGCGTTTTACAAAATCTGGGATGTAAAAGATTCTTTCTGATGCTGTTCAATGTTTTACATTCTAAAATGAAATGAAATTCGTCTGCTATTTGCCCTGTATTACACAATTTACAAACTCTTTCATCCAGTGGAATATTTGACCATCTACCAGTTTCAATTGGGAGGTGGTGGTTTGAAGTTCTAAATTTTATTAGTATTTTTTGGAGTTTACTAGGTAAAATACTTAGATATTTTTCAAATCCAAAATCACTCTTAAAAATTTTGTAAATTTGACCTTTTGATGAATTATTTATATCACTATGCCATTTTTGAATAAATTGGTCGCTTAATCTTTGCTTCACTGCTGCAAGTACCCAATTCCTGTCAATGGAACTTTGTTCATACCAAATGTTGGAGAACCCCGAGAGGTTAAAATTTTATAAATGAAATCTACCCATAGGTTTTTTGGACCTCCTTGAAAATATTGAGAACATAGATATTTATACAAAACACAAACTTTTTTGTTTTCTAAAGAATTCGGGTTAAGTAATTTTAACCAGTAGGAGATCAATCTTGTATAAATATTTCTATTCCTATACAGAATGTTATGTGTTGTCTTTATTAAGGAGGTTATGTGTAATCAGGTACCCATAAATTAATATACAATGGGAATCGCCCAGTCTCCCCATACACCATATACGAGGGCGTACTACTCTTTAAATGGAAAATATGTTTTAAAAATTTTAAATGTACACGTTCAATGATGTCGAGATTTTCATAACTCCAAATTTCAGAGCCATAAGTCAAAATTGGAACAACAACTTTATCAAAAAGATCTAACTGACACTCAATTGGTAAGTTAAATTGTCTTATCTTCCTTATAACACCATACATTGCTTTCTGTGCTTGTTCACATAAATGTTTTTTGGCCTTACAAAATGAACCTGAGCGTGAAAATATTATCCCAAGATACTTGAATTCTTTTACATTTTCAATTGCATTATTATTATAATAAAATACCTTTTTTGACATTGGTCCTTTAGAAAACACTAGAATTTCTGTCTTACTAACATTAACATTAAGTTTCTATTGTGAACAATACAAATAAAAATCATCCAAAGCCTTTTGCAGATCTACATCTGTTTCAGCCAAGATAACAGTATCGTCTGCATATAACAAAATGAAAAGCTTAAGATACACATATACTTCTTCTTCAATAGCGTCAGTTATGCTTTGTAAACCAATAATATTTCTGTCCGAGAGAAACTCTTCCAGGTCATTAATATATAAGGAAAATAAAAAAGGCGATAGATTTTCACCTTGGCGAACACCAACATTACAGTTAAAATAATCTGTGATTGTGCCATTCAGATTTATCATAGATTTAATTCCTATATACATATTTTTGATGTAGTTAAAACATTTTCCACTAACCCCACTCTTACATGTAAATAGCTTATGCCACAATCCAAATCTCCAAACCGTATCAAAAGCTTGTTTAAAGTTAATGAAAGCGCAGAAAAGTTTTTTCTTTCTTTGAAAAAAAATCTGACATAAAAACTGTAAGGTAACTATATGATCTAAAGTTGAGTACCCTTTTCTAAACCCTGTTTGACTCTCATTAATTAAATTTACTTCTTCAGCAAATGTTTCCAAACGTGTGCATAAAATACTTGTAAATAATTTTCCTAAGCAGCTCAATAATGTTATGGGTCGATAATTTTCTGGTTGTGTTGGATCACCTTTATTTTTATAAATAGGTTTAACAATGCCAATTAACCATTCATACGGGACGGTACCTGAATCAAATATTAAATTGAACAGTTTTCTATATACGGGTAAAAATATAGTAATTGTTGAAGTAATATGTTCATTAAACACTTTGTCAAAACCACATGCTTTGTTATTTTTAAGCTTGTTGACACTGTTCAGTATTTCTTCATCACTGATAGCACAATTTAGGATATCAACTGAAAAATCATTTGAAAAATTCGCTACATCTTCCTGTTCATCTAAGTTATCAGGAACAACATTACAATTTTTATCTTCATTCATATCTTTCAAAAAATTATACATGTCATTTATATCAACAGCACATTTCTTATTTTTATCAGATGCATTCAAAATTTTCCAGTAATCTTTGGGATTTGTAGAATGCAAATCTTTGAGTTTTTTGGCAATATTCTTTCTATTATTTTTTATGCTCTCGTCCATTGTTTTCTTATATATTTTACTCATAGCATTCAAATTACGCTTGTTTTCGGTCGATTTATTTCGATTATACATACGTTTAGCGAGATGAAACTTTTTTCTAGCGTCCCGATTAAACCATTGCTTATTACAATTATTATCAACCCCAGCCCTTCTATCTTTGTGATACCCAAATGTTTCTTTTGCCGCACTAAAGAACACGTCGCATATATCGCGTGTTACAAGATTGATATTTTCCTTTGTTACATGAGTATTATCACCGCCTAAGTCATCAAGTTTACTTTCAATGTTATTTACAGCAAGTGTTTCAATATTACCACAGAACTCCACTGATTTGTTAGGACACCATAATTTTACACCTGAGTGATTTACACCTGTGTCGTTTGAAATAACAGTCTTACAACTAGATAAAGATACTGATAAGGCATTATGTACATCAGAATACAGGTTACAAAATTCGACAACATCAAAATCACTAAACAAATCAAAAATATGCACACTGGCTAAAACATAATCTACAGTGCTGCTATTTTTACAAGTTAAATCTCCCTTAAGTTTGTCGTTGCCTACACGGCTATTTACAATATACATTTCATTATTCCTACAAAAATCAATCTATTTATGCCCATAGTTATTTACCGTGGTGTCTTTAACAGTTCTTTCTAGGGGTATATTACATTTTTCAAATATCGTGGATCTTGTTAAAATATCAGTATACATGTTTTCATTACAATTGTTTTGGTTCAATACAAATTCATCAGCTGTGAAAAAATCATTCATATTGCCTACTCTGGCATTAAAGTCACCAAGCATACAAAAATAATTTGAATCTTTATTAAAGTTGAGGAACTCTTGTTCAATTTCTATAAAACAATCAGGGGAAGAATATCTACTTCCTTCTGGAGGTATATAAACAACTCCGCAAATTATATCTTTGGTAGTATTAAATAAAATTTTGTTTATCTTGAACCACATAACATATTTACAATCTGTATTTATCATGCTAACATATTTCACAACAGTATCTTTAATAGCTACAATACCCCCCAGATCGGGTATTGGAAAGTTTACGTCTATTTTTCATATAAGTAACAAATCCAGGTATTTGTATTTTATCAGAATTATCAGTTTTAGTTTCTGTTAATCCAATTATATCATATTTTGAGATGAAATCAACAAATTCCCTATATTTCAGTCTGTTTTTTATCCCACATACATTTAATGACAAAATTTTTACATTATTTGCAAATTGAGCCTTACGGCGCTGGGTCTGTTCCTCCGTGCGATCCTATTGTCTGTAATGATCCGGAGATGATCCATACCGGGCTCTTTTGTTATCCCGTCTAGGCGGTCAGGGTTGGAGCTCCTTGCTCTTGTTGTGCTACTCTTGCGTAACTCTGAGTCACTTGGGCGGATTCAGGAGGTGCGATGTATTTAACTCCATTTATGAAGAGAGTGTCTCGAACTAGCTTTACACGTTTGTGGTCGAGTTTTGCTTGGCGCACGACTGGATACAGTTTTTTTCTCCTATTCTCGATCTCTTGGGGAAATTGTTCGTTCACCTACACATTCGTTCCATGTAATCTTCTGGCTGCGTTTTGACGGATGTACTCCCTATCCTTATAGTAGGTAAATTTGGCTACTATATTTCTAGGCCACTCGCTGAATTCATTTGCTCTGCCCATTCTGTGCACTCGCTCGAAAGGAATGTCATAATCAAGCCTGAATCTCCGACGCATTAGGTTCTGAATCACAGCCTCTGTATCCTCATCCTGGTCCTCTGGGATCCCTGAGAATACCAAGTTATCCCGCATTGATCTGGCTTTGAGATCCGTCACAGATTCTTCTAGTCTTTCCTTGGCTTCTTTTAACGCTTGGACATCTGATGTCAATTTTTCTTCTAATGTTTTCTGAGTAACTGTATACTCGTCCAGGTTTTTCTTGACATAATCAACGGTCTTTTTATTTTTGTCTGCTGTTTCTTTCACCGAGTCAAACACATTACCTAATGCGCTCACATTAGTTTCAAGCTGTCCAAAATCATTTCTAATCTTTTTCACATCAGTGTCAAACTTTGAAGAGGATGATTTAAGTTCACTTATTGATGTCTGTATAGTCTCTAATGAGGTCATTCTTTTTTCAATTTTACACAATCGTGTCTCAAACCTTTCATTTTTTTACTTCAATATTCGATAGTTTTGAATCCATCTGAGTAACTAATGTATGAATGGTTGACAGTGAGATTTCGCCCTCATTAGATTGCCCAAAAAGTACAGTACGGCTCTGTGCCAGGATCTCTGAAGTTTCAGTCGCAGACATTGCAAATAATGAGTATAATACTGTAGTCCAATACTCTAATGTAATATTAAAAGAGTAATAAGATGTCGACGCAGAATAAATCAGCAGTTCATAACTATTGTCATTAAGAAACGTGAGTTGTTCTCATGGGTTCTTACACTCGTTCTACGGGAAAACACCACATAATCATCAAAATCACCATTTCGGAGCATTAAAATACAATGCAATACAATGACATCTTATATCATTCTTTACGATCTATTGCAATTAAACTATACAAATCGGTTTCATCAGAATAAAGTAAACATGTAATGAGCTTTTTTTTTTTTGTTTGTCATAATGGGGCCTCCATACCCGTAACCATGCAGGTAAAAATCATCTTCTTCTGTAAATCGACAAACCTATTTCAACATGGGTTGAAATTTATTACAAGCACTAATTTGTGCACATGTGTGAGAGAGATTAAGAGTAAGGCTTTGTTCAATACTACCGCAATCACTGGTTGCTATGTTAAAAATGTAACTTCCGCTTTAAAAAGTGTGTTCGCATTATTAAACGCATCGGCAGAAAATTAAATAAAATTCATAACATGTAAGGATGCCAATTATTGTCCATTTTTATTCCCATCATAACTTGCGCTTTAAACAGCAAGTATGTTATTTGATGAAATCGAGGACAGCTAAGGCTGAAAATATAGCGGAATCTCACTATAATAGTGATATACCACAATTATAGCGGAATTTACGCTTCCCCCCAACCTGTAAACATGCTTCGAGCATTGAAAATTAATGTTCAGCTACACAGTGGGTGTTGCATGTAACATCCAACTTATGTATTTTTATTTTAGCACGTGCTTGTTTATGATCATTTCAATCACAATACAATGGAGGAAAGGGGGGGGGGATACGGCAACTACTGTTCTTATGTCGATTGCACGACGATTCATAAGTCAAACTCTCAAAATATTTGTTTCCACTAGATAGTGTTAAATATGTTTATTGAAGTTTTCCTTTTACGGACTGTAAAATACTTGCATTCAGCGTATACACAGACAGGTTTTGTTCTCTAGCTAGAAAAAATGTGCCTTACTTTATATATTTGTAAATAGTGACCCCGCGAGATTCACATTCAAAATATACGAAGAACAAGTGTAAGGATAAAGCATGTATCTCAATTACCCAACAAATTTAGTGTCGATGACTGATATTATCCTTTTTTGATCAGCATTTGTAATACGTCCCCTTGGTACTGCAAATTACCTGCGCACATGCAAACTTAAAAGTTTTTGGCTAGCAAATTTACGGTTACTTTCTTATTGAATACTATTAGTTTTACACTTACTCAGTTTGGATGACTTTTATATTGCATTATCTTTATTTATACATTTAAATACATTATTTTTGCATCGTATTTAGTTTGTTCTACAACATTTACAAACCATAAACATTACAAGTAGATGTAATCATATGAGAATTCAAATTAATAATTATCTTGGTTCATGCGAGGTATATACCTACTTTCTATTACTGTATAAGCAGAATTTTTACCTAGTGTTCAATTTTAGCATTATTGGCGAGAGTATTGAGATCGCTAAAATTGCATATTGCTAACAATTCATTGAACACTGGGGAGGAAAGGCTATTTCGCAAGATACGGGTATTGTAAAATCGCTTGAGAACTTCTCACTAAAATTATAAACCGATTATTACGGCTAAATCACTAAATTTGCCTCTTGCCTTTTACATAGTTCGTATGGGCTTTAAAGAATAAAACTCTGAAGGTTCTTATTTTGTTGTCTAACGTGTACATAAATGTACAAAAAGTGACAGTAACTTAGATCTTAAAATACCAAGACTCTAGAGAGCCTTACAGTTATTTCTAAAATATAATAAATACCTAGCTTTTCTAAATTACCTTACTGGATCTCTCCGGTAAGCTCGGAAAACAACCTCGGATATTTCTTACGAGCTTGCCAGAAAGGCCTGCAATTGCTACAAAACAGTACCACACTGGAATATTTTTGTGCTCATTGTTTCTACTGATCTCTTATTTTCACTCGAAATTATGCTTAAAGCACAGTTAAATGTGAAGCTCACTCCAGATTCATCATTCTGAATTCGCACGCATCCACAACACTACACCCACTGCACCACTGTGCCTTCCTAATTCATCGATTTAACGAATCAAACTAATAGTTCAGATATATATCTACTTCAGTGTCTTATGACTTTTACTAAAGCTCTATGTCGTCTAACTCTTTAAAAGATTAGCGTATAAGAATTTTTCTTTCCTTTTTTTTATCTTTCAGTGCAACGTTTTTATCTCCTTACTTAAGAAAAGTCGGACAAATAATACCATAAAACGTAAATTAAAGTAAGGATGGTTCTGTATCGGAAGTCAATGTACAGTATGTAAACTGACTGCAAAATAATTAAACTTCCCTGAAAACTTTCACTGAACAACATTTGAAAACTAAGAATGGGCATGTTGAAGATAATGTTGTTTGTTCTAGTTTTTGGTTTCATTATCGGTAAGTATAGATAATTAGGTAAGTTGATAAATATGTTAATAAAAAAGGAATCCTCTGTCTAAGGATTTTTTTTTTCATTAATCTCTTCAAGAAGAAATTTTATATGCGCGTACATTAAATTCGGTCAAAACTTAGCAACGTAGGAATATTATAATGATGTAACAAGGTTGAATGCATAAATAGGTGTACATGCAAATTAATTAATTAAATTATCTGCATAAAACGGAATGTGCTTCAATTTCCCATTCAAATTACGATTTTTATGTTTTTATAAAAAGTCCTCCATTAGAATCATGCATTAAAATGAAAGATCTATTATTTCATCTTCATTACTGAAATACAGATTTTATTTTTATGCTTATAGATGTATATATATATATACATGTATGGTGGCATATTTATTACATGTACTTATAAGAAATGAAGAGAATTACATGTCACAGGTGGTCATTTGAGGTCGATGCTTTGGAAAAAGCAAGGAGAAAAGTTATTATATTAAGAAATCAGCGCGTAAATAAAATATATGAAAGAGAGAGGCAAACGCAGATGGAAAATTTTTTTAAAGATTCACAAACAACCAAATGAATCTCATACCCACACGTATGTGGGTTGAAATGTATATCATGCAGGACATAGACATTTACATTGTGACACATTGTCTTATAAAACAATTGGTCTCCCTTTTTTTACAATAAGTCAATATATTGTATGGATGTCGACCAAAATGAAATGCAATCTTAACAATGGACAGGAAGAAAAATCAAAGACAGTTGTATTAGAAAAATAGTAAAGCTATTCTAATTTAAACGTATTTACGTAATTTAAAAATGCAGAGGTATTTCATTTGTGGTTACAAAGCAAAATTCGAAATGACAATTCAATTCAATGCATTGAAGAAATTAAATTATAATATAAGTTGTACGACAGTCGGGTTTTTATCCTGCAGGGATTGGGTTTCCTCCAGCTGGAGTATAATTAACAGACTGTTTCAGTCGTACATGTACAGGATAAGCCGGCCGGTATATGTGTCGGTCAAATGAAACGTTTAAACATTGGGAAGGGAACTTCTTGTTTATCCCAGTGATAAGCAACTTCCTGCTTTTAAAGTAATCATGACATAAAAATCACAGGCACTTGTTTCGTGTACAGGGCACCCCTACTTATTCTTACCACAAGCTACCTAACTCAATTTCACCCCCCCCCCCTCCACTTTAAACTCGTATTTTATTAATTTATCAATCATTAACCTACTTTAAAAAGACATCAAGGCTTCGAAATACTTTTTTTTTCAAATGAATCGTTCCTGAGGTCCTTCGTCGAACCACTCATTTATTCCATGCATTTTAAGACATCAACTTCCGGTTAGGGTTAAAATGTACGAAAAAAACAGAGACTTCAGAATGAAATTTAAAGCTCCAAAGTCTCTTGTTTTACCCAACATTATAAGCCAATATATCCCGTGTAAAATCTTAAAATGGATATGATTCCTGGCCTTATGAGCTGAGAGACACAATGATAATAATTTCTGGAAGATACTAGTATAAAAAAGGACCACACAACCACACTCCGACCGCAGTCGAACTCACATGTCTTCAAACGCTAACATTGGTCATCAAACTGTAGTACATATACACTATAATCAATATTTCTAAGTCCCCAGGCAAGTCTTTGCTTAACAGTGTTTTTATATTAAATTATTTTGACAAAATAAATTAATAAGTCTGTAGGATAAAAGGTAACAAAAAAATTTTTTTCGCTCAAGCAAATTTATCACAAAATGCAGAAACATTTAGGAACTCTAGAATTTAAAATTCACAGCATTCAATGCTGCATTTATCCACCATTCAAACGAATTAATAGCCATTCTCTGTAAGCATTTAAACTCTTATATAGGGAGTGTGGCACGCTAGGTCTTAGATTTTTATGAAACTTGGCACACATTCCTATATTGATGCATGAAACTAAAATTCATAATAAAATGGTTGCTATGGTCAATGGTTACCATGGCAACCAACATACATTTTTCATGGCCTAAAAAATGCTAAATTTTGATGAAAAATGACCATTTTTGACAAATTAAAAGTCTTTAATACAACAAGATATTTACATGATTTCATCTTTTTGCCAAAATACATCATTTTTATAGTTCTTTAGATAATTTTTAGTATTTGAGTAACTTTACATAATAGAAAAAATATCGCCCGTTTTTAGGTAGGATTTTTCTGGGGAAAAATTGTAGATTTTAGGCTCTTTTGAAAAGCCTGGTATAAAATTTTGCGGACATTTGGGAAAAAATAAATACATTGGTTTGAAAGTCCATATATAGTTCTAATATAAACTGCAAAGAAACACTTGGTATTCATATTTTGTTTTCATGTTACCATGGTTACAAACTTATGCTTTTTTAAAGAATTCCAGACAAGGGCAATAGGTATCTACAATCAGTTTCCATATAAATACCTGAGTATTTTAAAATGGATTAAAACCAAATTTAGTTATGTGGTACACAATAGCAAAAACAAAAAGAAAAATCAATTTTCATGACCAAAGGTCAAGGTCAAAATGGCTCGATTTAGATGGAAATTTAAGGAAACTAAGCACATTTTTTTTCTGTGTCCTAACTAATACTTTTGTTTTAAACAGCATGAATAAACAAAATTACAGTTCTGGGGACAATAACTACATGTTGCATCACATGAATTGGTAAATAAGGACAGAAGGTCAAAGTTCAAGGTCACAATGGTATATAAAAATTGCCTTTTTGTCCCCCGCTTTCACTGAAAGTGGGGGATATTGATTTGGGTCTGTCTGACCGTCCATCCGTCCGTCAGCCTGTCTTTCTGTAACACTCTCGTTTCGGCCCGATGTCTCAAGAAGCCTTTGAGCCTTTGCAATGAAATTTTGCATAAAAAATCCCTGTGGCCTAGGAAAGACTCCCATTGATTTTAAGGCCAAAGGTCAAGGTCATGAATTCATAAATTCTGTTTAAACACTTTATTTCTGTGGGATATCTCTAGAAGCATTCGAGCTTTTGCATTGAAATTTTAAAGCACAACTCCCTATGAACTAAAAAAAAGACCCATATTGATTTCGAGGTCAAAAGGTCAAAGGCCAATGTCAAAAATTTATAATTTCTGTTTGTGTGTAAAACTTTCATTTCTGAACGATATCTCAAGAAGCTTTTAAGCTTTTGCAATGAAATTTTATAACGTAACTCCCTATGGTCCCGCCCACTCCTCTTAAAGTGTCCAGTCCCCCCACCCCCACCAACCCTCTAGATCCGTACTCGCTCTTCTTTTTTTCTTAAGCAGGGGACACAGATTCTCTAAATTAGCTTGTTAGTACAGCATTTATACTTGGATATTGTGAAAGCGTATCCTGTTTTATACACAATTTATTTTACTGAAACTGGTAAATAAATTACATTCTCACCTTTAGCTTAATGCATAATGTGAAAATGCCATGAGAATGTTTTTTAAGGTCATTTATTAATGAAAATGTAGCCAAGTCAAAATATTGAAAGCCTATACACTTACCATATTAAGTGACTTGTATGTAGAGAATTGTGCTACATGCATGTAAAAACACTCTTTTGTTGTTTTTTTTAGACTAAGTCCTTGTTCTAAAATGTACATTTTTGACCCTATTCAACAGCCCGCACTTTTCCAGTGACAGTCAAATTAATTGTTTTCCTGTGACTTTTTTCAGAGAAGTTGACAGAAAAAGCCTAAAACCATTTTACTTTGCAATATTATTCTTAAAAACTTGAAAATTTAGAGACATTGATGATAAATATTTCAACCCAAATATGCATGGGCTTACACATAATAGATCTGCTATTTCCCAAAATTTAATCAATAATAATCTGTTGTAAAAATCTGCTGGACCTGTTCGGATAATCTGTTTTTGTGCTTTCTTGAATTTATGTCGGTTGCTAAATTTGAGTTGGTTGGTAAGCTTGATGGAATTGTATACCTTATGGTGTGTAATGTAAACATATTTTCTAAAGTTTACTCCTTGAAAATGTTGAAAATAAATAATCTGTCCCTGCCTTCTTCCTACAGTTTTCATTTTTTTTTTGGTATATATTAAAGGAAGTGATTCTTCATAAACGATTAACCCCACCCCGCCCCCATTCCCAAGGTATAGATTTATTTTTTGTTTAATTTTATGACTTTTTTTCTTTTGATAGAAAAGGGGGGGGTTGTCAGAAATTTATTTAAGTTTTCAATGTTGATAGAATACAGCTAGACAGATTTAATATTAATTTTACTGCTACAAGGTTCAGTCTAAATGTACCTTAGTCTAGAGAAATGATAAACCGTTAACTTTAAATATGATTCAGACAATTTGTATTTCTATGCAACCCCCCCCCCCCAAAAAAAAAAAAAAAAATTGAAAGTATAATTTTGACTGGTCGACAGGAATCAAACAAATCATTTTTATCATTGGCCTTAACAATATTTTGATTCTTTTTTTTTATTGGGTAAAGACCTTTCCCTTAAAGAAAATTCTTGCTTCAACAACATTATCAATTTCTTTGTAAATGTTTTCAAAGTCATTGAATAAAAAAATCAAAATCTGAAATATACACACATAACTTTTCTCTCTTTTTTGTGATACAGATAAAGGCAAACAGTAGGAGGAATTAAAAAGATTGAGTTTTCTGTTACATCCCTCACTAAAAACTGTTTTTAGGTGCGGCATTTTTTTTCTACATGTATAGCCTTTAAATAGAGATAAAATATACTTTTTCGTTCTTTAATTTTAGGATGGGGGTGTAAAGAGCGTTTTTTTTTTAATTCCCTAGTCAGATTATTTATTTCATGGTAGTGAAGGACTGATTATTTATTTCCAAGATGATCCAGGACAGATTACTAATATTCTGTTTCACCTTAAAAAAAGTCTGAATAGCCAAAAAAAAAAAAGGAATACGCCCAAACTCTATTTCGTGGGAAGGGGGGGGGGGGGTCAGGCATTTGTTTTGGTAATATTTTTTCAACCCATAGTATAATAATAATACTTATTATACTATGGGTTACTATGGGTTAAAAAAAATTACACGTATTACCGAAACAAGTGCCTGTGGGTGGTGGTTGGGGTTGTAGCACTTATCAATTTATTTTATTTTCAACATTTTCGAGAACAGATTATTAGTTTCAAAAATCTGTCACCCCCCCCCCCCCCATCCCCAAAATCAAATGGTCCTCCCTTTAATGACAGGCATAAACTTACATCACATCATTCAATATAAACTTGATATACTTGTACTTTGTTGTTGCCAAGCCAATTTTTTTTATCCAAATATCAACCTCCAGTTTTGTACGAACATGTAAATGTAGCTTGACTTTAATTATTTAGGTAAAATCAAAAGCCTTCTTCTCTCACATTATAATTCAGTTTTGTTTTGTTTTTTTTTTTTTTCACATTCGTTTTAAAAAGAAACACTGGCTTTCCAGGCTGTTATTCATAGTAATATATGATGGACACTCTGACTGAGACACTGTACTTCTTCTTACAACCAATTCAATATAATTCTGATATCTTAAGTTTTTTGAAACTCCTAAGACCTTGAGGCATAGGCTTCAATATCATGAATGTGTACAGAGCTGATTTCTTGTACCATGTGGCCTTGTACATTTCGCCATTGTTAATGTCTATTACTCTTTTGCATCCAGGAAATAAACAAAGAGATTAAAATTTGTATGCACATTAAATAAACAGAAAAAAACACTTGATTTTACTTGAAATCTAGGATGTATGTTGACAGTGTAAACAACTTCCAGTCAGTTTTGTCCAAAGATTTTTTTTTTATCTCTCACACTAAAGAGCTCAGCATTATCAAAGGGAGATAATTCAATTTTTAAATGAATGTCTGCTATTTTAATCATAGATTTCTCATATTTATAGACTGAATACCAACAATGTTTTTAAATGCCTTTTAAAATCAGATGTCATACTTTTTATTTCTGTGAGTAACATGAATTGAAGTAGCCGCATTTCATTGAATAACATTCCCAAAATTGCATTTTTTCAGAAAAAATCAACTTTAGACACCGTTTCCATGGTAACTACTCAACATTCATATGATCTAACAATATTTTTTGGAGTAGTTTATGAGGTGGTAAATTCTAGCCAAATTTGAAAAAAATCTGTGACTATGCGTGCCGCAAAAGTTTAAGTGGTTACAGAGAATGGCTATTAACAGCAAGGCATCTGCTCCTCAAAAAGTTCACACAATTAAAGAAAAAATCTTTATTGAAGATTACTCCGTGTGTTGACTAGGTCTCCCTCTAGTTCCGCTAGATTCTGTGGCTGGAAAAGTTGTTTCATTCACCTGTCTATTTTATCTCATACATGCTCTCTAGGGTTGAGGTTTGGATGACAAAGGGGCAAACCGAAATTTTCTGTGCCTTGCGACAATATTAAGCCTAAAGTACATAACTTCTCCTTGCATACGTTCCACACGCCCCCAGTTTGTTCCGTACAGTTTTTGGTCATTGAAGAAACAGACTTCCATGAATTTTCAAAGAGTGCCGTGTAGTTGCACTTGAGTTAGGTTCCTTCCACAAAAGTAATTCTTATGAAGTAGTCCTGTTGAAGAAGTGTCGTTACACTACGTCTTGGCCATGGACGAATTTCTACACTTCCGGTTCAAGTGAATTTCTGGATAAGCCCTAGGATGCTTTTGTAGTCTCTGTGAAAATTCTAGCGACTTCTTATAATTGTAAGGAATACAAGTAAGCTATGTTTGATCTTTCGGACGATATTTCTAAATGTTGTAAACAAAATAAACACATATAGTGAAAGAAAACGAACCTCTGGTGAACTACACCCAGCTTGGACCATGTCAGCTTTTCTTGCACGTTCTTGTGTGGACATGCACCAAATTTTATTCAATCTTTTTATGTTTTTCGTAAACAACGAAAGATAATGAACACATGGAAGCAAAGAATTTTGAAAAATGGAACTCGCACGTCATGCTTTTCAACAAAAACGGTCACGATAGAGTAACAAGAAGTCTGTGAGCGAATGCTCACTAGTAATACCCCCGCTCTGATGTGAATATACACTCTTACATCGACGTCGAAATCATACAAAAATGAATTCCACCATTTGGCATGCCTAAACAAAGACTGTGCTAAGATTTCAAACATCTGCTCTGAGCAGTTGCTCAGAGCAGAAATTTGGTACGGACAGACAAAAGGATAAACAGGAAGTTGACATCGGATTCGAACAAAAATGAATCCCACCATATGGCAGGCCTACACAAAGATTGTGCTAAAGATTTTAAGCACTTGCGCTGAGTAGTTACTGCGAAAACTGTACGGAAATTTGTTGCAGACAGACGCGCAGATAAACAGGAAGTTGACATCGGATTCGAACAAAAATGATTCCCATTATATAGCAAGCCTAAACAAAGATTGTGCTAAAATTTCAAGCATCTGCGCTAAGTAGTTTCTGAGAAAACTGTGAGGAAAATTTGTTACGGACAGACGCACAGATAAACAGGAAGTTGATTTGGGTTCGAACAAAAATAGATCCCACCATATGGCAGACCTAAACAAAGATTGTGGTAAAATTTCAAGCATCTGCGCTAAGTAGTTGCTATGGATAAACAGGAAGTTGACATCGGATTCAAACAAAAATGAATCCCACCATATGACATGCCTAAACAAAGACTGAGCTAAAATTTCATCATCTGCGCTAAGTATTTGCTGAGAAAACTGTGACTAAAATTTGTTACGAACAGACGTACGGATAACAGGAAGTTGACATCGAATTCGAACAAAAATGAATCCCACCATATGGTATGCCTAATGTGTGCTAAAATTTCAATCATTTGTGATGAGTAGTTGCTGAGAAAACTGCGACGAAAATTTGTTACGGACAGACACACAAAGATAAAACAGTATAACCCCCTCTCCTTCGGAGCGGGGGTATAATTACATTCGATTACAATTTTTTTGCCCTGACAGGTAAGCATTTTAAATTGCAGTCAAAATTTAAAGCTACTTAAAAATTGACGTAAGGGTTTTTAAATTTTTTAAATAAGAAAAATGGGGACTTAGAATTTTTGACAAGTATATTATAATACTTATATATTTCACCCGTTAAAAAATTATAAAAATTATTTTAGAAAATGATACAAGTACATTGATTTCAATTTTACAATGGATCATCAGCTCTCGATGAAATTCAAAAAAGGGATAATATAAAATTCAGAGGTTTGTATTGCTTCGAATACTAGCCTTGAAGTTCCCAAGAACTTGAACTCCACTTAAAGCTTGGAAGTAATTAAAGCATGCAAATAATTATGTAATATTCGGTTTCCTTTCTTCAGCACTGAGCTCGGCTGAGGCTTGCTATAGTGACAGTGAATGTCCTTCAAACTATAAATGCTGTACCGGAACTACATGGTGTTGTCAGTATGGGTACATCTGTACTGGAACGTCTACATGTCTCAGTGTTGGGTAAGGACAAGTCTGAATTTATGGAAACTAAGTTTTACATACATACATACATGTACAGATGTATATAGTGTTATCATGTTGTAAATTTTGAATTTACTAGGGGGAGATAAATGCAAAATTTACAACATGTTGTAAATTTTGCATTTACCTCCCCCTAGTAAATTCAAAATTTACAACATGATAGTGTAATGAATGTATTCCATCACAATTAAAAGAAAAAACTTTTGGGCGGTTTGCTTAGATGGGGGCTAAAATGTGTGTACACGCTTGCTAGGAGAATTTTAAAACATTGGGCAACCCAAATGATTTACTTTGAGTATCAAATTTTCTTAGAGACTGACGTTAAAACCACTAGACCACACAACTCATGACATTGTTTCTGTTATGATCTTTGATTAACTGGACTTCAAAGACTTCTCGGAAAGATAAATGTTGTGTCATAAAAGTTAAAGTGTATTTTTTAAGGTATAATACTCCTTGCTCCATGTTTTGTTAACTGAAAAAGGTATACATACAGTGTATTTTTTACGCTTATACTTTAGGATAAAAAGTGGATGGAAGACATGCTTATATAGGAAGCAATGTGTTGTAGTATGAAGACATTATATCTTTTTGCCCTCTATTGTGTGTTCATGCTATTTCATAGACAAATAATTTGTGACAGCAACTAGCAAATTGTGGAGATTTTGCATAAAATATACTTTAATGTTAACTGAAATATGAAAGAAAATTTTGTCACGATTAAGATTTAATTTTTCAATTTCTTATTTAACAGACAACGTTAACAGACAACTCTTGGCATATTCGCCATCTTCATTGAATTTTGTTATTTTATACAAATACGCAGAGAAAAAGATTTCAAATTTGTAAAACGGATATTGATAAAACTGTCCTTTTTATTTTTATTTTGTAACAGTGTGATCGTCGGTCCAGTTATTGTGATTGTGGTGGCCATTATCGCATGTATCGCCGCCGCCATCTTTTGTTTAAGTAAGTTTTTGCTGCCTTGTAGAGATAAATGAGATTTATCAATTTATAATTGGTATCCAATAGATCTATAGAAATTTTTAATAAAAGATTGTATTTTATTTTATGGCAAGAAAGTTTTACTTGTTAAATTTTTATTCAATTCATGTCAGCTTTTTCTTATAAAAAGTGCTCGGTGTTTCTTTTTCCTGTCTCTTCAGAAATGTTTAAGGAAGCCTGTTCCACAGCCAGAAACAATAACTTAAAATTGTCATCATTTTTAATATCTCAAAAATGAACTTGAAATTTAAATTCTTTTCGTGCAATATTTTTCATTTCATGAATCTTATGATGATCCAAGTCTTTGAAACGCTCGTGTAAAAAGTAGATATTTACACCTTATAAAAGGACAATTAAATATATTTTAAAGAAAACAAATGTCCTCTAAACTCGTCTTAATGCCAATGCCAATTAAATAAAATTGAAAGTGATCTGTGATAATTTGAATGATACACAAAGTATTATACATAACGAACTGAAGTTAATAAAAGAAGTGAAATTCCGCTTAAGTATCAGAAACATGTTATGCATTTTTTTTTCAGATGCCCGGGTACAAAAAGTTTTCTTATCCAAATTTACATTTGTATCTCTTTAAATTAGAAAACGCATAATTGATGGTTTTATTTACGGTTCCTGAAAATATACTAGAAGTATTAATCATAATGATGAACTTTAAAGAAAATGACATTTTTTTCACAAGATGTCTACAATATAATCCTGGAAAGATGATAGAGGCTATAAATTTATAAGTCACTTGACTTAATTTATCGAGTGTCCGGTCGATTTTGACACGACTCATAATTACTTTGTGAATTCAGTGGCATTTTTGCGAGCATTTTTTAATAACTTAACCGCTGATTATCAAATCCTGAGGGACATACTACCTTAAGGGACATTAAGTGTTTGCATTGTATGTGCGTCCATACTAATGATGTTGACATTGTTTAAAATTTGATGACAGATGACCTGGGGAATGTATTCTTTTTGACTTTCAAAAGGTCAAAGGTCAAGACAATGATAGGTGTTAAAATCGAAATTATGGAGATTGTTTTTTATTTCCATCTTTTTGTCTCTCATTCTCAATATTGGCTACAATGCTTGAATGTTGCCTGAGAGGGAAAAAAAAACCTAAGTGCATGAATTTGTGATGAAAAGGTCAAAGGTCAAGATTAGTAAAGTGAAATTTGACGTTAGTGATGTTATCCTTGGTGTCGAACTGTCATATGTATGTGCGACTCCGTCATATTTGTCACAAGCAATGATAAATTATTAGTATTTCTGTAACCATAGTATCACATGTAATTATACACTTAGGATTTAAATCATTAAAATTCTATAATCTTTATCATTGGATAAGGTTAAGGGTTTCATTGCATATTGATTTGCCAGAGAGAACAATGAATATAACCCTGATACATTTAGTTTACTACTGTAATTTCATATATCAAAGTGCATAATTATAAGACGTGTGATACCCTCAGAGCGAATAATTGATGCGTACCGGACTCAGCCCGAAATATCAGTTGAATTCTTCTACATCTGATAAATGGGTCCTGAGAGGGCAAACAGAAAAAATAGTACACATCTCATCTCTTTATTAAATCAACCATGTTTCTAAATTTTATTTATGTTAGGAAGAAAACGGCAGACTGCAGGCGTTGTGTACATACATCAAGGAGTTACCCCTCAAGGAGGTACACCTAAATTTTAACTTGATCAGTCTTGTTACGGACAACTTCCAGGATAAGGACAACGCAAGATTACAGACAACCACAAAAAATGAAAGATTACAGACAACCACAGATTGAAGATCAGCCATACCCATAAGCATTTACACACACACACAGAGAGAGAGAGAGAGAGTGAGAGAGAGAGAGATTGATAAGGAGGCTTGATCATTTATTTTAAGATATTGCTTTTTATATTTAGATTTGGTTTGTACTGATCATGATCCGCCTGTTAACTAGAAATATCTATTAAGTAAATGATTTCTTTTAAACTTGTGTTCTTCTTACTATTTGCACTGTATGACTGTTTATTTATTGTAAAAAATGATTCTACAATTGATAATTGTACATGTAAAATGTACGATACATTTTTTTAAACTTTTCTTTAATTTGTAGTTGTTTTCTAAAATTTCAGCACTTTTATGTAAATGAATACACTATGTCTAAACTATAGTTCAATCAACGCTTTGCAATTTTTTTCTCCGTTGCGGGGTCCATCAAAATGTCTTTAGGGAAAAAAAAACAGTGATCCTCTTCTCTACATTACTAATCATTTGGACACGGTGCGATAAATTCACTTTCACAGTGTCACAGTGGATTTTTTTATTCATCAAAGGTGCAATCAAAATACAAGATCCAATAATTATTTTTAAGTCAAATGACAAAGTTACAAAATTACACAGGCCAGTGTGAAAATTTTCTAGTTTTAATTTTCCCCAAAGATGGCGGCCAAGGACTTTTTTTTTTTTTTTTTTTTTTTTTTTTTTTGAAAAGAGCGGATTCAACTATAAACACAGGTATGATTGCCCAGTTCTGGAAATCATTATGGAACAATTTTGTTTGTAAATATTCTTTAAAAATCAATCTAATTAAAATTAGATCTTTGATCTGCTCCAACTAGATCGTTACACAAACACTGTGTAGCGATCTAGTTTGAGCGGATCAAAGATCTAATTTTAATTAGATTGCTTAAAAAAATAACAAAACAAGCGCTTATTTTAAATTTTACAATTTGCCAAATAATACACGTAAGTGTTTATTTATACGACAGTGCTAGCAAAATTGAAATGAAATTGGTCACCTGATGAAACTTTCTTTCTTAAGGAGACTAACCGCACGAGACATTTGGAAGGTCTACCCTGTGGCATCACATGACGTCGTGAATGTATGAGTTAATTGCATCAATTTGTTAGTTGCATTCTCATAACGGAATCTATTAAGTGCAATTTCATATAAAAATGAGAAAAATATGTATCAGTTCTTTAAGTTTTACTTGGTATATAATGACATTAAGTTTGAACGTGATCAAATCTACTAAAACGCTCTAAGAGCGTTGTATAGAATTTGACCACATGGCCAACTTTAAGTAAAAATCCCAATGAAACTCTAAAGAAATGATACATACATCTTTAACTAAAAAAAATGCATGATACTTACATCTTATTTCTTAAGTAAGCTGACATCCTCTTCAAGGAACAATGTACGCATTTTTTCCCTAGTTTCACTGAAAAAGGGGGAAATAATTTGGGTCCGTCCGCTCTACCGTCCATCTGTCTTTTTGTAATTCTGTCTGTGTAACGCTAGTTTCCGGACGATATCTTAAAAAGCCTTTTAACTTTTGAATGAAATTTTATATGACAATTTCCTATGGCCTAAAGAAGACCCCTTTTGATATTAAGGTCAATGTTAGAAATTCATATATTCATGTATAACTCTTTCAATTCCGGACGAATTCTCAGGCATTTAAGCTTTTGCAATGAAATTTAATATAAGAAGTTCCTATGGCCTAAAGAAGATTCCTATTGACATTGTGTATTACAAAATGATGACGTTTCCAGATGATATCTTTATTTTTTTTTTGAGTTTATTTCAATGAAATTTGACATCACAACTTCCTATGGCCTAAAAACTCAAATCAAAAGATTAAAGGTAAAGGGCAGAATTTATGTATTGCAAAAAATAGCTTCCATATGATAAGTTTTCTTTAAGCCTTTTCAACGGAATTACATACAAAAAATACTAATGATTGAAAGAAAACGCTGCTTATTTTTAGGTCAAAAGGTCAAAGGTCAGAAATTTATACAATGCAAGGTTTCCTGATTCCATTTTAGTTCCCCTTTGAGCTTTTTTCAATAAAATTTTATATCACAGCTTACAATGGCTTACAGACCATCGACCTTTTTGAATTTTTAGGTCAACAGGTTAAGTTCAAAAATTCATATTTTGCATTCAGTTATTATTTCCTGATGATGGCTTTGAAGGTTTGCAATAAAAATTAATATCTTTAGTCAATATGACTTAAAAATTCTTTTTGATTTTGAGGTCAAAAGGCCAAAAACCAAGGTCAGAAAGAACAAGGTACGGTTTTAATTCAAATCTTGCCCTGTATTTTTCTTAAATATAAAAGTGCTGTAAGAAATTAAAACTTGTGTTTTCTGAATTGCTGAAATTCCACACTGTAAGCTCATACAAATTGTTTTTCTCATATGACTTTCTAAATGTTAATTGTGACGTCCTGAACTTGTGCATTTATCCGTATTTTCTTAAAAAGTTGCAGAAGTCATCAATTTTTTGGGACTTTTAGATCTTCTTTCAGATAATATAGACCACACACATCGCCCACAAAGATTCTGAGAAATATGATTTTTCACAGAATTTCACACAATATATCCGAACATTAAAGTGGGCGACGGCTGTGGACACTATTTTCTTAAGGAAAATAACCCTTGAAATAAGTCATTTTGAAGCTTTTTTTCTGTTTAAAACAGAGAAACGTATTAAATTAATGACGCCATATTTCCAGAATGGTCCTCCTTCATGCCATATTCTTTCATGATATATCACATTCAGATACATGTACTCGACTCAGTTTCAAAACTTTTTGAAAGCATTTATTTTTAGGGCATAATAAAGCCAAAATTGTACCTACTTCTTTTTATATTACCTTCATCGTTTTCCGGTGACAACTTTAGTTCTCTGTAACCTTTTGCAGTGAAACTTAAGGTCATGAATTTCTTCAACTTAAAGAGGACCATTATAACAATTGGTCCATTGCTAACTACTTGTGTATTTTGGAAAATCCACGAAATCAAATGTTCATCGAAGTGTGGTGCCTCCAATTTGATTTACAGACCCTGAAACGTGCTACTACCCCAAAAGAAGTGTGTGACTTCCGTTTTTTTTTTTTGTTTTTTTTTTTTGGTTTTTTTTTTTTTTTTGGTTTTTTTTTTTTTGGTTTTGTTTCTTGCAAATCGTGTTGCGTTTCATGTAAACTGTGCAGCGTTTGGTGCAAACCGTGTAGCGTTTCGTGTAAACTGTGCAGCGTTTCGTGTTTACAAGCGTTTTGTCCAAACTGTTTAACGAGCGTGCGAGAAGCGTGCAAGAAACGTGCGACTTTCGTGTAAAAACCCTGTGAGAAACGTAGAACTTCCGTGCAAGAATCGTGTGAGAAACGTGTATGATTCATTCGGAAGTCATTTAATGGAAGAGAACTTTAAGAAGCACTATTATTTTCACATAGAAATCTATACAAACCTTTTGCCCTCTTAGTACTCTACTAATTCAATTTCGGACAAATCCGTGGCTTCATTTGAAACTATATTTTAAGCTCTTTTTAAAAAAAAAAAAAGCCCGAAAAAATATAGGGTACGATGGCATTTGTAGGTCAAAATTGCAGTTGTTTTCAAATCATTGTGATCAGCAGTCATTGACACTCTGCAAAAATATCAACCCCCACTGCTACAATCCCCCCTGCTACATGTATTTCTATATTTTCTGTAATATTCCTATATTCAATTTTATTTCAAAAATTAATATTTTTACTTTAAAATGAAAATAATTACATACCTGAAGTCAGCCAATTGGGAAATGCACACTATTCAGTACTTCTTCTACTTTCCATAACAAACAAATAATGTAAACATCCGGGGATGGTACTCTCATTCCTATACTTACATATTTAACTATCCCAGAAGTAGCCAATTTTGTAATTTTCAAAGACCTTATACCAACCAATGAATATGTATGAAATTTGAGTCCTGTCTCTTCAGTATCTTGGAAACTGTGACCATCTTAATTAACGACACCTTCCTTCTGCAAGAAGTGTTCCAAGGATTGCATGAATAATTTTTATTACTGTGATCAGACCTGGATATAGATATGACTGTAATGAATAAAATATTTATACAATTGCATGGTTTTGTTTTTTATGTTAATAAAATGATATTAAATTTGTGTCAATTTTTTCATTAGGGGAGATTCTACACAGAACTGGAGAAAAGCTCCAAAATTTGATAAACCATAGCACATTAAACAAAACTGAAAGGTTTTAAAAAGACTGATTCATAATTTTTTTAAGTTTATGAGAAGTAAATAACTAATGACTCTTATCTAACCCCTGCTGTTGATTAAGTATGTGCAAGAACTTTTCACAACGCCCCAGTGAAAGGCACTTGGAGAAAAAGCAGCTATCCCCAATATTATTTGTTTAAAATTAATTTAGACGATAGAAAGTCAATCCTTTTGATATCAAATTAAATTTCAGTCTATTTAGTCTTAAACAGTATTTGATTTATCCATAAGCTACATTATTGAAATTTATACCTAGAAAAGGGGAATTTAGATCAATTTTTAAAAAATCAAGAAATGCAATAACTATGATTTCAAACCCCAAAATGTACCACACAATGAGAGGCTGCAAAGTAAAAAGATGAGAATTTTACCTGCAATGTACAGAAAACTGCCTGACAAAATACATACAGGTGGATAGCGAGTCTCCATCTTCTTTCTATATACAGAAAATGCTCATGCACATCAGGTACCAATCTCTCCAAGGGCCGAGGAAACTGAAAAATGATAGTGATCTAAAGTGCTAATAAATGAAAATTAATCGGAACAGTTAGGCCAAATAAAAAAAAATATGTGTGGTTCCGGTTACCCGACCGTCCCTATTTTATACCCCCGACCCTAAACTTTTTTCCGGCAATTTTCATATTTTTTTCCGGAATTTTTCCCACTTTTCGTCATCGGCTCCGGTATTAGTTTTAGTTTCAGCAATGGCGACCTCCATGCAAAACATCGTTTCAACACTTAGTGCAAGTGTTCAATTAAGAGTGTTAACTCTAAAGCAAGCTAGCAAAGCGCGGAAGCATTCCTTTTTTTCCAGCACCATGTTTTTTGTTTTGTTTTGTTTGCCAAAATTAAATAAATATACGCTGCTCTTAGCAGTACTATGTCCGTTTTCTAGTTTATCGTTCAAAATTTATTATTAAATAGAATAAGAATTACTCTGGATAAAAGTCATTTATTTCATTTATAAACATGGATTTAAAAAAAGGATGTTCACCTCGAACTTTTTTTTTACAAAAAGAAATTAATAAGATTATTAGTGTGTTTATTATTTTTGATTTAAAAATATTTGTTTCATATTCATAACTAGGGTGTCCCTACCAATGTTGACTTGTATATTATCACGCCACATCTAAACGCCACTTGAAAAGCAGTGATAGGTATTATTTAGAAAAATTTAGAAAATCATTTTGTAAAAAAAAAAAAAAAAGAAAAAAAAAAAAAGAAAAAGAAAAAAAAATCCCTACCTACCTACCCTAATTTTTTTTGGAGGTGTAACCGGACAACACATATTTTTTTGTTTGGCCTTAGTAAAATTTATCATAAAGCATTAATAAGAGTTATCAATAATGAGTTGTTTATAATTATATAGATCTGCTACATAGCTGAATATTTAAATAAGTGGCTCATGGGCCACAATGCTCACCTGACTCACTATGGCCCTACTGTTCTGCACCAGATTTTTTTCCCAATATACATGTATTCCTATGAAAAATTTAGATAGACTTTTGTAACTATATAAGAGACTGAGATTTAAACAAATTAAAAATGAATCTACACAGTACAACCAGATGCTTCCACAATAATACTAGACTTTCAAAAAGTCCTGATGAATAGTGGCATTTAAATCATGTTTGTGATACAATGTATGACCCTTGACTTAATGGACTTCAAATACATGTATTTCTCGAAAAGATGGGAATGTTATGTCATAAAAGTATATTTTTAAGGTACAGTGGGTCTTTGCTCCATATTTTTGGTAACCAAAAATGTTTATTTTTATGCAAACTTTGAGGATTAACTTTCAAAAAAATGGAGCGAAGGGTCTTCACCGAAGACCCACTCATTTAGTGTTATGGTATGAGAAAATGACTCTTTTTGCCCTCTTTAGTGTGTGTATAATATTTTTTAAGCAAATAATTTCAATCTTTGTGGGATATTTTGTCAAATTGTAGAGATTTTACATAAAGTATTTTTTAATATTAGATGAAATATCAAGGAAAATTTTGATATAATTGAGATTTAATTTTTCACCTTCATGTTGGTCACACTAGAAGCCTTTCGCTCGTCATGTTCACCCATCTTCTTTATGAATCCATGGGAATAACATGTGGTATACAGGGTTGTCCCTAAGAATTGAAATAGCAGGGGACATTAAAAAAGTAGAAGGGGTTTGGGGTTCCTTTCCTAATTGAGGGGGAATACCAAAATAACCGGGAAATTACGTCATTATAGGCAGGGGAATTCCCCGGCCCCTGGGTCTTCGGGACAAACCTGGGTATAGCGCCGCATTGTTTTGCACAGACATACAAATGTACATGTACATATTTTAAAATTTGAAATAATGTAATTCAACATTTGAATGAAGCTTAGAAGAAATTGATGAAATAAACATTGTTATATTTTTTTCATTAGTTTTATGTTAATCACAATTAGTTTGCAGATTAAGTGATTCTTTTCAAAAGCCTCAATCAAAATTTATCGGTCACAGGTCTATACCATAAAAATAAAAAAAATTATGGGTTAATATGTTTTGCCTTGTATACATTCCATACATTCTCTAGTTAAGAATACTGACATTTTCCTTTCAATATAGTGTCGAGTTCAAATAAAACACCAATGTCATTTAATTTATTTACCAGTAAATTTCTTTCAAAAGTGTATGATGGACATTTGATAAGATAATGTTTGAAATTCAGCATCTTCATTATAAAATCCACACTTTTCATATGATTGAACATCTGATAAAAGTATTTTCTGAATGTGTTTTAAGATTGCTAACATTGTTTCGCAACTGACAACGTAGAATATTTTCTAATAAAATTGTATACTCTTCTATTAGAAATGATAAAATATCTACATGTTTGTTAATCCCCCCTCCCATCTCCTAAACTTTGCTTTGAAGCTTGATAACGATAGATTTAAAAGTTAGGAGTTTTTAACATGGCCCAAGGACCATGAAGGAGTGTAAGACTTAAGACAGTATTTATACATTGTAATAAAGTTATATGAAAGAAAACATAAAATATGATTTTTTTTTAATTTGTTTCCCTTCCATCTTGTTCATTCTAATTTTTAAACAGTAGTTTGCAATAAATTTTCATTTTAAGAATGAGTGAAATTCTGACATAAGTCTGAGACTGCTTAATAATTCCCATGAGATACAGTAAGGCTTGATAATCCGACATTACGGCACGTTTGTATATGAACAGCAAAACAAAAATGTTTTGGGGCAACCTCCCCCCCCCCTCCCCTCATACTACGTTCCTGATGACATTGAAAATAATTTAATTTACTAATATTGGTGTTTGCTTTGAGTCAAACTACATGGGGGGGGGGGGGGGGGGGAAGGTGAGGTGAGGTGATCATGAAAAAAGAACCAGTTAAACATTTTCTACAAAAACGAAGGTACCGATAATTTAAAAATCTTCGTAAGTACTGTTCATACATATCTGCAGTAAAGGATTATGGCGACACAGGTGTCTGGTGTATTAATGATTTACATCAGATTAATTCCCAAATAGTTTGAAATTGATGTAGATAAAAAAAATTTCAATCCAATATTTTTAAAGACACGCAAACGTTATTGATATAGAAGATATAGATATACTCTTTTAGGAGACGGCCAATTGATTCTAAAGAGAGAGAGGGAGATATATTTATTTTTCATTCATGCCCTCACATGACAGAATAGATCGTATATTTGTTCCTAGGATGACAAGAGATATAATCTCTTTCTTCATCACTGAAAAATGGTTGACAATTAAGAAACGGAAAAGGGGGGAGTGTCCAAACTCAAAAACTTTCCTGCTTATTTCAAAGATCTAAACCCCCCCTCCCGGAATCAAATAGTTGTCCTTTTATTAATTTTTAAAAAATCATTGGTCATAAAACTCTTATTTATATAAATGTCAAGCTATTCAGAAATTTACATTATTGTCTTCTTGATCAATCATTAACACTGTGCGTATGAGAGTAGCTGAGTTGAACTGATAATGAATTTCGAACTTTTTCAATCCCATCAGTGTTTTCTCAGACGCCCGCGCCGAATGGTACCCGCCCATTTCATTGTCTATATAATCAGATGTTTTGACTAAATTCTAATGTTTTGTTTCAATTTTCATTTTTTTTTTCAAATTTCTTTATTCATTTCCATCTGACATTTTTACGATTAGAAATAAAAATAATAATAATTAATTAAAAAAAAAAAAGACGTGGTACTTGAAAAAGGAAATCAATGTATTAGAATAATTTTTTCTATTTCGTTTCTTCAGTAGCTTTAATAAGGGAGGGAAAAAATCAATTCAAATACGAGAATCGTTTTTTACGATACCTCACGTTTTGACACAATAAATAAATAGTTATTACATAAATATTTAAATAAATGATAAAAATTAAAAATAATGTGGATAGTCTTAAACTAGTCTGAGAGGCTGAGAGGTCACTGATGAAAATTTCAAACAGATTTGGACTAAAAAGTTGAGTTGGATTTCTTCTTCTTTTTTTTAAATTCTGACGATTCCTTCATCCATTCTTCCTTTATTATTATTATTATTTGTAGCTTCTCAGTAAATATTTATTAATATAAAAGAAGTGCCCACGACAAAAAAAATTTAAAAGAGTAAAAATAAAACAATAATACAACTGCCAACATTGCTAGGCCTACATTATGCATAAAAACGGCTGAATTTCAGGGTTACGTTACTTAGTATTAAAAAGATATGTAGGATTCTATTTTACTGCCACACAGAAATTTGTGATTCATAAATATGTAAGATATTACAGCAATTTTAGAGTCAATAAAAATGCACAGCAATAAGAATAAAGCACAAAGAACAAATAATAACGTCAAGTGCCTTGGATCTCATCAGCTTTAACTTCCGGAAACGAAGTATCTTGCGCGGAATTTTTTTTTAGATTTTACAGTGTTGTTCCTTGGTAACAGCAATCGCCGAAAGTAATACGTCACGGAGTGTTGTGTTTTTGCGTCGCTTTATTATGACGTCACAATCAACTGCCTCAAACATCAATGCATTAGCCAATCAAAATTCATTTTAAAACAATTGCATTAGAATGGCGAATCTAGAGCCAGGTATATTTGACAGGGGTGCCCTGTCATTTATGTGTTATGAGGACGCTTTCCCACAGGAGGCGTGGGAGAGGAAGCGAAAGATGAGGGTAAGTTTTCTTAGATTTTAATTATTATGTAATACTTAATTAATTGCATTCGTTCACTTGTATCTCTCGTTTAAATTATCTGTTGTTGAGTAAATTTTTCAGCATAATCACTACCAACATTTTTTACTTAACAAGTGACACAAATTTTAATTGACTGCTGGAATTTTAAGTTTATTCAAATTGATGGTCAAACCCATTTAGAAAAATATATACTTGTATATCTAGAAGATATGTATACAAAGTAAAAAATTAACAACTTTCAAGTGGTGGAAAAAGTTTGAATGATCATATTTTAACATTCACTCTATCAGAGCAATAAAATCTATTTGAAGCTTTGACTTTTCTTTGTTTCTTTTGTTTGTAAGAGGATAGGAAAAATGAATTTAATCATTTCATTTACAAAAATTTAAAGAATGTTTTAGATGGTTGGAGCTCATATATTCAGCACCCTTCCACTAAAGTTGATTTGGGTAGACTTAGATCAGATATTTAAGGAATAACTGTCTAATTTTTTGGATTCATGATGTGATCAATCGAGTGGCTTACGTGATAATTTGCATAAACGCCGAAGGCGTTTATGCATAAAATTTTCACGCAAGCCAATCGATTGATCATCGTCATGAATCCAAAAAATCTGACAGTTATTCCTTATATTTACATGCTCCTGATTCTGCAAATTCCCGTGCTAATAGTCCCGCTTCTGTCTCTATTTGTCACGCCCCGCACGTGATTTTTTTTAACCGCGCCTATCGATGAACCAGTAGATTTATGTAGAAATAAAGTATTTTTACAATTTGTAATTTTATCTCGGACAAAGACATTGGAAATGTAAATATATACATATCAACCCACCCACCCCTCCTCTAATAATAATAATCTATTAACTCTTGCTATTGATGGTTGCAAAGCTTTTGTATATTTGCCAAGCTACAGTGAAACTTATCTTATTTTATTGTGGCTTTGATTGGAATGATTATTATTATTATTATTATTTTTTTTTTTTGCTAAATCAATACTTTATATTTTTAAAACTCCAGAATGCAAAAGAGCTTCCTAAACCAGCAATGCTTCCCATTACCAGCAAAATAAAAGAAGCTAGCCAATGGGTTGCTAAGCACAATAGTGGTAAGTTACTGTTTAATCTTTTACAACAGTGCACCAGTACAAAATAAATCAAATTCTTTCCTTATGTAGCGCTTCAAGAAAAATATGTCTACGTGCAAATCTGTGTGATTTACACACCAATAATTCACACAAAGCTTAAAAACATTCCTTATATTTACATTTTACATGTTTAACTGCACCAAAAATACACTCAACGTCACTTTAGCGCGAGTTTCTCCGTGTATATTACTACGCGTGAGTATACACAAAAATGGTTTTCAAATCAATTTCACAGTTGGCTTAGTAGAAAAACACAGCAAATGTAAATATTTAAGCATTGAATCGTTATTTTTTTAACATGGCCGTAGGAACCGGGGGGCCGTGCCCCCAATAATTTTGCCGATATATAGATTACCATGATAGAAAACATAGATACTATATGCTTGTGCCCCCTCAATAAAAACATCTGACGACCTTTTTTTTTTTTTTTTTTTGCTTGTCAAGAAATTTTTGGTAGATGAGAGTGCCCCCTCAACTGAAAATGTATGGCTGTGCCCCCACCAAACTGAAATTGCTTCCTACGGGCCTGTTGAAAGATATAGTCTCATAACTGCAACGGTGTGGGCAAACAAATTGAGTAACGCGTGTTTATATTTACGTTTTTTAACTCCTTGCCTTGACTGCAAAGGTAATTTATATATCAAAATCCCTGTATTATCCTTCGGGTAAGTTACAGTTAGTGGAAGAGCCGTTACAACAGCTTCTGTTCAATGTGAGCGTGAATTTTGATTTTCGCTTATGACGTTGCACTTCCAAGGCACAACGTTTGTGCCTTCAAAATAAAACGCATACTTTAACCTTTTGACCCCCTGTCCGTGTTACGGTGTTTTGAATGCCATAGCTTTCCTCACACTTTATCAGCAAAATACATATTGAATGTAAATATTTGCATAAATATTACACTCTTATTGTTCAAGCAACTACAGAATTAAACAAATGTCAGATACAGATACAATATACAGATACAGATACAATATACATTTTAAAATAGCTTTTTAGCTCACCTGAGGTGAGAGCTCAAGTGAGCTTTTCTGATCACCTATTGTCCGTCGTCCGTCCGTCTAGGTGCGCATCCGTCCGTCTGTAAACTATTCACATTTTCGACTTCTTCTCAAGAACCACTGGGCCAATTTTAACCAAAGTTGGCACAAAGCATCCTTGGGTGAAGGGGAGTTAAAATTGTTAAAACAAAGGGCCAAGTCTCCTTCCAAGGAGAGATAATCAAGAAAAGACAAAAATAGGGTGGTGTCATTAAAAAATCTTCTTCTCAAGAACCACTGGGCCAGAATAGCTGAAACTTGTATGGAAGCATCCTGGGATAGTGTAGATTCTAAATTGTTCAAATCATTACCCCCGGGGGTAAGGTGGGCCACAATGGGGAAACAAAGTTTTACATTGAACATATAGTAAAAATCTTCTCAACAACCACTGGGCCAGAAAAGCTGCAACTTATATGGAAGCATCCTGGGGTAGTTTAGATTCTAAACTGTTCAAATCATGACCCCTGGGGTAGGGTGGGGCACAGTACATATTACAAAGGAGAAAATCTAGTAAAGAACAGCAGGACCAAAGATACTCAGGTGAGCGTTGTGGCCCATGGGTCTCTTGTTAATACAATGTTAAAAAAAACTTTTGAATATCAATGACCTCATTTTCACAGTTCTTTATAAAGTCTCCAACTGCTGGCCAAAGTTCATGTGTTGTTGTTATCTTGCATTCATTTTGACTGAGGAGAGACTTTTTATCTGTATCCTGATCAATAAGAGTATAGTTTCCATGCTGTGAAATGTCACAGAAAAATTATACTGCCCATTAAAAACAGGTTTCAGGAAAAGAAATCAAACAAATAAATTACTGTTTCACAAGAATATCACTAAGGATGCTCTAATTTACACTGCATTTTAGAGAGTTATAATTCTATGGAACTTTTTTGCTGATAAGCTAAGAGTGATCTGGCATTAGATATTGAATTATATAAACTTTTTATACTCCCCACAATCAAAGTTTGAGGGGATATATAGGAATCACCTCCGTATGTCCCACTGTCTGTCCGTCCATTTATCTGTGCAATCTTGTTTGTTATGGAAAAACACTCGAAGCTCATGCATGTACTTTGCACAGAGATTGCTTATGACCCGATTGTGTGTCTTGACCTTAAACCATGGTCATTCTGGCAAGTTCAATGTCACTGACAAACAAGTATAAAATTTTTGTTTAAAATTTTTGTTTAGTTTATTACTTTTGAATAAAGTATTACTAGAGGCTCATTCTTGATACAGAGATTGCTGATGATCTGAGGTTGAGTCCTGATTTTGACCCAAGGTCATTCCTGCAAGTTTAAGGTCACTAGCAGAAAAGTATAAATTTCTTGTCTGGCTTATAACTTTAATATGGAGAATGATTGAAAACTCATATTTAGTACAGATATTGTTCATGACCTGAGGGTGTGTCATGACCTTGACCAAAGGTCATTCTGGCAATTTCAAGGTCACTGGTATAAAAAGTGTAAAAATTTATAACAGTTCTATAATATTCTAAAAGAGAAACATTGCATGTCCATATTTCACTGAAAGATTAACAATGGCCAGAGGATGTTTCATTTTTTAAACAAAGGTCTTTTTGGCAAGTTCAAAATATCACATTTACAAAATCTGAATGGACACTTTAAACAAATTGCAGCAGGGGGTATTATTTTGTGAGCTTACTCACAGTACATCTAGTTAGCTCACCTAAACTGAAGGCTTAAGTGAGCTTTTCTGGCATCTGCCTGTTTTCTGTCATGTTCACAGTCCGTTCACACTGTTGACCTCTTCTCCAAACTGAACTCAGTTTCAACCAAAATTGCCACAAAACATACTTATATATCCGAGGTCCCATGTCGTAGTGTTGGCACGAAAAAGGTCCCTCATTGCTCAATGGCCCTGAGTTCCGAGAAAAGGTATAAATTTGCAGCTCTCCACCTGCAAGTGGTGTGCGTGGGACGTTAAAACAAAAAAGAAACAAACAAACAAACCATTTCTCCCATAGAGCTCTTGAAGGTATGTAACTCGTGATATGAGTTATATCAAGGATTTTCGAGAGGTATATTTTAGATAACTACTCATATAGCACGACTCAAAGTCGCAAAGAAAAGTGGGGGTCAGTGTGCATCTTCCTGCACAACAGTACGATTAACTTGACCTTTTTGCACTTAAATTGTAACTTTAAAGTAATATATCGCGAATTTTTTTTATATACGTTCAGGTAGCCAGAATTAAAAAGATCTTTCTATTTGTTTTATCACTTTATATAAAGATAGGACTTTTCTGTAAATTACACAATTTAAATCAATCGCGTTTCAAAGATATTAAAAATTTAAAACAATAACCGATTTATTTACCTGCTCCACATTCAAATAACAGACAAATTTAAATTCATTTTAGCCATAGAAACGTGAGGTTATTCAAGCTCAAAATCGGTGAAAATTTTAATTTGAACGTAAATAACATATATCATGTATATTTACACTCAACCTCGTATTATTATTTTTCAAGCTCAGATACGCCATATATGGCTTTAAGGTTAATCACTTTAACCTTAGTCATTTTTTACCAAATGTAACCATGGCAATAAATATTATCTTATTTTATCAAAAAAATAGTTTGAATGATATTTCTTATTGAAAAAATCCTGCAAATTAATGCACTTAAAGTATTGTGTGACCTTTTTGCACTGAAAAAATATCATATTTAGGGTATTAAAAAACTAAATAGACAATAAAATATTTTTTGTATCAAGCTTTTTATGACTTAAGTGAATGTATCGTGTAATTTAAAATAATAAAAGAAAAAGCTGGGGTCAGTGATGTAAATTTTTAGATATTGGTCAGAATTTGCGATTTTCAGGTACGTGAAAAACTATTATATAAATTCTATCTAGACTTCTTAAATATATCTTCCTTTTTTTGGCAAAGTCTGTTGAGTAAATATGTAAAATTTGTTTTAAAGATATTAATTGAAATAATATTCCCAGCATATAATAACGAACAAAATTCTCCGAGTAAAAATATATAGGGCTAAAGTTCCAAGATATTAAATAAAAGAAATATGTAGATTTGAATAATTTTCTTCTAAGTATCCTTCTACCCCAAGAAATAGTCTCCCATAAATCTTGTTTCTTAACAATTTTGTGAGCAGTTTTTAAATTGAATATTATATGATACAACACAAAAATATTTGGACTTTGAACTGAAAACATAAAATTATCTCTTACTCTTCTGTGTTTCCTCTGTGAACTATTCTAAAAATTTGAGTGACCTTAAATCTTGCTGAATATTTTAAAATTTTAATGTACATACTAGGAAAATGTAACTATGGAAAAGCTTAGAAATGTAATATGCCCTTAATGTCTATTGTATAGTGATTATCAGAATTTTGGAGCGTAACAAAGATCTCATTTAAATCAGATTGTTTAAGGTCTGACGACATGTTCCTCAAATATCTATTTTTTTATCCCTTCATAATAGAAAAAAATATTCATAATTATCATTTTATGTACGGTATCTTGTGAATTTTAAACTGTTTTCAAATTGTTTTAAGAAAAATAAATACACCAATTAAAGATTGTGATATTGACAATTCTAGAGTTTTCCAATAGGATTATATAGAAAACACCATCATCTGGTTTCTTGCACAAATGCCTGGTAAGGTATGACAATTTCTAGGGAAACGTTATTTATTTTTGAGGAACGTTTCATCAGACCTTTGAGGACGTGAGTCGTACGTATGTCTAACCCTAAAACCATGGTTTCCTATACCCCACATTTTAATTATCAATAACTGGAAATGAATTATAATTAAAACAAATCGAGCGTTAGTCAGTGAAGAATTTTATACACTCACGTTTAAACAATTTTGAAAATGAATACAGACACATTTAATATTATTAAAGGCCCTTTCACAATTGGCGCACGCACAGAAGCGACAAAATATTCGTGCGACAGAAAATTTTTGTTTGGATCGTAAACTGTTGCCAAAATAATCGCATATGAAAAAGTATTCGTACGAAATTCGCACGATCTAAAGCGACCGTTGTGCATTAAATCTTGCGATATATCTTGCGTCTATATGCGACTGTTGGACAATGAAAGCGAGTGTTGTAAGATAATGCGTTCGAATCTCGCGAATGATCAGGTAATTGGACGATTGAACATGCGCCAATGCGATTGGACGTGCGGCACTTCGCGCTCATGCGTTCCATGGTACGAATGCTCAGAGGGGGTATCTAAACCGGCCGTTTCCGCAGCTCTTCAGTTGATATAGTTGAATGCGATAGAAGATGCTTATACAGTTGATATATACTAGTGGCAAAGCATGACAAATTGAGGCTGATAAATTATGCAAGGATAGTAAAACGTTGCAATTTTACATGAGACACGTTGAGCAACAGTCTCATATTCGCAAAACACACTCATAGACAGCTGCGATTCATCGTACGACATTTAAAAATCGTGCATCACTCTTGCGAGTACGCAAAACGTTGTAAGACGTTCGTACTAATGTTCGTGCATGGCGTTGCGATAATTTGGATCGCATTCGGTCGAGTCTGAATAATGTGCATGTCCACTATCTTGAGGAGACTTGATGCGACCACTAAAACGCATGCAACGAATGCGAGACATCGTGCAGCGTATGCGAGAGCTCGTGCGAAGCTAAAACATTCCGATCGCAAAGTGTTGTAAAGTGCTCGTGCGCCAATTGTGAAAGGGCCTTAAGGAGTTCAACAACCGTGAGATTAAAACCGCTGTAAAATGTTTCAACACTGAAAATCGTCAAAAGTCAATTGCATTTATGGTATTGAAATTAACACTTCTGTCAATCATAACTTTGACTGCTATTTCAGTGAAAGTGGAGAGGAACCAGTCTGGGAACAACACTCCACCTCCCCCTCCATCAAGTTCCGGGAGCGACACACCATCCCCTCCTCCATTAAGTTCCAGGAACAGGTCAGGGAACAACATCCCACCACCTCCTCCATTTATTTCCAGGAACCAGCTAGGGAACAACATCCCATCCCCTCCTCCATTAAGTTTCAAGAACCACTCAGGGAGCAACACCCCACCCCCTCCATTAAGTTGCTGGAACCAGTCAGGGAGCTACACTCCACCTCCCCCTCCATCAAGTTCCGGGAGCGACACACCACCCCCTCCTCCATTAAGTTCCAAGAACAGGTCAGGGAACAACATCCCATCCCCTCCTCCATTAAGTTCAAAGAACCAGTCAGGGAGCAACATCCCACCCCCTCCTCCATTAAGTTGCTGGAACCAGTCAGGGAGCAACATCCCACCCCCTCCTCCATTAAATTGCCGGAATCAGTCAGGGAACAGCACCTCACCCCTTCCTCTATTTAGTTCCGGAAGCGAATCAGACACCGTATCAGCTCCTACCTCTACTGTTCATAATCTACACTATGCCCATTTAGGCCATTATATAAGGGACAAATTTCACAATCAACAAATTTGTGACATGGCCTTTAAAGTGGGAGAAAAAATTATACCAGTCCATAGGATCGTCTTAGGGTCACAAAGTCCATTTTTTGCCAGCATATTTGAAAGGGACTCGTTTTCTCCTGAGGCAGTTGCACCAAAAATAATTAAGGTGCGTGGTGTATCGGAGGAGTCTGTAATGTTATTTCTGGAGTTTTTATATTCCGGAAACATCAGCATCAAAACAACAGTCATTGCTGACCTTCTGAAATTAGCACGTGTCTTTCACGTTCAAAAAATCCAAAGACTGTGCCTGAATCAGGTAAAAGAGGCCAGCAACGAAGAATTACTCAATATTCTGCCAATTGTGAAAGGTATAGAAGAAATAGAGTATTGTGATAACATCATGAAAGTAATAGGAAAAAACTTTCTTGATGTTAAGGAAAGCACATCATTTTTCAACTTGGATATTGACACATTGTGCATGATTTTATCACATGACACATTAACCACTAAATCCGAGCTGGATGTATTTTGTTCGGCCATCTCATGGATGCACCATCATGATTTTGAAAATAGAATCCGACATTTAGAAAAACTCATGAGGTGTGTGAGATTTCCTTTGATGTCAAAAAAAGAGCTATTCCGCTGCTTCAAAATGTTTCCAGCTTTGCGAAATGAGCCAAAATGTGTGGAAATGATTACTATGGCCAATTGGTAAGTATATAACAATAAAATTATAAACATACAGTAACTATACTTTTTCCACAGGGTCATATTTTCACAGAATCACAATTTCTGTTCAACCTTCGGGTAGAAAATTAAGCAATCCATTTCCTAGATTGCCACTTTATGCCTCAGATGTACTTGAAGTAAGCAGGGACAAATTTCGGTGAAAAAATTAGTGTGACTGCGTGCATAACATAAAATAATACATCATGGAAAACGTATTTCTATCTTATAACAGACTTGTGAGTTAATACTTACTAGATCACAGCAACAAATCAAATGCTAATTATAGTCATAGGGAAAAAAAAGAATCAATGTATAGGAGTGGTAAGACAGTAGGAACCCCAGTGGGATGAAATGTCTCTATTCCCTTCCTTTAATGCATATGAATGTATCATCAATTCAAAATTATGTAATAATTTAACAATTATTTATGAGATTAATTGTTGTATATATTGCTAGAACTCATTCCTCTCAAACCATCCTAATATTTGAATAGGTTACGGTTAGTTTTAGCTTTAATTGACTCCTCGCAAATACCTGCAGGTTAGTCTACTTAATTGTTACAATATATTATAACCTTGAAAAATATTAAATGTTAATTGTTGTGAATCAATAATTGCTTACAATTAACATAATTAAGGATTACCAAAAAATAAAAGATAAGCAGCAGAGAGTATGTAGTTATTTTATTTTCAAATAACTCACAGTAATTGACAAACCAGTTTTTGTTGACTTATCAAGGATTCAGACCTCATATTCCTTACATGAAGTGGACCCATTAGATAACTTAGTACCCAGGGAAAGGAATAATTTACACAGCAGCCAAAGTGTCAGCAGCTTCATAAAAGTAAGTTATCATGTTTTAGTTATACATCATTATCATCCTTTTAGCTTAAATTTTATGCATGAATGCAGTTAAAGGCTTTATTTTGGAATGAATTACTGTAGATTCCTATTTTACGCAAGTATTTAATATCGCGAAATGGCCCTAGTACGTCAAATCGTGAGAACAATAATTCGCGAGTGGACGATTGATCTAGAGGTTTTACATACATTTAATCGCCATAAAAATAAAAGCGAGTAATTTAATTTCATGAGTGGAGCCTCTTGCGATATTACGCAATAATATTTTCCTCGCGTATATTTAGGAACAGTATATGAAAGTAGCATTTAGCATATGTTTCTTCTTACTCTTTCTACCTCTTGATATAATAGACCAATTCAAGCACTGTTGTTTTGAATGAGCCACCTGTTGAAGTTGAGGTGAGCCAGATGCCAGATGATATGGTTCGGGATTTCAACTCCCATGCCTTCATGCGGAGCGCCAGCTCTACATCCGCACACTCAGATGGCTATGCTAGAGTTGAACAGTACGGCACCTCAAAAAGTAAGCCCATATCTAACTATCTGTATTGATGCTGGAATTAAAAATCAAATTAAACAGATAATGATTTGATATTTTTAAAAAGAGATATCAATCTATATATTCTGCAAGTATTATACACTCAGATATAAAGCTTTCTCATGATCGAGACCTCTAGACATACAGGCCTTAAGAATGATCGACCGAGTATAATGTTCTCTAAATTCTATATATCTAGGGATTGTACCTTATTAAAAGGCTATGTTTGATTTATTTTTTTTATGTCAGTGAATGAGAAATATCTTCAAAATCCTTTATTTTAATGCTCAATAGTTTCTTTGTTTAGTCATTAAATGTTTTGTCATATTATTTAGGACATTACAACTGCAAATGCTGCGGAAGTAATATCTGTTTTTACAAACGCGATGTTATCATGCACTTTTGGAATATCTTTAAAATCGTTACAAATATAAATCTACCCCCCCCCCCCCCGAAAAAAAAACTCGTGCCAAAAACTGATCGGGGCAAAGACAAGACACAGGATATTGGCCGAATTATTAAATTCGGCCAATGGTTTACAAAATCTGTGCAAGAAAACCGTGTGGGTTTCATCATATGCCATTGGACTCACAGATTATGTAAATCTCTCTGAAAACCCGCGTCATCTTCCATACATGCATAAGAAGACTTTATTATTAGAAACCCCTGTCAAAAAAGCCCTGTGACATAGCATATATGGAGTCACGAGTTCTGTACATTCATCTAGATCTAAGTGTGAACCTTAAGAGATCTAGAATCCGATGTACATCATAACTGTGGATGACAAAATGGAGACTGAACTCAAACTTCACACTAGGCTTTACATAATTGCTATACTTATAATTCTTTTTAAGAATTATAAATGTAAAGATTCATATGTGAATGTGTCCATTCACTTTCTGTTAAAGATCTACTTTATCATTTACAGTTCATATTAGTTTCTAATTAAGAATTCAAATGAATGATAATGATGAATTCAATTGTAATTTTGCCTACTTTAGTTTGCACAATCTGAGAAAGAATATTATACAAATATAACTTTCTGTAAGACAGCGATGGCACATGAAATGCAATGGGATTATTAAGTTTAAGTCCAACTTAAATCATTGAAATAGACATAATCTATTTCATTGTCAACATTGCGATACAGAATTCCACCAGCAATGGATAATTATTTATTCTATATTAGACACTTCATTTGGTTCAAAAGTGATAAAATTTATCCCAGAACGACATAAATAAAAAAAACACTTTTAGTTGAATATCCTTAAACTGGAGTAATAAAAACATTCTTAGCTTAAAATCACAAATTCCTCCAAATGAATTTGATTTTTAATTAAAGGAAGTTACCATGGAGCATGCTCAGTAAAAAGCCATGAGAAATATACCGTTGAATCGAAACCCACGTCACAATTATTGAGCTTTTATGAGTTAAAAGCCATCTTCCTTCGACACGGATTTTGTGCCTACACACGGGTTTCTGAGTGCTCTAAGGATTCCTTAGTTTAGACTCAGATTCCGTGTCTGTGTCTAAAATGAGCATGCAGAACCAGTGTAAGGCTTTTCAAAAACCTGTATGGTTTTCGTGCCTTAGCCGTGCTTAGTCTGTATCAAACTATATGTTTTGTACTGCTTACTATGATAGGAGAAATTACATAATTATTTTGTAATCACAACCTGCTGAAAAGTTATAAAAATTTATCTATCCCAGATGAAATCATAAAGGGTTTCAATAAACAAAACTAGTGACTTCCGCCTATCCAATCCTTCACTCACTTGCCTGTGCTAACTTGACAACATGCAATGTCTGACATTAAGATATATAGAATGCTTAATTACACAACCAGAACTTAAAGCCTGATTTACTTTTTAATATCCTGCAAAAATACAGCAAACTAATTTTCTTGGGAAGATTTATTTACTTTCAGAAAAGAAAGAAAACAAAAATATAAATGAATTAAATGTGACTGTGTCATGATTTCCTAAGACATTTAGTATGCATCAAGTTATTGTTTTTTTTAATATCGTGAAAAAGAAATTTTTAAGAATTTGGCAAGCGAAAATTCACTGTCAGCTAGCTTTCCTTTTTAAAATTAGAAATTGGTCATTGTTAAATTGACTAACCTATTTATCTGGATTTTAAACTTGTAGGTAAAACATTCACACGCAGGAAAGTCAAGGATATTAAAAAAGAAAACAACAGGTATGTAATGCAAACATGCTTTGATACATCTTATTTTTCATGTAAATAAATATGAGACAGTTTGAAGGTTTTTAAAGGTTGTCAAACCTGGACGCATATAGCATCAACAGATGCTGATGTATGAAAAAAAGACAAGTTTAACACGCTGATGTATGTTGAATGCATTAGGGATAAATGTTTTCTCACCAGATCCAAGGCTTATTATCATGTGAGCTTTTCTGGTCACATTTTGTCAGTTGTCCATCTGTCTGCAAACTTTTCACATTTTGACTTCTCAATAATCACTGGGCTATCTTCAGCCACATTTAGCTTTTTGGGGGGTGAAAGGGGATTAAAGTTTATTCAAATGAAGAACCAAGTCCTGCCTTAGGAGATAATTAAGAATTGGTGAAAATTCATTGGCATCTATCAAAAATCTTCTTCTCAAGAACCATTGGGCCAGAAAAGATGGAAGTTTAATATTTTGTGAAAGTTTTTATTTGTTTAAATTATGATCCGGGGGGGGGGGGGGTTTAATTTGGATCATTATGGGCAATCAAAGTCTAACAAAGAATTACATGTATATAGAAAAAAAATTACAAATCTTTTTGTCAAGAACATCAAAGCCTGAAAACAAAGTTTTGGTAATTTGGAAGCATCCTTAAGGAATAACGAGACGATTGGTAGCCTTTAAGATTAAATGAAATCTGGAGACTAAAAGGCTATGATAAGCTGAGCCATATCAGGGTATATAGGCCTTGGAGCATTTTAGGTTGACGTAAAATATCCTATACTTTTCACATATTCCAAATTCATTTCAAAAAACATTGTTGCACTCTTGTTTTAATTTTTTGGCCATCCTTAGAGAAATGTTTGTTTGGAATTGCCACCTGGGGAGGGGGATGTTTTTAAGAAGTCCTATGGTTTATGTTTGCAGCAATGCAGACAAGTGACAGTGCAAGTATAGGTTGGATGTTTTAAATATAAAATTTATCTTGGAAATTCACTGTTACATAGGTTACAATGGAAACAACGCTAGTAATAATTTTATTCTTATTAGGTCACCAGAGTCACTCAGGTGACCTATTGCTATCTGTTTTTGTCTGTCGTCGTTCGTTGAGAGATGTGCGTCCTGTGTTAACGTTTGGACATTTTCAAAACTCCTTCTCTGGAACCGCTTAACCAATTTTAACCATTTTGGCATATACATGTAGCATCTTTGGGTAAAAGGAAACAGAAATTCTGAATTTCATGGTACCTGCACCCTGGGTCCTGAGGGGTGGTGCTAAAACCATCAAAATTTATGCAATCTGTAAAAATTTTCTTCTTTAAACCTGGACATTAAGAAATCAAACTGTTGGCATGATTGTAATAAGCATTGAGCCCTCTACCAAAATTGTAAAATTCATGGCGTCAGTATCAGGGGTTCTGGTGCTATGCCAGAACTATGTAGATTCTCTAGTGAAAGTGCATTATTTCTTGGAAAATCTTGCTCTCTTCTCCTGGGTATTAGACAAACTAACTAAATACATGGTTATGATGAGCAAAGGTGACTCTTCCAAAAATTCTAAATTTCATGGCTCCTGGGTTAAGGGGTTCATGTGTTAGGACGGGGCTCTATTGAATATATATTGAAAATGCGTTAATCTTTGAAAATCTTCTTCTCTAGTCCTGGGTATTAAACAAAATATAGTTATGATGAGCAAGGGTGCCTCTTTCAAAATTTTGAATTTCATGGCCCCTGGGTCAGGGGTTCATGTGTTAGGGCGGGGCTCGATTGAATATATAATGAAAATGCATTAATTCTTTGAAAATCTTCTTCTCTGGTCCTGGGTATTAAACGAACTAACTAAGTTCATAGTTATGATGAGCAAGGGTACCTCTTTCAAAATTGGGCTCTATTGAATATATAATGAAAATGCATTAATTCTTTGAAAATCTTCTTCTCTGGTCCTGGGTATTAAAAAACTAACTAAGTTCATAGTTATGATGAGCAAGAGTACCTTTTTCAAAATTATGGATTTTATGGCCCCTGGACCAGAGGTTCATGTGTTAGGGCAGGGCTCTTTTTATTATATACTGAAAATGCATCAATTCTTTGAAAATATTCTTCTCTGCTCCTGGAGTTTATTTAAACAAACTAAATGCATGGTTATGATGAGCATGGATTGTTCAATTCATGGCCTCGGGGTCGGGGGTTCTGCTGAAAGGAGGGCTCTATTGATGATATCGTGAAAAAGCATAATTCATTATAAATAATCCTTTCTGTTCCTGATTATAAACCTAGTGGTAGGACGTTTGCTTCGTGATCGGGAGGCCGGTGTTCAATTCTTGTTCGCCGCGCCTTGTCAGACCTAAGACGTAAACATGGGTAGTGACTTTTCCTTCGCCAAACGCCCGGCACTGGAAGTGAAAGTCACGGGTCTTTCGGATGAGACCTTAAAAACACGGTAGGCGTTGGCACGATAAAGAACCCTCACTGCTTAATATCCCTGAGTGCCGAGTATATGTCTAAATTTGAAGCTCTTCACCGGTATATGTTGACGTCTCTACCTGACTGAAAAATTCTCGAATGGGACTTAAAACAACATACAATCAATCAATCAATCCTAATTATAAAGCAAAGAATCTAAGTGTATACATGTAGTTATGATGACCTAGAGTGCTTCTTCCAGAATTGTGAGTTTCCTGGCTCCTGGTTCAGATGTTCAGGTGTAAGAGTGGGGCTCTATTGATAATAGAGTGTAAATACATTAATTTTAATAATTCTGTCTACTCCTTAGTGTTGAGCAGATAAACAAAGTGCATGACGAACAAGGGTATTTTTTTTTTCAAAATTTTTAAAACTTGTGGTCCCAGGGTCAGGGGTTCTGGTGTTTTTCGGGATGAGTTGGGGCTCTGGTGCAGTATTTCTTTGAAAAATTTTTCTGCTCCTAGGCATATCGGAGGCAAACAGAGTAAAAGTTTGAATAAACAAGGATATTTTTGCCAGATTTTTGAACATCTGGACCATTTGGGGTCAAGTGTTCTGTTCCTGGCCAGGACTGTATTAAATTTAATTGTATTCTACAGTGAGAAGTTATTTCCCTTTGCCATTTATTCTTGATAAAATCACTGTTAATAATGTATATGAAAGGTTAACAGAATAAGAGAATTATGCAAGAATTTTTATTGTATAATACCAAAAGTACCTTTATATTTTGATGATCAGACTTGTAAATAATTATAAATAAAAATGAGGCAAAGTAGCATATCTCATTAAATGTTCTTCAAAGACCAAGAGAGGCCAATATGAGAGGTTACAATATGGGTTTAAAAATTGTGCAGAAGCACTAATAGTTTGTTAGGCCAAGATAAATAAATAGTGCGTTTCCTATTCCAACCTGATAATAAATAGGGTAGGTAGGTAGGGAAAACATTTTATTTTATTTTAACATTTTATTAGTTAAAATTGAACTTTGACAATAAACAAAATGAGAAAAAGAAAGAGTTCATTTCTTTTTCCCAAAAAGGGCGGCTTACTAATGGCATTCGTATAGGATATGCATTTTCTCAAACACCGAAGTGATCGAGATTAGGATTTCTAAAAGTGATAATGGAATTGTTTACATCCGGAAATATATCGGTTGATAAATTTTTCAGGGTCGGCTCATATATTTTAGGATCGGTCTGGGAACCGGAAACACACAATTTATTTATCTAGGCCTTATTAGTCTGCATGGTGATGGTGATCAAGGGGGGGGGGGGGGCAGATTAGAATTTAATTAATGAGTTGTTATTGAATACTAGACTAATTATTTCGTTGATCCTGATTATCCTATTTCTCTTGCTTTGGGTACCAAAGCTTCATCTATCAGTTTATTTAATACTCTATCATAATGGATCCTCTAAATCGTTGTATTATACTCAGGTGACCCTTGGACCTCTTGTATTGTTATATAGTCTTACACTAAAAATAAATAGAGGATATTCAATGTTTTGTAGATGAATATGGAATTTATTTCACGAGTGGGATAGGAATTTTTTATATTTTCACGAGTGAGAAGCACGAGTGGAAATATCAAAAAATCCTGTCTCACGAGTGAAATAAATTCCATATTCATCTACAAAACATTGAATTTTCTGTTTATTACATTTTCTTAGAATTCCCGTTGCCTCTGTCTTTTCGTAACACAGTATCATAGGCTGTGACGTCATAGTTCAGCGATTGAGACGTCATAGCTAAGTGATTGCGGGATTGAAAAACGTTGTAAACATGTATTTTAAATGACATATTTGGAAAAATCTTGACAGTATAACTATAAGTCTCTGTCAGGATGGCTCATTAACTCTATTTTATAACAGGCGAGGATTTTGTTTAAAAAAACACTCTTTGTGAAGGGAAGGAAAATCGTAAGTTTTGCCGCACTTCTGATATTCTCACACTGTGAGAATACCATGTTGATATCCTTTCACACAGTATCAGAACAACACCTTTATTCAGTGTATAAAGTACAATATTTCACTGTTGAAAATGTAATAAAAGCAATTATAGTTTGAAATGCAACCAGATAATAGAATAAAGATCCCTGTAACATATTCCAAGCAAAACATGACATTTTTTTATTGGGTGGCGATGGTTGCTTTCATTATATCAAATTATTTTTATATGTTTTAATCTGACCCTTGGTAAAAATTAAATGAGGATTTTTAAAGGCAAGTATGTGGCCCTAATTACCACATTTGAAAATATCAAATTTAATTCTGAAAATAAAGCATTTCTTTTGGAAATTTAATTAAGGAAATAAATTAATGTTTAATAAGCTGAATAATATTTTGTTTCCTTGGATGCATTTTCTTGTGTGTGGATTCCAAAAATTTATTATTGATATTTTGAACAGCTAACTTGATTTTTCAAATTTCATTATTACACAATCTCTAACTGGATGCAAGAAGCTACCATGTAGGGTTAAATATTGCTACAAAGTTACCAAAGTTCAATTGTTTCCCTTTTTGCCAACCGTAGCAACAGTTTTATTTTCTTCATCAAACTTATGAATTATATTTATCATAAACTTGAGTTCTATCAGATAAGTACAGTTAAAGGTGAGTCAAATAGTATGTTTCTTGAAAGGTTACTAAATTCATAAAGCAGCAAAAATTTATTACTGTAAACCATTGGTAAGACGTTTCCATAGTTTTAATACAATTTAGCAATTTATCCCAATCTTTCCAATGCTAAGGCTCTTACAATGTATGTTTCCCAGTCTTGAAAGTTTTTGTATTTCCCAAAGGAAGCAGCATTAACCAAGACTTTGCATGATTGCAAACAAATTTTTTATAATGATTATAAAATTAACTATAAATTATCTTTGAACTCATATGGTTGCAACAAGAGGTTAATAAACTTAAGCATGTCTGTAAAAAAAAAAAAAAAAAAAAAAAAAAAAAAAAAAAAAAAAAGTTTCCTTTTCTTCTACATATTTTGCTAGCATGCTTTGTGTTCAATTATCCTCTCAGTGCTTGATATAGTCATGATTTTTTTAAATAAAAAATAAAAATTTAAAACTTTTACACCATGGTGAAGGCAATAAAAAAATCAGTCTTTTAAAAAAGATATAATTATGAGTAAAGAAAACTGCCAGAATGTGATTTCCGGCATTAAAAGCTATTAAATAATCATTCTGGTCTGTCTTTTTAGTCATTTCCTTTAATAGGTTGCTTAGTACATGTTTAACTGTTACGGAGTCTTTTTTTATTTATAATAATATTGTCTTTTTAATATATTGTTGTTTTCTTGTATAAATTTGCTTTGCCTTGAGATTTTTATGCATACACATCCATCTGGATAAGGTACGTATAATCTTTTAGTTGATCTTTAAAAATCACGTATATTAACAAGAAATTGATAACTTATTTTTTATCATACAGTAAAACTTGTATAATCTGAATGCTGTGTAATCTGATATTTTGTGTATTACGATAAAAACTCTCGGTCTCTCTGACTAAATTTAATTGTTTAAAATGTTGTCTTATCCTGAATATTGTCTAATCCAGCCAATTTTTAATGCAACCAGAGATGTCAGGACATAAACAAGTTTTACTGTACATACAAGTAGGGTTCTATTCAATACATGTTATACATTTTGTGTTTGTCACATCGTTTAAGCTCACCTGAGCCAAAGGCTCAAGTGAGCTTTTCTGATCAAAATTTGTCCTTTGTCTGTTGTCATTGTCATTGTTGTCATCGTCATAAACTTTGTACAGTTACATCTACTTCTCTAGAACTACTGGGCCAATTTTAACCAAAAATTTGATGTGGTTAATTGATTGAAATTATTCGAATTTTCAGCCTTTACTTCTGAAACTTTGGCGTTTACAAATAAAAGAATGGTACAAATATTTTCAAAGTGAATTTAAATTTATCTTATGCAATATTCTGAGGTCAGTTCCAAGCTGTTGTTCATGTAACAGTGTGTAAGAAGAAAGATGACTTGATCAGGGTAACAAAATCTAGCTTGCAATCAGTTCTGGTTTAAAATTGTCAAAATATTTATATGCTTATATGCAGTTTTGTTGACTAATCTCAGCTTTAAAGTTGATTGACTTAATAATATTAACGTTACTCATCAAGATACATGTACAGTTGTACATGTACAGGTTTCCTCATAAGAATTTTACAGATTTCAGAAGACAACGAATGAAATTATAAATAGATGGATGGTGCTAATATGTATTGCATATATGTATTACATATTAATTTTTTTTCGAATCCATTATCTCTGCTGATATAATTTGGGTTCCAGAGTTAATGAGTTACATGTCAATGTAAGGCCACTTAAATACTTAGCACCTGGTGGCCTATTGACCTAAATCTTAATTCATATTATTTTTTTTAATTCCTCTTTGTCAACTTTTGCAACCTAATAATGGTTATATTTAATTAACGTGATTTTTAATTTTTTTTTTCTTTTGCAGGAGGACTGGGAAAAAAATCCCTAAAGATTCACCCATCAGAAAGTTATTTTCGTTGGATTTTTAATGGTTTTGTACATGTTGTAATAGTTGTAGTTTTTTCGAATTATTTTATTGTTTTTTTTTTAGTGTTAAATGTTTTCCTATTAGTGTATTTTTTTTCTTCGGTGTTTCAATTTTCTTTACTATCATTTTTTTTTTCAAATTTCTAAGTTAAGATGTTAAAATTGTTATTGAAAATAGGAATTAGAATGTTCTTGTAAATAAAGTTTTTTGCATGCAATAGCGCTTTTTTTTTCTTTTTTCTAGGTGTATCTCGTGTGTTGTGTCGTGTCTTAAAATTGAACATTTCTATCTTTTACTTTTTTTCCCTAGATGCTTTTGTTGCGAGTCTTTTATCTTGATGAGTAAGGACTGGTACACACGGTAAGGCTTGCTGTATAAGTCATGAAACTTAAGTCTTGCCTTGTAAAATGTACGTTTACAAGTTTAGTACAATCTTACAAGTTTGAAATATGAATAGAGCAATGCTCGAAATACAAGAATTACATATAGTTACCTTTTCTTATTTGCCATTGAGAACCATTTGCATAATCATCGTTCTGCTTTTATCAAAGCATTCACGTGAACATATTGACGTGATCACAAAGTTGTGAATACACAGGTCAGTTGATTGATTGTTGTAATTGTACGTCCATTGCAAAATTATTCCACTCGTATGAGATGTCACCATATACCAACTTAGACCTTATCTCAGCACTCAAGACCATTTAGCAGTGTTGGTTCTTCACCATGCCAATGCCAGCTTTATTTTTTAAAGTCTCATTCTCAAGACCCGTGGCTAATTAGGTTTGTTGTCAAAATGATTCAGAAATCAAACTGACTGGAGTTGATACACTTTACTTTAAAACCATTAAAGAAAAAAAAATAATTCTGTGGCGTATTGATTTTTTTCAATTAAAGAAGTACCGTGTACAGCTGGTGTAATCAGTATTGTATACTAAACTCATACAAATACTGTACATGTTACATGTACATATATTAATTCAAGCCATAGGAGAAGTCAGCAACACGGAAGGATTAAGTTCAAAATTACTTTTAACATTGATCTTTGTTAATACGTGTACTTGTGTCATATAATTATACAGTGCGCATATCCCAGTCATCAGACTTTCTCCGGAAGACGCACTGGCTGTACAAGCTTATCTTTTAAAAAGATAGGTGAGCTAACGCTGTAGCCATTATAAAACACAGAAGTAGATATCTGAACCATTTGGTTAAATTTTCTAAATCGATTAATTATTATTAATAGGAAAGCACAGTGGTGCACCTGGGGTGGTGTTTGGGGGATAAGGTCTCAATTCAGAATGCTGAAACTAGAGAGGGATTCACATTTGCAATGGCTTAACTCATTAATTGTGTTAAAAGCATTCTGTAGTTTAATACTCTAATTTCAATTTTGAGGTAAAAAATAAAACATCAGTATATCTAATGAGCACCTAGTTTAAAATATTCCAGTGTGGTACTGTTTTGTAGCAATCACTTTTTCCGGGCCTTTCTGGCAAGCTCGGAAAACATACCCAAAGTTGCTTACCGGAAAGATTCCAGGAAGGTACGAGGGGTGATCAAAAAGTTCGCGAACTATCTCTATATTTAAAAAACCACCATTCAGATCAGAATGAAATTTGGCACACATATAGTCAATCACATGTTCTATAAATAGCAGATGTTGAATAATGTTTTGCCCCTTGTTTGTGACGTCACAATGTGAAAATGACGTCATTATAAAGGTCACTTGTGACAAAAAATGGTTGACTCGGTCGTACTCGAGCAACGATCGGTTGTAAAGTTTAACGTTTATCTCGGAAATTCCTTTGCAGTAGAATATGATAATTTGTACAAGGTTTATGAAGACAAAAGACTTACCAAAAGTTCAATCATTAATTGGATTGAATGTTTTAGTGAAGGCAGGGAGATGGTTAAAATGGTGTTTGTTCTGTTGCCCAGTGAAAGCAAGTTGGTAAAAAGATATGTCCTTAGTTGAGCAATTTGTTTTGAAAGATCGCCAAGTTACAGTAAGAAAAATAGTTGAATAATTGAGCAATAATATAAATATTAAATCCCTAAAATATCGTTTACTTTAGACTTTAAACATATGAGATATGAAAAAAAAGACGCCCATACTTTTTCCACATTGAATAAAGGACGCTCCCGAGACAGAGGACTCAGGTTGTGATGGTCACCATGCTAATTCTGGGAAGGGATATCCTTATCCACCCATCCTATTGCCGAGATTTGGCCATTTCTGACAGATGGTCTGTTCTTGTTATAAAAAGTTACTTGCATAGTAAGAAATATAAGACTCAGAAAAATATCCTAGCTTCTGTGAACAGACCGCTACGAAGCATGTCACGTGACCGTCTGGATCACGTGATTCGCGCATGGGCAGAACAATGGCAGATGTGCATTAAAATTGGAGAGGACTACTTTAAAAAATAATGAACACTGATACCTCATTTTATTTCTTTTAAGGAAGTAATTCAATTAGTTCGCGAACTTTTTGATCACCCCTCGTAGTGTTGAAAAGGCAGGTATTCATTACAATTTTTGAAATAATTGATCTCTTCAGTCTTGGCATTATAAGACTAAAGTTACTGTTGCTTGTGTACATTAATATACAGGTTAGTCAACAAAACATGAAACTTCAGATCATATGTATTTTCAGATGATAAAACGAAAATGTCATGGCACAATTTATCTACTACTGTTTGGTCAACATATGGTTTTTAGTTACTTTGGAATGAACCTGTTCCAAAAACTTCAAATAATAAGCTATTCGTTTAAACCTCCGATGCTGAAGAGGAAATGGTAGTAGAACGAAGTATTTGAAGCAGACTATAATTGCTGGAACTATAGCAATGAACCATAGTACAAAGTATTTGAAGCAGACTATTGCTGGAACCCTTCAGCAACGGAGGTTTAAACGAATTGCTATGAAAAATCAACAACTTTATATTTTGATGGATTTAAACCTTTCAGAGGTAAGAAACGAAAGTTTTATGGTGATAGGGAGTTAAAAGGATGTCCAAAGCAAAAAGTTGAAGCAGACAGCTAATTCATTTCAGCCCGTACTAATTGAAACAAGCGGTCGAAGTACGGGCACGAAACCCCGAATGAGATTATGTGACACTGTTCTGAGATCCGTAGAGACACCAGACCAAAATTTTTAGTCTCTACGGATCTCGCTGAGGTTACTGTTTAGGGGATAATAAACTTGCTAATTCCTCATAGCCAGTAATTAGATGTATAGTTTTTATCTATTGGTAAACTAGTGTGACTTACCGTCATCGATATCTACATGCAGAATTTAACGTTCCAATAACAAATAATAATTGAAGCTAATATGGTACACAAGTGGTGAGCAGTTGCTGGTATAGATTAAAACAATAAAATGCATTGAATTCTTTGTGAATATGGATCTGAGAAGTCTGACTTTAATTAGATTGCTACAAATATATTGTATGATTATATGTAATCTATTTAAAAATACAGGAAGTTTTAATTACTTATTTACATGTATGCTTGTGTATTAAACTTATGCAATTGGACCAGTAATTAAAACATCAAAATTGCAACAATATACATGTACTAGCAGAAGAAAGAACAACAGAAAAAAAATTAAAGTCATAAAGACACTAACAGATACATATATGATAAAAATAAATCATTAATAAATAATTAAAGAATAACAGACATTATCTACTGAGATCATGGCTTCCTTCTTTTACGTATCCTATAGGATATTCATAATCGATGTTTTTCATGAATTCTTTAACCGAATCCAGTGATACTGGAGGCAGATAATTTCCTATGTGTCTTCTCTTCCACCAGCGACCCAACTTTGAATCCTTGCTACCAATCTAATGTATCTGAAAATCAAAATGATAGCAATGCAATTTATTAAGAATTTTTATCAACTGAGAAATGTTATGAAAGAGAGGACTGATTTCGAGGTCACTTAAACATGAATATAATACTACATATAGAGACAAATCCCCCCCCCCCCCCTTGTTCTTTCTCAGAATAGGATTTCCCTCATGCTTAAATCATATGGACAAAATTTTGGCTAAAAGTTTATATGAAAGTCAACTGATATGAGTGCTTTTGATTCAAGAATTGTCAAATGTAGTATTAAATCTTAAAATATATAGTTTAAATCATTCAAACTCAACCCAGAATTTAAATTCAAAGAAAAATTGTGAAATTAGCCACTCAAAAAACCGTAAGACTCAATGTCTCAACACCTCTCATGACGGAAGATACCTGTTTGTTCAGAAATTTTAAAATGTATATCAGGCCTCCTTTAGTGATTTGATAATATGTTTGCACTACAAAGAGTGTGTGAGAAAATTCTAAAATTTATGTTATTGATAGGTTCCACATACCAATTTGAGTTTTTAAATCTAGAACTTCTTCAAAGGAAAACAGCCAAGATAAAAAAAAAATACAAGAAATACTGTCTTTGCAGGCCGAAGCATGTATGTCCCCTTGACCCCTCCGGTGTAAAATTGAATTTGAAAGCAGAGAGCAAAATTAATGCTCTGTTAAATTTTGCAAAATTTCATTTATTATTAGAAATAAATGACTCATTTTTAGCTTTTTGGCAACGAAAACTATTTGGATATATACTGAAAGGGAAAAGGGTAACATAATATGCAAAATTTTATTTGATTGCTCGGTCGAAAATCATAAAAACTTGTCAGAAGGGTATCTTTGTTATTGTGCACTAAAATCAGTGTTCAGAATTACTCAACCGTGAAATATATGACGTCACGTACGGAAAGTGGTAAAAAGTCGAAGACGTGCATTTTGAAGACGACAGGTTTGTCAAAAATCTCGTAGTACCACTTGATGTACTTGAGGTGTACTCATTTTTTTTTCGATATTTACAGACGATATGAATTTCTTGCAGTCATGGTACGGTTGTCGGAAGTTCCTTGGGGTCTGGCTATTGCATTGCCTAAGTAACGACATTTGAAGGCAACGACAGGTTACTGTGTAATTTCTTGTGATTTTTTTTCCACCACAGAACGTCTTATCCGTCGTCAGAGAGGGCCTGGAAAGGTTCCTAACCAACCATGACGTAGACGCGTAACAGCGCCACGTCATGATCGGGCTATTCATCCTGCCACCTGTATAATCGCCACCTCATTATCACTAAAACTGCTATTACATGTAATAGTAACATTCACCCAAAAACTGTATTTAAAAAAAAAACGATTGCGCGAGGTTCTCAGACGTTTTATTGAGGAGGCACAAGCATATACATGTAGTAGCTATGTTTTCTATAGTAATCTACATATGTATATATTATCGGCAAAATTATTGGGGGGGGGGGGGGGGGGGCACCCCCCCCCGGTTCCTACGGCCATGCCCTATGAGAAAGATATACACGCCGATGAACTTTATGCAGAGGAGAATCAAGGTCTGATAGATGCGCGATTGAGACATGGGAGCTGATGAGAATTTTCGATTTTCACTTTTGGGGGTACCATCATATGATTTTCAATAATTCATGAATTATTGGTCAAAATCAAATGGGATTTTGGTAACATTTTATAAATTAAATATGATTTTAAATGTTAGATAGGAATACTGGAAAATACGAAAGAAAAAATAATAATATTTCGCCTCAAAACTTTACCCTGCGTTTTTTTTCCTATCAGTATATTTAAACCCCAGAAACTTGGAGAGACACTCACACATCAATATTGTAATATGTACATGTAGTGTGAAATGCAATTGGAGAAAAAAAATCATTTCAAATGAAATGCCATGGATACAGTTAAAAATTTGTCAGATCGATTACATCGTACCATTTTTTTCAGAAGCCAGTTTGACCAGATGAAAAAAATAAGATTTTAATGCTTCGAAAGAATTTATGATGGTCAGTTAATGAGAAAAAGGAAAATTCAAAATTTCATAATTATTCATATTTTCAATGTAACTGGGTGCATGCCTTTTTGAAGAAGGAGCACTTAATTGTAACAATGTGTCGCCCCCTCCCCGATTTCATACGTATGGCCATCATGATGATATTTTATGGGGGGGAAATTTGGCTCTGGGGAAAATTGCACTCTATAACTATAATGATTACACAAAGTAAGATCCCCCCCCCCAGCCCCCCGGAAAATTGACTCAGATATAGAATTTCCATAGGAGAAATCCTACTCTAGAGTCATTTTTCCGGGGGATCCTGCTCTTGAGCCAATTTTCCGTGGGGAAATCCTACTCTAGAGCCAGTTTTCCAGGGAGGGGGAGATTTTACGGGGGAGAGCCTTCTCTACACGACCAGTTCATTTGTAGGTTCAGGTCTTACCCGGTACATTCTTAACGCACATTTACAAGTTTAAGACAAGTTAACAATTGCGTTTGACTTAGAAATAGAGCAATGCTCTTAAGACAAGGCTTACATAAAGCTTCTTCTCAACCAATGAAAACCATTTGGCCAAATTATCTAACAGAGACATTCAATCCAAGTCCCTGACTCAAAAAAAATCTACAATTTCGGTAACAATTCAACCTAATCGATAGTAGTTTGCTTGTTAGTCCCCTACCGGTGAAACCGGAGGGGACTAAACGTTTCCTCTGAGTCTGTCCGTCCGTCTGTCTGTCTGTCTGTCCGTCTATCTGTCCCTCTGTCTGTCTGTCAGTCTGTCCCACTTGGTTTTCCGCACTTTTTTCCTAAACGCTTGCAGATATTGAGCTGATTTTTGGTACGTGAGTGTATCTTGATGAATTACAGATCAAGTTTGCATTTCGTTCCGCTTCATTGATTTTTGACGGAATTACAGCCTTTTCAATTTTTAGGGGTTTTCCGCAATTTTCTTCTAAACGCTTTCAGATATTGAGCTGATTTTTGGTATGTGACTTTACCTTGATTAGTTAAAGATCAAGTTTGCATTTCGTCCCGCTTCATTGATTTTTGGCGGAATTATGGCATTTTCTATTCTTAACGGGAACCAGATTAAACTTGCTGGTAGGGGACTAGTATTGCTAATGCAATACTCTCAGAATGCTTGTTTAATAAATAAACTGTTTTCTTCTCCATTGCTTTAACATCAACGAATTCATTTTAATTTTTACCATTTTCAAATACATCAAAATTAGTACTTGAACTTGTTAAAACAAACTACTAATTTGTTATATCAAATTACTAATTTGTTATAACAATTTAAATTAGTAATTTACTTATTATGACCAATTTTTAAAAATAATAATTTATTATATCAAATTATAAATTCGTTATATAACAAATTATTAATTCGTTATATACGGAAGCCCTGGAGGGACATTAACTTACTTCTTAGGTGTTTTGACTTAGTTCTTATGACTTAATTGTCAATTCTTGTTATTCTAAATTTATTATCACACATTTACTTAACCCAAAACATGGCGTAAAAGATGGAGGCTATGTGTAGTTTCAGAAGAAGAAAGGAATATTTTGCCTTTGAATTTATTACATGTACTAATGACGAGATAAAATAGTAGTTATGGTCATGTGTTCATTCATTATGCACACCGGAAGTTACAAGTAAGAATTAAGTAATAAATATTAAGTAACAAGAAATAACAAATAAGAATTAACAAATAAAAATTAAGTTGTAACATCAAAGCTGCAAGATATTAACAGATAAGAATTTAGTAGCCACAACTGTACTGGACATTAAACTACAATTAATCAATCAAAAACTACAGTTTAACTAGGACTAAACATATCATTTTAATAATACACGAAAGTCAAGCTACACGTTCTACATAGCTCTGTTATACTTAGTTATAACCAACAACAAAAAAAGTTGTAACAAATAAGTTATAACAAATAAGTCATTACAAGTAAGTCAATGTCCCTCCAGGGCTTCCGTAGTTATATTACAGACTATTAATTTGTTAATATTTCCATTTTCTATTTGTTTTCTCTGTGATAACTCTTTTAAAGTTAGGAGAGTTGATTTCTTGATCATTCTAACGGAATGCAAATTTTGCCAAGCGAAAGGTCAGTAGCTTAAAGAAGGCATAATATGCATGTAATTCGCGTGCGGCTGTCTTTGTGTCTGACTGTAAGGAGGCCTAATATGCATGTAATTCTCGTGCGGCTGTCTTTGTGTTTGACGTCAGTGGGCGGGGACTATTGAAATTGACATGTGAGGCCTCGTGTAATTTAAATCTATTAGTCTACATTTTTAAAATCTAAATTTACAATTTTATTTCAAAATGAAATGGAAATATAAGGAATCACTGTCTAGTTAGTAGAGTATGCCAGGGACATCAACGATAGTTGGAAACGTGGGATAATTTATGCATAACGGGCTTCACCAGTGATTCCTTAAAAACAGATTATTAATTTGTTATAACAAATTGATAATTTGTAAACAAATTACTTATTTGTTATAAAAATTACTAATTTGTTATTTTCAAATAACAAATTAACAATTTGATTATTACAACAACGTACTAATTTGTTAGAACAACATACCAATTTGTTGTACATAACAAATTACTAATTTGTTATGTATAAAATAATTTTGCTAATTTGCTATTAATAAAAAATTAACGATCTGATTGTTACAACAACATACTAATTTGTTACAACAACATATATTTCTTATAACAAATTAATAAAAGATACTGTATTCTCTTTAGAGAAGTGGACAGGCTTTCGCCTGCGAAAGCCTGTCCACTTCTCTAAGGTAAAGAGAATAAAGATACTGCTGCTGTCCTAATACACTTATCCCCTACTCCACACATACACACACAAACACTGAAAAAATTCTTATAATTAAATTTGAAGATATGCCCTTATAACACATGCGATATTAAAATAAGATACATGTATGTCTGTATTTATTAAATAACCCATATAACATGCTAAAACCACTAAACCCCCCCCCCCCCCCCCCGTCCAAAAATTAGATCAACGTTGCACGACTCTCCAAGGAACGAGTACTCTGCAGTGCCCCGAAAGACGTGAGATGTAATTCTGCTGCCTGTGTACGATATGTTAGCTAAGGTAATTAATTTTAGTTCTATTCTTTATACATTATACCAGTTAGCAAACATTTGACCATATTATGATAAATTTCAATCACGTAACGCAGAACTTCTTATTCCTAAACAGAGGAAATTCGAGACCGTATTGTCCATACAACTTCTAAACTCATATACCGTCGAATTACTATAGTATGTAGATACCTGGTAAGAATAAAGTCATTTGAAATAGTGATAAAGTAAGGCCTACATGTAAGATAGGTGTAGTATTTAACTTTTTATTTTGTAATTGATTCTCTCTCTCTGTCTCTTTCTCTCTCTCTCCCCTAAAATTATTAAACAGCTGTTAAAGAGGAATGTGATATACGCCTACACCAGTTCTATGAGGGAACCACTTTCCTGCACTTTCATTTTCAAAATGATCATAGCATACTTTTATTAGAATCTCTCTCTCTCTCTCTCTCTCTCTCTCTCTCTCTCTCTCTCTCATGTATTTACTATATCATGCCCTGTATATACTACTAATATATTTTGATCAGTACAGGAGTGGGGGTCATGTGTAATTTAGATCAACAAAATTCATTGTACTCTGTATAATGAGAGAGATTTAATAAAATGACATAATGTACAGCGTGGTATAAAAATAGCTCTCTAACTGGTTCTGCTGGCATTATTATGGAAAATAAACAGAGGGGGCCAATAGACCATGACAAGAGAAGGCCAGATCCAGCCCTCCATTCAAATCCAATGAATAGCATGCCCATTTCATTGTAATTTATGTTGTCTTGTGAAGTCTGAATTTCCATTTTCAATTATTATGATTATTAGATTTTTATGTGTTTCAAACTTGATTATATAACTAAAGTGTGGAATTATAAAAAACAGAATGTCATTGATGAGGAAGGTGAACTTTCTTTGTTTTGGATATTAGTTTGGCCAGCAAAATGAAAGAATAATAAATAAAAGGAATTTTTTTAGATAAAAGGAATTACTAATAGAAGTATCGACACAAAGAATGTGTACCTGTAACGGAAACCTGGGCTGAATATAACGGGGTAGGTGCATGTTTAAAACTCGGGGATAGGAGAGTTATATACAGCTTTTAAATTGAATTGATTGATTTTTTGTCGGTGAACCATTAGCCAAGGTAATCTTACACGGTGTATGCTTAGTGATTATGGATTTAACCTTTGGAGGTTTTTCTTTTATTTAAAACTATATTCTCAAATGAGTGTATATAGCCATTTGTTCTTGAGTTTGTCAATGAATAGAAAGATGTTTTCCTGAGTATGTTTAGATGGGTTAGCATAAAGACATTAATATTTATGTTTAATTTATTGAAAGCTAATATTTACAATATGAATATGATGAATTGTTAAGCTGCATGCAGAAGGCACGTACAGTCTAAAACTGTGAATTGCAGAATCATGTTTTTGTGAAGAACGTATTAAATCGGAGAGGTTTACATTATTATCAGTGTAAAGTCAATCTTCAAGATTTATAAATACAGTAATCATGGTAATTACAAGGCAATAATCAATGTTAATGAACATTCTGAATATTTTTTTAAAACAATTCTTATTTTTATACTAGCTATTCTGAATATGAGAGCCTATGTGTGACAGTCTTTAATTGAATGACTTTGGTCAAACCAAGATATGAAACATTAGCAAATAAATGAGTATGTGTTTAGGTCAGTTGCATTGCTGTCACATAAAAAAATACATGTACATGTATCATATATAAGATCATGTAGTGGTAAGGGGCTACATGGACCATGGATATTGGGCTGTGTAGCTCAGTGGTTAGAGCACCTGACTAGTGATGCAGGAATCCTGGTGGTTTCAAGTACAAGTCCATGCAGCCAAATATTTTCTTTATAATCATATCTCCTTTCCTACTACACACACAATATTAAAACTATAAAAATTTCTAAAGACTTCAGTACATTGATTTACTCTTCTATTTCAGGATGAATAGTCACAGCCATGAACAGACTGAAGCAAAATGGCCATAGTAATAGCAGCAAACAAAATGGACATTCTCGGAGCATCAGTAATCTCCCTTACAGGAAGGAGTGGGACAGTTGTCTGCCCCTGCCAGCACTCTCCTTCCCTGCAGCAACAGGCATCGTGTTCCTTTTTGCCATCACATGTTTTGTAAATAGTTACCATGGAGATTTCGTCTTTGATGACAGTGAAGCCATTTTGTCCAACAATGATCTCAAACCTGAAACACCTCTGTCTGATTTGTTTGTGCATGATTTTTGGGGGAACAAGCTGGACTCTAAAACCAGCCATAAGTCCTACCGTCCCCTTACAGTGCTGACCTTTAGGTGTGTGATTTTAGCCAATAAAACAAGTTTTATCCAAGTGCATATCCTGTAGAATATTTCCTTAATGTGAAAATTAACAATCATTAAGGAAATCGACACATATATTGTACATGTAAGCATATTTTGACTGATATAAATCATCAGGCTCCAGCCAAGACCATAAACTGAGGGCAGACTTAATAAGTCAAAATTTAGATTCTGAATATCTTGATTATAAAAGGTCATGCAGTTGTATAAGTAAAGTATTTTGCATATCATTGACCTGAAAGCATTTGTCAATGAAAGAAAAACCTATTTTAATTGATATAAACTGTTAAGAATAAATTATGGTAAAATCCTAAATTTCATCATGTTTAATTATTTTTTTTTTTTAGATGGAATTATTGGTTGTCAGGCGGTGCCTTTCCTATGTCATTCCACATTGTAAACATTATTCTTCATGGCCTTGTGTGTGTACTCATGCTTATCGTATTCTCATTGGTCCTGTCTGGTTACCATACCGACGCGAAAGGACAGACTGTGTTTGGTGCTCCTAAATCATCTTTGCTGTGTGCCGTTCTGTTTGCTGTTCATCCTGTTCACACAGAATCAGTGAGTGATTTCAATTTATGTCTACGCAGCTGCGTTCTTACATATTGGTTTATAGCTACACCCTACCCTAAGTCCATACATTAAGATTTTCTCATGAACAAAAAAGAAAGAGATATATGTAATTGAGCTATTCTAAGAATTTTTAAAAACAGGATGAAGCAAGCATTATTAATTATACCACAAGGTACTAGAATATCTGCAAAGTGTATCCCAGGTCAAAATCTATCCATATCAAATTCAAAATGTACATGTAGGTAATACCAACTCCATTTATAGAATAACAATATTACCTGTCATATTCTTTTTCATTTTCTGGGACAGATACTCTAAAATAAAATTTGTATGGAGATGTTTTTGGTATCGCGTGCAATATACTGACTGATTAGTTGAGTGATATTGATTGTATCTATAACCAATTAGATCTCGATGGAAAAAATCCCTCATTTTGATTTTTAATTACTGTAAATTTTTGTGCTCTTGATTTTTATTGCCTGATAAGATAACATTTTGTTTTCAACAGAAAGTAAAATTATTACTTTCTCTGTAGAATGGTATAACAGTAGAGATATATTTTTTGTATTTGACAAGTGGCAGGAAAAGCAAAATGAATATATACAAGTAAATTTTCCCATACTGTATTTGACAGGTGGCCGGAATTGTGGGTAGAGCAGATCTCCTGTGTGCCTTGCTCTTCATCCTTTCATTTATTTGTTATGTCTGCTCCTGTTGTCAAGGTAAACTGAACATTTATTTGTTATGTCAAATCCTGTTGTCAAGGTAAACTGAACAAAGTTTGTATTTATACTGTCAGCAAAACAAATGTCAGCTTTCAACCATATGGGTTTATATGTACAAATAGCAAAAAAATTGTATAAAAAAAATATAAAAAAAAACAAAAAACAAAAAAAACAAAAACAAAATCTAAATGAGATAGCATTTTTCCTTGCTGCCTAAAGAGGCAATGGCCTTATATACATTCATATTGCTTCTTATAGCTCATCTGTTTTCATTAACATGACTAATTATAAGGATGTATGAATTGCAGAAATCTCATTCCTGCCAAACAGAAGTCTTCATCGTCCAGAGACATTCTCCATGGCCTGGCTCTGTCTGTGTTTGGTGCTGTGTGGTTTGTCCGTTCTGTGTAAGGAGCAGGGTATCACAGTCATTGTAAGTGGAAAAAGGGGGGAGTTGACAGATAAAAAAAATATACTGTAAACCACTTTTTATCTTTGTGAGAGAAATGTTTGTGAGCATTTCAAGTTTGTGAATATTTATATTGTCTCAAACCAGTCATTCACTATGTCATGTTTTATCAAACAGGAAAGCTTATAATAAATGGATCCTGAATATTAATTATTGTTGACTGGTTTTCCATTGGAGATTCCTGTGTAATAGTTTACAGTATATTTCAGTTTTCTATATAGTGACATACAATCAACATGAGGACATTTTGGACTTATATGTGTTATAGAAAAGCAAGATAACATAAATCTAACCAAACAATGTATACACTAATTTAATTCTGAATTGTGAAAGTTACCCATCTGACTTTTTCTACATTTATTTAATGCTTGTTGTAGTCGATGCCAAATATTCAGTGTGCTCACTGTTTGATGCAAAATGGATTTCAATGTCAACTGAAAGTCCAAACTGTAGATCAAATTGAATTATTTAAATCATTAGTCACAGCCCTTATTTTATAAAACTAATTAATTCAGACCTTGCAATGTAATCATGATTTAAAACTGTCAATACTTTGTGTATTTAAATCATATATATGTATTCTACAATGCTATCTTTTTATTTTAGGGTGTGTGTAGTGCATATGACATCATAGTTATTTGTAAAATTGATGTTTTGAAATTCCTGGGATTGAAAAAGTCTGGGATGAATGCAAAAAATAATAGCTCTCCAAGCAATATACATGTAGATCAGGTTGGTTTGATTTCATGTCATTTCTTCAGCACATTTAGTATTTACAGTCAAACTTTGTTATCTCGAACTTGATGGGACCAAGAAAAAACTTTAGATATCCAAAGGTTTGAGATATTCAGAGTAAATTATTATAAAAAAAAAAAATGTGGGTGGAATTTCCAGCTCACTTTAACATATCCATGGTATTCGAGATACCGAGGTTTGAGATACCGCAGTTCAACTGTATACTACAGTGGCTGCAACGTTATTGTTGACAAGCCAATCGTGTAGGATCGTTTGTGAAACGAGCGCGATCATTCATGTAATGCGAGAGATTGTGCATGTATTAGGCTCAATCGTTTGCAGTTTTAATCATGCGTGATCGTGCAGTAAGAGACGTGAAAATTTCGTTCTGTAAGTTTTTATCGAAATGTAATTTGTTAAACAAGCATTTCGCTTGTCTGTTTTACAGAAGTGAAGTGCAATTTACATAAATGAATGCCCTAATTATCGCTAGGAAATAAGCAATATGGTAAGTTGTTCCATATTGTATTCTCTTAAAATATCGTAACATTTAATGATAAATATGTTTAATATGTTTAAGGATTTTTCTCTGAGAATTATATTTACTGCAAATTTTGGTCAAGAATTTTTTTTATATCAATACATCAAAAATGTATATCTTTACAAAAAAAAAAAGAATAATTCTTAATGCTGACATAAATATTTAGTTGGCGAATGTTACCGACATGATTGTCGGGGTTACTTTTATCAGTGTTTATCCCTGATACTTACTTTATTTTTATAATTTCTGCAAATGAATGAATTGTAAATTAATTACTGATTTTAGAGATTCACCAATGAAATATGGATGTATTTTTAATTAATTTTTTACGCCAATGATTTTTTAATCTTATCCCCCTACACTGCATATCATAAAACCCAATTGAATGAAAACTCACGGCCCATGAACTTTTATCATCTCATAGAACATGAAGCATAATATTTAATATTGCATCTTTACCAAGTCGGAGAATTTCATAAATATTTTTTTGTAATCTTAAATAACTATTAAGTCTTAATTAGTTTAAAAAATATCCATTCCTAAATATTTTTTCAGTTTTCCAAAGTCAATGAATTGCATCAATAATTATTTGTAATCTAAAAGAACTATTAAGCCTTATTTTGAAAATATCCACTCCTAAATATTTTTATCCTGCAACTACCCCTTGTATTGACCTAATAAAGGTAACCTAATAAACCAAAGCTTTATTCGGTCAATGCCCTAATAAAGCCTCGTGCACGTATTCCAACGTTCTAAAAGCATTGTGACGTCATGAATATTGCAATGTTTACGCCATGGCGTCTTAGTTTCAACTGCAGAGATGTACCTAAATCGGTTGAAAACAGCTCGTTTTGGAGGTCCTGTAAAATGTGTTGCAGGATAAACAAAATACATGGAGACTGTCTTGAAATATAAGCGATATTTGGGCTCGGGTCGAAAACGTGATAGAGGGCTCGGCAAGCCTCGCCCTCTATCACGTTTTCTTACCCTCGCCCAAATATCGCTTATATTTCAAGACAGTAACCATGTATTTTATATTTACCTATTTTGGGTGAAGAATCATGTGTTTGCATTATCAATTGTGTAAGATCGTGTAACGTAAAGAATTGTGTGCGTGAAGGATCGTTCATGTAACAGGCTTAATCGTGCGTTAATCCTGTGGAATTGTTCTTGTAATGTGATAGTTCGTGTAAGTTGTCAACAATAACGTTGCAGCCACTGTATTATTAAATTCTCTTGAGTATAAATTTTAGAATTGTTTACAAATTTAGTACATATCAATTCTTGTTATATGTATAAAAGCAAAATTAAACATTGATCAAAAACAAAGCTACAGTGTATATAAAAATCAATTATCAGTTAATTATTACCCTAATAAACAACATGTAAGTTGCTCAATTGCTTTTGGAATATTTATATATACAAAATGAAAATTTGATGATGGTAAATTTTTAGCACTGCACATGTATACTATTATTCCTGACCTTCAGAATTTTGTTTCTTTAGAGGCCATCGGGAGAATGGTTTAAAAGTCTGTGTGTGCGTCACATATTCCTGGTGATCATTGGTCTAACCATTCTTGTCACTAGATGGCGTGTTATGGGATCAGCGCCACCTATATTCCAAGTGTTTGATAATCCACATTCCTTTGTAAATAATACATTAATTCGGGTAAGTAATTTAATACTGTATTATAATAATGATAATGCTGATTTTCAACAATTTGTCAGTTTATAAATAGAGGATATTCAATGTTTTGTAGATGAATATGGAATTTATTTCACGAGTGGGACAGGATTTTTTTATATTTTCAAGAGTGCGAAGCAAAAGCAAAAGCAATTGAGCAACTTACATGTTGTTTATTAGGGTAATAACTGATAATTGATTTTTATATACACTGTAGCTTTCTTTTTGATCAATGTTTAATTTTGCTTTTATACATATAACAAGAATTGATATGTACTAAATTTGTGAAATCGTGAAATAAATTCCATATTCATCTACAAAACATTGAATTTTCTGTTTATTACATTTTCTTTGATTTTCCCTTTGCCTCTGTCTTTTCTTAACACAGTGTCATAGGCTTGACGTCAGTGTCATAGGCTTGACGTCATAGTTGAGCGGTTGAGACGTCATAGCTTAGCAGTTGTGTGATTGAAAACATTACATACATGTAGCATGGATTTTAGCAATTAACATGTTTGGGAAGAAATTTGCAGTTTTAGCTTTATCAAGATGCATAGTTACTATATCTTATGACAGGCCAGAAATTATTTTTTACTTACTTTGATATCCTTTCACACTGTGAGAGAATATCATTTTGGTATCCTTTCACACTGTGAGAGAATATCACTTTTATTCAATAAATAAATCACAGTATTTCACTATTGAAAATGTAATAATCATGTTTATTACATATATCTATTTAAAACAGATTACATGGCTTATTTTCAGGCCTTGAACTACAACTATCTGTATGCCCTGAACTGCTGGATACTTGTCAATCCCTGGTGGCTTTGTTTTGATTGGTCCATGGGAAGTGTGCCAACAATAGACTCTGTCTCAGATCCCCGTTTATTGGCTGTGATAGTCATGTGGGCGGTGCTTATATTTCTTTTATACTCAGCTGTTATTCAAGAAGTTGGTCAGGAGCAGAGGTAGGCAGCATTAAGACAGTATGATAACATTTAGCATAGCAGTAGTGTTTACATAAACACATAATTCCATCAGTATAGCATAGTATGGAATATTTCATCATAAATCAGTTCATCCACTTAATTCAGTATTAGCTCATAGTATTGCAAGTTACCTAAAGATACAATATGTGTGAGGATACGCTCTTACAATACAGTACAACATATCATGATACAGTTGTCTACAATAAAGTAAATAACTGATATCTTTATGTATTTTTTCTGGGGTTTACCTCCACAGTAATAGAATTCTTATCATTGTTTGTCAAAGTTTATTATGGGAGGATTCACAGTCTCCACATTGGATTCTTTTTGATTTACCTTGTTTTTTGCCATTTGGAATGTTAAAATTTGTTAAGTCTTACACAGATTTTTCAAGTAAGATGATGAAAATTAAGTTTTAAATTACTCTTTCCCCACCTGACAATATGATATGTTTATTATGAGCCCTTACAAACAATATAATTGACTTATTGTTACAGTATAGATCGGTACAGTTCAGTATAGGAGAGCATAGTGAAATACATGTTTATATAGTTCAGTATAGAGCAGTATAAATTAGAATAGTACATCTACACTAATAAATAATGCAGTAAATTTCAGTATCTCTGTATAGATTAGTTTTGATTGGAAGAACATTAATTTTAATAATAATAAAATTTATTTTTGAAAATTACATCAATGATCTTGTTAAGATGTGCATATTTTTAGCTCATGTGAGCCGAAGGCTAAAGTGAGCTTTTCTGATCAAAATTTGTCCATTGTCTGTCGTCGTTGTTGTTGTGGTCATCGTAAACTTTTCACATTTTTATCCTCTTCTCAAGAACCACTGGGCCAATTTCAACCAAATTTGCCACAAAGTATCCTTAGATAAAGGGGATTCAGGTTTATTCAAATGAAGGGCCACACCTTCTTCCAAGGGGAGATCATTACAAATCTGTGAAAAATAAATGGCATCATTTAAAAATCTTCTTCTCAAGAACCACTTTTCTAGAAAGTATGAAACTTATGTGGAATCATCCCCAAGCAGTGTAGATTCAAGTTTGTTCAAATCATGACCCCCAGGGGTAGGGTGGAGACACAATGGGCAATCAAAGTTTTACATAGGAATACATAGGGAAAATATTTAAAAATCTTCTTATCAAGAACAGCCAAGCCATGATTGGTCATATTAATTCAAAAGCATCCTTAGGTGGTGTAGGTTCAAGTTTGTCAACTTTTCAATACTGAACTGATTTCTGCTTTTTCCTAGCCAGAGTGCTAAGGTGAGCAATGTGGCCCATGGGCCTCTAGTTATTTATTCCATTTCATGTACTGATCTTGTGCATTATATAGTAGCAAATGATGTTCCTTATGCATGGTGTGCATGGTATTTGAAATGTATATTAAGCAGAATACAAGTTACATGTAATTCTTTTATGGCTCCAGAATTTGAAAATCAATGTTTACATTACATCATGTGCCAGTTCAAGTTTTCACTCTTCTTATGAATAGAATAAGTCATTATACCTGTATATGAAAATAGTATCATGATTATCAAGGTTTATTCACATTTAATAAGTAAGGAATTGTTGACTTAATTACGATTCTGTATTGTAGAGTGCTGACAATGGCCTTAGCTCTGTTAATTGTCCCATTCCTGCCAGCCTCCAATCTGTTTTTCCGTGTCGGGTTTGTCATCGCAGAACGAGTTCTCTATCTTTCCACAGCAGGATTTTGTATATTGGTTGTCATGGGAATCTGCAAGCTTCATCAAAAATGTCCCAGCATTGTAAGGTTTTTTTTTGCATAATAAGATCACCAAATTCTTATTAAACAAATATTTAACATATTCATTGCTAAAATATTTGGATAGCAACATGTTTAATTGAAAAAAAAAATGTATGTTCCCTATTGTATTTGTATCCCAAGTACAATATGTTATATTATACAATTGAACTTCGGTATCTCAAACACTATGGATATGTCAAAGTGATTTGGAAGTCCCAACCACATACTCTTTAAGTATTTGTCCCTTTGGGTATCTCGAGGTTTTTTCTTGGTCCCATATGGAGTTAGAGATAACAAGGTTTAACTGTATTTGTTTAGTTTCTTTAATTTTCTTGGAAGCTTAATGGCCACTTTTTAGCTCACCTGGACCAAGGGCTTAAGTGCACTGTTCTGATCTGTAGTATTCATCTGTTTAATTTTCAGAGCTAGAGGCTAGCGTTTTAATATATTTTGTTTACAAAACTGTTCTTTATTAATTTTATAGATAGGTACATGTATGCTTTATTTTACAGGATATTCGTTACTTTGTGTTCTTCCTGGTATCCATATTTATGTTGAGATCCATTCAGAGAAGCAACGAGTGGAACACAGAAATGTCTCTGTTTACATCTGGTGCCAAAACCTGCCCTCTAAATGCTAAGGTGGGTTTTTACAGGGAGCAAAAATTTGCTCTCAGTGCTAACTAAGGTTGATTTTTAACAAGTGCCAAAACCAACACTCTCAGTGCTAAGGTAGACTTTAACAGCATGGGACACAACTGGTCCTTTCATTGCTAAAAAAAGGTTTTACACTCTCAATGCTAAGGAAGTTTTTTACAGCAGGAGCCAAATGCTGTTGTCTAAAGTTAAGTACTTTGCTAGGTTTTCATACCAGAGCCAAACCTGCCCTCTTAATGCTTTGATGCATGTAGGTTTTTATGAAAGGGGCATAAACTGTCAATTCAGTGTTAAGGTAAGTTTGTGTTGTAGAGGCCCAAAACCTGCCCTCTAAATGCTTAGGTGAGTTTTTACATCAAGGACCACAACCTTCTGTTTCAGTATTAAGGGAAGTTTTTTATAAAAGGGACCAAAAAATTGCCCTCTGAATGCTATGTTAGCATGGCATGAGTCAAAACCTCCAAAGGCACTTTTTAGACGGGGTCACGTGACCCTGTCTATTAGTGTACTGTCAGTTGAGGCCTCAGAACGGAAGCCATGCGGAGAACACATGAATTAAATCTACACTAAATGAAAGAGTGCAGTAATTGTTTTGATTAAAATACAAACACTCTGAATCAAACTAAAGAGAGTGATGTGAAGATTTTCTTACTCAAGCGTTCTGAAAATTTTAAACGTGAAAAACGTAATACTGAACCACTCTAGTATACAAACTACTCGGTTGCGTAATACAAGACTGCATACGAGTCATCGATTGTTTACTTCCGGAAATGTCATATTAATTCGAACCTGGTGAAATTTGGACAATTCAAAAAGGTTTCTTGACTAGTGATTACTGATTAATCTATTTCATTGTAAATGAAAAATGTGAAGACATATTTTTCACAGTGTTTTTTTTTTAATTTATGTTATTAATAATAATATCAAATAATAATAATGATAAAAACCTTTAAAAAGTTGGTATGAAAGCCCTACAATAAAATTTTTAACATACAGTAATGAAATTTATAAAATAATTAAGTTTCTTATTTGACCCTGTCTTTCACTACTGTATCAGTACTTTGATTCTTACAGTGGGAGCAAAGACATATGCATGATGCAGGTATCTTCACTGCAAGGGTCATTACTATCTTTCAGTACTGTGTTGCCTTACAACTGCTAAAGTATGCCTTACAACTGCTAAAGTATGCTTACTTCTTGGGCCAAAACTATCCTTTCAATACTAAGGAACATAAATGCCAAAATGTGCCATTTCTATAGTAGGATAGAAAACATGAATTTTACTTACTGTGGATACATTCTTGAAGAAATACTGTAACTGGGTACATTATAACTCTATTTATTTATACATGTACTTTTTGCTCTGTATTCATGGTATTGTTAACATTACAGATACATTACAATATAGGGAAAATAAACTCCGATGTGGGCAATGTGGAGCAAGCAATAAGTAAATACAGACTAGCTATCAGGTACGTTTTTGATGTATTCATCCAAGGACACCTTTAATACTTGTGAGGCTAATAGTGTAGTATAAAATTGGTATAATTTGATGTTTTAGCCTGAATCCAGACTACGACCAAGCAATGAATAACCTGGGTAACTTACTTAAAGACCAGGGACAGAATACAGAGGCTGAGCAGTTGTTACAGAAGGCTGTAGAGATAAGGTGGGTAGTGTCATAGATATTGTCACTGCAAACTGATGCCACACAGCAGTACTTACTTATTCACTTGACACAGAAGTATCTACTTATAATCCATTTCTTTTGGAACTGTCAATAAAATACGGAAAAATTTAACATTTTTTTTATCCAACTTAAACAAAGGCAGATCTGGGACAATGGGTAAAATAAATCACTGCCTGCCTTTCCTGTGAAGTACCTTCCTTTTTGTCTCAAATGAAGTGGTCAGTAATTCAATGTCTGCTCTCTGTGTAGTCAATATTCAATACAATAGAAAGCCATGATCAATGATGCAGGTGATAAACAGGTCAAGTGCTCAAGGTCTGAGATGATGGGGAATATTCAAGGCTTTTATTGGATTTCTCTATTGGTACAGGTATTTATGATATCTGTTGATGTGATTGTTAGCATTAAGCCAGTTAGAAGTACATGTACATGTATATAAAATGGGGTTTTCAATAGTCAGTGCAAGTTATTTACTTACTACATGCAAACCAGGCTTATATTTGCAAGTTTTTATTTACAATTCTTCAGTTTGATTTATTATGATAGATTTTTGCAACTGAGGAATTATTCTTCATGTATACGTAGATGTGCCATTAAATAAATGATTTGCAACTAGGTGAATTTGTGAGCAAAAAAGTGTTTTGGAAACTCATTGATATTTTGGGCATACAAATAAAATTTAAAGATAAGTAGAAATGATGCATTTGATGGTACATGTTGTACATATACTTTCTTGTCTGACATTTCACATGATAGGGGACTTTTGTATATAAAATTGAATTCGATTAAGTGTTGTGAATCTTATCCATAATGAGATTAACAAGTATTCTGTAAACCAAATATTATTTGTGTCATCTTTTATTCCCGATTCGTCAGTTTGAAATCAATCCATGATGATTAATGTTTGCGACTAAGGAAACACTCTCTACAAATACAAAGTAAAATAGATGATGGTTCATGGCGATTAATATTCGCAGTTAAAGTAGGTCTTGAAACTCGCGGATATTTCTCCCACTCAAATGAAAATTGGTTTACAGTACTTAATATGTACATAAGGGAAAAACTGCTTTTAATCAGTAATGAAAATTGATGATATTAAACTTGTAATCAGTTATCTTACTAACTGTATTGGACTAACTGTATTGGATAACCTGAGATAAATAACCTTTCACAAACAATTCTTGTTCTTTCTAGGCCAGATTTTGCTGCTGCATGGATGAATCTAGGGATTGTGCAGGCAGCTCTGAAGAAGCAAAAAGAGGCAGAACAGAGCTACCATACGGCCCTCAGACATCGCAGGAAGTACCCTGACTGCTACTATAACCTAGGAAATCTTGTAAGTGATTTAATGTTACCGGTAATTATTATATCCTGTACTGGCAAGCAGCCTAAAATATAATTCCAAAGTATTATTTGATTCCAGAAAGGAAAGCAGATTTATGCACTGTTGATTTCATGTTTTGGTTTAATTCAGACCCAAATGATAAAAGATTGTTGAATCATTCAAATTTTATGATTCACTTCATTGAAAATGTTATTTTACATGTAAATGTATGTTGTATATCGCATAACAATTGAAGTGGGCAATTTTAACTGAGTCTATAAGCTCATCTAACCTAAAGTGCCTATGAGCTATATTCCAATTGAAATTTGATTTTTTGTCTGTCATGATTATCCATCTATTTTTAGTTACATACATGTATTGTCTGTAAGAAGAAGGTACGATTTACATGTAGGCTTTATTGTGCCCTAAAAATTTAATGTTCTTTAAAAGTTTTGAAAATGGCTTTAACATATGAGTTGAGTAGATGAATATGATAAATCATTAAAGAATATGGCATAAAGGAGGACTGTTCTGGAAATATGACATCATAAATTTGATAAATTTCTTTGTTTTATGCAGAAAAGCCTCAAAATGACTAATTTCTGTGATTATTTTCCTCTAGAAAATAGTGAACTTCAGTTTTTGGATATATTGTGCAAAATGCTTTGAAAAATCACATATCTTAAAATTTTTGTGGGCGATGCTGGCACTGTAAATTTTCTGAAAGAAAATTCCACTAAAAATTGATATCTTCTGCAACTTTAAAAGAAAATATGGTAAAATGCACAAGTTCATGACGTCACAGTTAGCATTTAGGAGGTCATATTGGAAAAAAGATTTGTATGTTTTTACTGCATGGAATTTCAATAATTCAGAAAGGATGGATTTTAATTTCTTACATCACTTCTTAATTTTAGAAAAATACTGGGCCAGATTTGTATTGAAACTGTACCTTGTTCTTTGTCATCTGTAAGATTCTAACATTTCTTTCTTCCTGTCCAGCACCACAAAATAATTTCATTCAAACTTGGGGTTGTAAAATTTTTTGTTCTCTTTAACCATCAAATTTAAGTTGACAAAAAATACTTCATGGCTTTTTTGTGTAGTTTTAATCTTTAGGTTCAAATATTTCTCAAAATCATGAATGTGTAAGCTAGAAGGAGACACATTTAAGTTTGTTTTTTACTTTCTCTCCAGTACCTGGACATGGGGCAACACCAGTTAGCATTAAGTGCCTGGAGAAATGCTACCCTTCAAAAGCCAAGCCATCTTAATGCCTGGAGTAATATGGTCATCTTGCTGGATAATCTAGGTACATGTACATACAGTTATTCATAAGTTCAAGAAAATACTTATTAATTTCCATTTGTGTAATTCCCGAGTTTTATCTGAGATTGAAAAAAAAGACTGCTAAATAAGTAGAACAAAGGAGGGGTGGGGAGGGGGCATATTTTTAGTAATTGTAATAACTTTGAAGAGAAGAATTTCCTATTGAATGATTTACTGGAAAAAATACACATGTATTTTGATGTACATTTATAAACTTAAGAAGTAACTTTGAAGGCAGTGAAGAAAGACTTGTTTACGTGTATATGCATGTAGTTGCCAAAGAGATACCCATATACTGATGTTTCTTTGAGCCAAAAGGTTAAAGGTTACAACTACATGTAGTGTCCATATGATTTTTACAATGGTGCAAAGTAGCAAGGAGAGAAATTGCAGAGATGGGATTTAAATTGATCAATTCTTTAATAAAATATTCAAAGAATTTAAGAAATACTATGTATTCTTTGTTAGTACATGTATTTATGTGGTGCTTTAAAACTGAAGTATTTCTTCTACAAGAATTAATGTGAAATCAAGGTCCTTTTCTTTTAATTCTGCTGTCATGTAATGATTTATTTTTTGAAATGAGCTATATATTTAAAGCAATAACATGATTATACATCAGGATTGGTTTAATTGTTCTTGTCAACAGTTATTAAAGGAAAAGCTAAGCATATTATTTGATTAGTATCATCATATTAATTAACTGGAGTAAATTTTCTGATGTAGAGAAACTAGAGCAGGCAGAGCTAGTGGGTAAAGAGGCAATCAAACATGTCCCCAATGACCCCACCCCCTACTTCAACCTCGCTAATGTCATTGGAAAAGCAAATAGATACCAGGAGAGTGAGCAGTACTTTCTAAAGGCCATACACCTCAGTGGAAAATCTCCAGCATCCAAGATGTATGCCAACTTAGGTAAGATTATGTTCATGTAGCTCAGTATTAAAACTATTGAAGTTACATGTAATATGTGAATTGTAATAGAACCTGATAAACATTTTCCATGATTAATGCAAAACATGATGATGATGAAAAACATGTTGTGACACGATGGCGGTGTTTTTCTTTGAAGTTTACCGTTCTGTATTAGCAATACAGTACAGGACTATGGTGGGCGGAGCTATCTTCTGTACTGTATTAACCTTGTAACTGTGTTACAAACCGTTCTGTAAATGAAATACAGAACGATCTAAAAATAAATCAAGAAAACATTCAATTTCATACATTCAGTGTTTTACTTCCATGACTAGCTAATATACTGAACAAAAAAAGAAAGGTATATATCTAAATGTACATTTGTTTTACTTAGATTTGAACGTAAACGTTTACAACGAAACGTCCTATATAGGAGACATAAGCAACAGTCAATTGTGATAAAAAAAAATCCTGATCATTCAAGCGTAACACCTTTTAACTCTAAGTGAGTACAATGGGTCAAAGCCCGTGCTCGAGAAAGTCAGACCACGTGTATCCGTACAATTCTTGGCGTAGAAAATCCTTGTCTTGAGTCCTCAAAGAAAATCTAAAATTTGGTTAAATTTCTGCATTTTTTGAAATGCCCCGATTGTCTAAAGATAAACGTGAACGTGAACCATAGGGATGCTCCAAGCAGGCATGTCCCAGAACGCTGCTGCGGCGACAGTCGGAACTCAGAAGACAATTAGCCTTCTCTGGAGACGTTTCCAGACCACTGGATCAACTGATGACCGGCCCCGCAGTGGAAGACCTAGAGTTACCACCCTTAGGGAGGACCGTCAAATCCGTTTGCTCCATCTGCGAAACAGATTTTTAACTGCGGTAGATTCTGCTCACAATGCTTTAGGGAGGAGGATTAGCCGTCAGACAGTGCGAAACCGACTGAAGCATTGCAGTTTGAAAGCCCGTAGACCGTACAAAGGGACAGAACTAACAGATCGGCACAAGACCTTGCGACGGAATTGGGCACAGCATCACTTGCGCTTTCGATTGCAAGACTGGTCCAGAGTACTCTTCAGTGATGAGTCTCGTTTTAGTTTGAAATTTGCCGATGGAAGAACCCGTGTCTGGAGGAGACGTGGAGAGCGTTTAACTGGTTGCTGTGTGACGGAAGTAGACAGATTCGGGGGTGGTAGTGTAATGGTTTGGGGAGGAATTTGTGGAGGAAACCGCACAAGACTTGTTGTAGTGAACGGTACGCTGACAGCTCAAAGATACAGAGATGAAATTCTCTCTCCAGTTGTACTGCCGTATCTACGCACCAATGGTCCTGGTTTAACATTCCAGCAGGACAACGCAACAACACACATGGCTCGAACAACCAGATATTTCCTGACTCAAAACAACGTGGATGTTCTAAACTGGCCCTCAAAATCTCCGGATCTCTCGCCAGTTGAACATGTTTGGGATGAGTTAGGTAGGAGAGTAAGGATGCGCAGACCCCAGCCACAGAGTCTCTTGCAACTGGCGACAGCACTAGAAGAGGAATGGAATAATATCCCGGGGCATGTAATTCGACGATATGTATCCTCTATGCGTCGCAGATGTGTCGCAGTACTGAATGCAGGCGGTGATCATACACGGTACTGACTTGTGAAATGCAATTAAAACCCCAGTGTAGATCAAAGAACTGTTCTAAGCCCATGTGTTTATTAAAATGACCTTTTTAAAAAGAATATTGTCAGACAGTGGTATCTTGTTATTATAACCAAATAATGTTTTAGATTCTATAACTTTTAATAAATTGAAAATAAATTATTTCTACTATACCTTTCTTTTTTGTTCAGTATATAATTTTCAAAATAAAAAATCGATTAATTTTTTTCCCTGCTTGGAATGAAATATAAAACTATTTCCTTGCAAAACTTGAAAAGAAAATCACAATTACACTTTTACTAGTATGTAGTTCATACAGCAACTATGAAAAAAAATCACATTTGGTCCGTCACTTTCATCCAAACGAAACATTTAAAAAAAAAATTCCAGTACAGTGCTTGACACTTTCGCATGGCCTTGTTTTCTTTCAGTGTAATACTGGACACACAAAATCACGCTTGATCAATCAATTTGATCCAAAAGAAAAGGTAAAATGACAATTTTGAAATACTGATGCCGTATTTGTTAGATCCCGCAGGGTTCGACTGCTTTCACTGCACAATTTCTTAGCGTCGCCTTCAGAATGATTTTTATTACAAGGAAATAAGGCTCTTTTACTGCCAGTAGAGTTACTGGAAGAGGGCTCGTGGGATTCCTGTTTTGTAGAATGTAGAGGCCACGGGGGGATCCAAAATCTTAGAAATGCTTTTCTTCATTTCCTCGTTACTTTTCATATATTTCCTTACTCCTTGTTCTGACCTGTGACCAGTATTGTAACATTAATGATTTCTGCCTCGGGTACACCTCCTATATACAATTGAGTGCGCAGGTTTTCTTCCCGCTATGATTTGTATAATTCCCTTCCAGTCCTCCCTTTTTCAAAATTAATTTCATAAAAGTTTTCAGTTTATTTATTCCCACAACCTGTGTGCCGTAACGCGCGGGCTTCTCCGAGGTTTCAGGAAGTGGACGACGATAAAATGGCCCCGCACCGTCTAAAGCATCAAGATATATCCGAAAATACTCTGCTAAGCATCGATCACCTACAAATTATATAACAGTAATTAGATTTAATATAAATGATCCCCCCCCCTCGCTTTTCTACATACTTGTGTCTTAATGTATCCACATAAATATTTACTTTTACCAGGCTCACAGTAATGCTCCCCCCCTTTTCCTCTAACTATTACATTTATACTTTAAATAAAGTGTCTTAATGTATCCACACACACACACACACACACACACACACACACACACACATATATATATATATATATATATATATATATATATATATATATATATATAAAATTATTTACTTACCAGGTTCACAATAATGCTTCAGATTCTTTGTCTGTAAATTCATTTGACCCAGACCGCCCTTGTAAGTTTTTGATGCTCTTCCAACAAATTGAATGAACTGTCCATGGGTATCGTTTCCAAGGGAAAACTGTTCACATTGCAATTTGTGGTGCTCATCGCACGCCCTCAAACCAAACAATTTACATGAATTAAAAAACACAGTGTGTTGCAATTGTTCACTGTTTTCTTTCCCAAAAACATTCTCTTGCCACAATTTCTCCTCGTCTTCCGGCCATATAGGATCAGCTTGGCGGATCTCGCACCCAAGTCCTCTATCAATGAGCGATTTCATTTTGGCGTCCAAAACTTTTCGCAACCCGACAAAAGATAGTTCTTTCTCATCCAGAAAATTTTATCGTACACACCTTTTTGTCTTAGGTGCCTTAAAAGTCCACATAAAATAAGGTAAAGAGTTTTTGGAGGGTAATCAGATCCGTCTTTCTTACGGGCTTCCACAATAAAACGCTCAAGCCAATGATTCATTGTTTTCGTATCCATTAAGTGAAGCTCGCTAATGTCCCCCGCTCTCTGCTCGCGCCAATTTTCGAAAACTTTAAGAGCCCATTTTGTGTTGCTTTTAGTATTCCTATTTTCCTGATTCTCAACGAGACACCTCAAATCTTCATCATTGACGACTGGACCAAATCTTGTGCTCTCTTTCAGTTCTTTTTTTTACTTCACATTCAGATTCCATTAAAGTAAAAAAATCCCCGATATCAAAATCCATTGAACAGCTGTCTCCAACGCCTTCATTCGCATCCAAATTTAAGTTTTCAGAAAAACTAAGATTTTGATTCCCTTCAAACACATGATATTCAGTCTCCATATTTTCACATTTGTGATAATGTGATATCATCCACCTCATCAGTTAAAAAATCAAGCGATTCTAAATCTACGTCCATCCTTCAGCTCAGTGTTCTCAAAACTATATAATATATATAATACTATATAATACAGTGACTAGAAATCTCACGCTATCTACGGATAAAGTACAATTTACATCGAATCCAAGTGTACTTAATATTAACATGAGAATTCACTTTTTATACGATTTACCAGGGATTAAGGAAGAAATGAAATATACATGACACCACTTATAATAATAGCACAAACAGAAGTGGGAGGAGCTGATTTTGATTGATCGTGTCACAAATCATTTAGAGACCTCGACAGGTTCTGTATCGTTGATACAAATTTGGGGGTGGAGACTCGTGCTTCGCACTCTTCCACCCCCAAATTTGTATCAACGATACAGTACCTGTCTGGTTCTCTAAATAATACATATAAGATGCAAATCTGATAACTGAAAAGAGGATTCAACAGGATACAAGCAGGATAAACGGTAAAAAAAAAACAATCAGGGGTGCAATATAGGATGCCCAGTATGTAGGCATGAACATCTCTTTATTTAAATCAGATGATCAGGAAAAATTTTAAATAATGTACATGTACACTGTATATATCTGTTTTATTCTTAGGTGTACTTTATCATCGCTGGGAAAAACCAGCCGAGGCAGAGAGGGCATATCTAAAGGCACTGGAAATAGAACCAGCCAATCAGAGCGTTTTACAGAATCTACAGATGTTACGCCGAAAATACAACAGAAAAGGAAACTCTTAGCATATCTTAAAGTTTGTTATACATTGTATTCTACAACAGAGTGACACAAATGAAATATCTTCTGTGGTAAAATAGATAGCTGATTTAGTTTACACATCAAACTACCAAGGAATGGAATTGTGGTATAATTACAATGATGTCTAATATAGCCAATATCTGGCTTTGTCTACAAAGATTGATGTCGAATCAGATATCAGTTTCTTCCAATTATTGAAGAGCTGCCATATTGACACATACATGTAGTACCCATAGCATATCTGGTACATGCACATGCATTCTTAATATGCATAATTCAGTAAAACAGAAGTTGCTAGTTTAGAGAAGAAAAATATACTTATTCAAAATATTTCTTCATCTCCAACAATATTAAGTCAGGGTTATTGAATTGTGTTTGTAAAAGGCAGATAATGTGTTTTTTGAGATAGGTGCAAATGACATAGTTTAACCTCAATATCTTGCACTCAGGAAAAAAAAAGAGCACTTGGAGATGTTTAATTTTTCTGGGAAAACCATGCAATTTGAAACTTTATCCATCTTTGGGACACTGAATTCAAACTACATTTATCCCAGTACCAGGAATGTCAATATATCAGCATTAGAAATATTTAAATTAAGCTGGTTATATATTGCATATCTGTTCATTACATTCCATCAGTACTTTAGTTTTATAAAGGAAAGTTTTCACATTTTACTCGTATTTTATTTAAAATATACATAATGTACATGTATGATTTAGAATTATTGTTGAGAGAAAATTGCTTTTTAGATCTAAAAATCCATTTAAGTTTTCCTGTTATTTTGAATATTATCTCTTTGATGTTTGAAGAAGATACCAGTAGCATTCCATTTTTGATATACATATATATGAGTGGTTGTGGATATACACACATTTATTTTTTCTGTTCTGTTAAGCTCACAGAGTGCTTTTTCATCTGCGGTAACAGGGCTTTTTGGTTGATCTTGTTTTGACTTATTTTTGTTGTTGTCGTTGTGAAAGTTGAATACTTTGTTTTTTCCATTTTGCATAATGATAAGAAGTACATACATTGCAATTACAGGGCTTATCACTGAAAAATCTTGTATAACACATCTGGTTTTTTTTTATAATAATAGCCATAATATTTTTGTAAAAATATATGAATTTACCATTATTCTTAAATAAATTGAATGTTATCATATCTTGGAGTCCTATTTCTGGTAAAGTCTGTTGCTCAAAAGTCTTTGTGAAGCACAGAAAATCTGTGGGCAAATGCTGTATATTTGTCCCCCAGTATCACTGAAAGTGGGGGGTATGATATGTGGTCTGTCCCTCTGTCTGTCATTCTGTCTGTGTGTAACACTATTACATGTTTCCGGATGATATCTCAAGAAGCCTTGTGCCTTGTAGCTTTTGCAATGAAGTTTTGTACTCCCTATGGTCTAAAGAAGACCCTGAATGATTTTGAGGTCAAAAGGTCATGGTCAGAAATTTTACATTCTGTCTGAGAGGAACACTTGTTTCCGAATAATATCTTGAAAAGCCTCTGGGCTTTTGCAATGAAATTTAATATCAGAACTCAGTATGGTCTTAGGAAGACCTCTATTGATTTTGAGATCAAAGGTCATAAATTCACACATTATGTGTGTAACACTTTCGTTCCCAGGGGATATCCTAAAAAAGCCTCTGAGCTTTTGCTATTTGAAATTTTATATCACTTTCCTATGACCTAAGGAAGACACCTACACTGTATTGATTATGAGGTCAAAGGTTGAGGTCAGTATATTCATACATTGAAAATAACGGTTTCTAGATGAAAACTTAAGTTCTCTATGAGCTTTTTCAATGAAGTTATGCATGTATATCATAACCCTTAGTGACTTAGAAAAAAGACCCCTATTTACTTTTAAGTCTAAAGGTCAAGATCAGAAATTCATGCAATGCAAAAAATGGTTTCTGGATGATAACTTTAGTTTTCTTTAAGCTTTTTTTTAATGAAATTTTACATCATAACTCCCAGTGACTTTAAGAAGTCCCCTTTTAATAAGGGAAAGTAACAACAAGAAATACATGAAATTAACCCTAAATCTAAACCCCAGCAAGAACCCCACATCCAGTCAATGAAATGACTTTAACACATATCATGATAATGATCTCTCACTCATCATAATCTATGGGATACACCCCATGTTTAACAATGTATGGGAAATAATGACTTATTGTCAATATCCATGGGATTTATCCCATTTGAGCAAATTTGTGGGAGAAAATATCCCACCTGACACTTTTTCTCACATGGGAGAAAGGTGGGATAGTTGTTAGGACTAATAATCCCACCATTCTCCCATGGGATTCTGACTTTTAGGACTTCATATCTTTAAAAAAAATTATATTTGAGAGTTCAACATGAGACCAGTAGATATTGCTAAGAAACCCCACCAAGTGCTATAATTTATTTTTGGACATCACAATTAGAAGTGGTAGTAAAAGTCTGAACAATGTCGTGTCCGGAGTTAAATGTCGCGTTGTTATATTGCATATACATAGTTTTCACATGACAACTTTAGTTCTCTGTAAGCTTTTGTAATGAAACTTAAAAAAGACCCCTTCTGACTCCAAGGCCAGAAAAGGTCAAGGTTGATATTTTTCTTTCTTTCTCCATCTGCCTATTTTTTTTTCAGTTCTTCCAACCTCTTCTCTCCTCCTTAAGCGGGGGACACAAATTCTCTAACTTGTTCTTCGTAATGACTTCAGTGCCAAATGTGTACGATAATACTTTAACATAGATATTGATGTTAAGCAAGGTTGAAATAACGTCATGAAGTACTTAGTTATATGGATTTTTTTAAAATTTTTAATGACATGTTCGTGGACATGCTATTTTCTTTAAATGACTAGATTATGTATACATTATATATAAATCAATGTCTGAGTAAATTGATATAAATTAAAACAATACACAGTATTTTACCAACGTCATCAGTATAAATTCTACGTACTACCTTTAAATAGTATTTTTATATACCGTATAGGACCAATTTCTAAAACTTAACAAAAGCGGAAAATGAAATCAGTTATCGAAATATAAAAATGAGAGACTAGGAAATCATGTATTTTTGATAAATTTTTGCATCTAACAAAAATTATCTGAAGCTGGGGGGGGGGGGGGGTGTTACACCATCCATTCGTCAGGTGTCTGTGGAAATATCCTGATTATTTCAGAATGTTATTTTATGATTAGACGTTGTTTTGTTCGCATGGCCGATATCGCTTTTCGACCTTTTCAGACACATTTCTTCATATTTCTATCTATCTGTCCAATTACTGATATAGAAAAAGACATCTGGAAATAACGACAACATTTTAGTTACTTCACAGTCACTTAATCCTTGCTTACCGGTAGTTATGTTTTACAGAAAAAAATAAACATTTTATTCCAAGAACTTTATGACAAAGTTAATGACATTTCAACCCATTAAAGACAGCGATTTTTTACAAAACATTTAAGACCAACTATTTTAACTTGGATTTTCATAAAAAAAAATATTTTGCTATGCGGTATGTTAAACATGACAAAAACGTTAATGTCCACGAACTATTTTGGAAGTCTTTGAACATATGTACATTATTCATTCATTAAGTATATATTAATACTGCCTACAAATTAAGTAGACGCTATATGGAAAGTCCCCACACATACGTGTTTAAACAACATTAACAACTTTTACTAGGTCACTGTACAGGAATCAATGCAATGTTTATATTCATTGTCCACATTCATACTAAAGACTCTCTCCAAGAGAAAAAGTGACTCCACGCGCTGATCTGTTGAATACACTCGGATTTTCCATACTTCCGTTGCTTCTTTCACACGAAGATTCTAGATTTTCGTCAGACCATGTATTGTTGACGCCATTTTCTTTCTTTGTCCCTTTGTCAGCTGGAAGGTTTGCTTTAGAATGGCTTTTTGCCACACCGTAGTTCTTTGACGCTTGCCTCGGCTTGTACTTGAAGAAATAGAGTTCGAAACCCAGACACACGAGCGCTAGAGCAGCCCCTCCCGCGATTAGGATAAAAACCCCGCCAATGTTGTTCAGACTAATGCCCTCGCTCTCATTTTCCAGTTTAGGACACTTTACTTTATTTTTATCCCACCATTTTTTCTTTAATTTTTCAAGCATTCGTTGATTAAGGAGCTGAAGTATCCTTTAGAGAATTAAAAAAAAATAATAATAAAATTCAAACCATCATGGCTAATTTATGTGTTGAAGACGTTACCCAGTACAATTTTTTTTTACTGTTCGAATACATGGTGAAAATGCAGCGAAAAAAAAAATCCGAAATGATCAAAGAAATTATGCATATGACTCTACCTTTATGATTTATTAAGCGTTCTTGAAATTCTATAACCTACATGTATTTTGATTCAGTTGACGGAATAATGCAATGTTTCATAACTGTAACTATTATTTTGCTAAAATTTTACCCAGCCAAAATGATTCAAGAACTCTGGCTTCCTATGCTTTTATGTACATGTACTCACGCAGTTGAGAGATCGTTCCTTAATGGCGACCCGTTCTGGACAGCCAGAGCAAAGGGTTTCCTGCTGAACTCCTCGCCAACTTGCCAGAGGTCGCAGTTCTCCATCGACCTCATCGTCTGATACTGGTTCTCCGCGGCATCTCCTATGTCCACAGGAAAAAGTGAATAAAAATTTTATCAATTAAGGATTCAATCAGTTTTAGAGGGGAAAATTCTCATGTTGCAGATTGATATTTTTATATGAAAGGTAGAGTTAAAAAAAGAGTTCTGGTCTAGTTTAAAATCGTCCTGTTTCATTATACCGTATGCGCACCCGAAGGTCTGCAATTAATGACATCTTGAATTCAATAAAGATTTCTTGGCCTTTCAAGTTAAGATAAATGTTAATGTCGATGGTCTACCAAAATGTTTTATTCACGGACATAGCCGAGTAGTACCACTGTCTACGGAAATTGACAAGTATATGTGTTTTTATATAGAATTCGTGTACTAGTAAATTGTACCTATGTATGCGAATGTCCCATTCTTTACGCTGGAGAGTGCTTCATCCAGCGAGTTTGGAAATCCCGAGAGTTTCATGGTTTCCCAAAGTTTGGTATACTTGTTACTGACCGGGTAATCCCACACCGCCAGTTTGGCTCTCTCTACAGGGTCTAAGGTATCGTCCAAACTCATATTCTTCCAAATACTGAAAAATCATGTTAAATTACCATTTCTAGTATTATAGAATTGTTAATCGCGAATTGTGGCATATTACTAGTATTCAAAACATTGCATCAGATTTAAAATAAAATCTAGGAGATGACTACAAGGTCCGATATAGATTTCATGGAAACGCATTTATTTATGAAGTCCTTAACTTACACTAACTTTATCTATGACATACATTCAATGTGTAATTATAATCTTTTAAGGACCAAAAAGTGCATCATATTTTTTTTGACTGAATTTCTGATCTGAATAGTACTTAAGACCTTAATTTTGTAAGACCAGATCTTTTAAAACTTTCATTCACAGAAAAACTGTTTTCTGCATTTTCTATGAGATTTGCATCAAATCTATCAAGGTTTCTTGCAAGTAGTATGCCTTTTTCGTGAAGCGTAGTACATATTTTAATACCTGTAAAATCTTTGTTCAATTTCTGCCATTCTCTGGAAGTACACCATAGCTGCACTGCCATTATGCGGTGCGTATTTAACAGTATGCTGACTGGATAGATCGTCTAAGGATTTGATTGGTTCTTCCAAACGAGACACAGTCAAAAACGCAGCTAGATTGGCTGTATATGTTGCTATGACAATGAACCCAAACAACCACCACGTAGCAGCAATAAGGCGGCCTGAAAGAGCTCGTGGCGCCTCACCTCCGCCTGAAATATATCACAGACATTTTCTGCTAGCGGTGGACTTGATGAAATCCATATCAATGTCATTCTTTAGAATAATAATGTCGTGCCTACCTTTTGAGGTATTTTGCATTATAATCACTATAAATAATCATATTTTTCAAATGTCAAAAAAACCTACATGTATTGACATACTTTTATTTAAATACTACAATTGGGGTGTTTTGCGGACAATTTTTGGTATATATGTGGGCAAGGATCAGCTATTTGTAAATAATAACGGCCGTCACTTTTGAAATTGAAATCAAGAAGAATATGTATTTTTTGCAATTCAAAAAGTTGTATTTATACTTCTGTAATATAAAAGAGAAAGAATGAACAATTTAATCTTTTTATTTTAAGAAATAAAATTAATATTACCGAATTTGTGTAAAATTGTCCAACTTTTGCGCATGCTTATAAGAGATTTCCCAACCTATGTGTCAAAAATGCATTTAAAAAAAAAAAATTAAAATAATACTTTTTTATGTATGACTATTCTAAAAGATAGATGTTTACCTTACAATTATAGATAAAAATAATTACAATTGGTTATCAGTAGCCCGAGAAAAATAGCCTTGAATATGTATAACGGACGTTATGAGTGTCGGTCAACATGATGGGTTGACTTTAAACATTGAAATGTATGTAACTGTATAGAAAATATACGAATATTTTATGTTAGGTTTAACTTAAAAGTATACTCAACAGGTGCTTTTCCATAACGTATGCGTAAAGGATTTAAATACTAAATTATCGCAAATTTAACAAAGGTACACAGGTGTCGGTCAAATTCGTAACGTCCGTAATCTAGGGCGTAAAATGACTTGCATATGAGATATATAGAACCAGCTCGTTTTTTCTATTAGTTTTACCACACATTTGCAGAATACGTCATCAAAAGTGACCATGATACAAAAAAGGAGGCAAAGTGGGTGAGTTTGTATTGTCGGTCAACATTTCTTAGTAGATAACAGGCGTCACGCTAATAACTAAATAAGATTTATATAATATTTAATGATAAAATGGACAAGCCTTGTTCTCCAATGTGTTGAAATCTATAATTGTTATTGTTTGACACAAATGTTAAGCATTTTTCTAGAACTATTACGATCATAGAGTTCGGCAGTTATATTTTGACTAACATAAAATATACGGATGTGACAGTTTGACAGAAAACAATGTCAAACCTTAACTTCTGAAGCACAATGATTCGATTATGTAACATAGAAATTTTATGGACATATTTTTCGCTGTTTTGATTTAAAAAAATTATTTATTTTCTTTTCAGATGCCATGCTACCAGTTCCTTATTGATTTTCTTGGCTGATTGCCTGTTATGATTTGACCATTCTTAATCTGTGCTGATACCAATTTTTTTTCTTATTATGTTATTAAAGATAAAATTTTATCAGTAAACTTCAGTTGTATGTTAACTGATTAATGAAGAACAAATAATAAATTTACTAAATAAAAATTACAAAGCCCGTAGAGAGTTAAAATGTAACTATCATGAAAAACCGTAACGGACGTTATATTGTAACATCCGTCACAGTGCTTAAAAAATTCATGAAAGTACTTGCAGTAGTTTTAATTATAGTATTAGCAGAATGTTTGGATGTAGATATTTGACACACAAACTTCATTGCATGTATGAAATCATGTGTATTCTTAAGAAAACTTACGAAATGCTTTAAAAATCAGCGTCAATGTAACCTCCGTAACTAGCAAACCTTAGTTTGTCAATTTGTAAAATCCATTTTTGTCAAAAGGTCAAATATAACATCCGTTTATTAAACAGGATAAAAAATTGTTAAAGGAAGAAGTAATGTACCTTATTCTGCTTTTTTAAAATGAAAAACTAGTTTTATTTCCTCATGTAGTGAAAAAACACTGAAAACACGATTTCTTTGCAGAAAGTAAGAATGATGAAAATGCTATAGCAAGAGAATTTGACGTCACCTCCGTCACGATTAATTGTGCCTTATTTATTTTACAGATAGGTCATAAAAAGCTGTCTAATTCATTCCAAGTGAAAGTGTGGTCAAATTCATGCATGTGGTGGTTTTTTTAACGTTTCAAGAAGGGCGAAAAAACCTTCAAAATTCGCATTAACTGTGTCAACATAACGCCCGTCACTTTTTGATCACCTGTATTTGGATGCGATTTTCTTAAAAAATAAAAACGCAACTATCTTTTCTTTTTAAATTCATGAAGGAAGATATAAATATAGATGTTTTCAACTACAAAAAGTGTAAAAATATTGACACAATTTTTTTCACTGTGACGGCCGTTATTATTTACAAATAGCTGATCCTTGCCCATGTACCACAATATTAATTCTTACTTTAAGGATCTCGACAAGACAAACCTTGAGGTGTGAGTGACATCATACAAAACCATATCCCCTCTTTGATGGTAAAGACCCGGGGTTCCGGTGTCACGTTTTCGTAATTCTTCTTGTTGTTTTGGTAACTATACGGACTCAATTTATCGAAGACGTATAAAAGTCCGCTAAATAGGAAGTAAGCAGCAATGATGCAGAGCCAGACTTTCTCGTCTAGGACAACCAGAAACTTAAACAGCTCGTAATCAAACTCTGGTTTCTTCAGGAGAATGGTCAGCCCCACTAAGTCGTAGTAAGGGACTGTGAAATCAATCACGTTCTCTCTTTCCGCCATTACGGATATTGGACCTATTGCAATGTCAGCTCGCTGTTTGAAAAAAAATTAAAAAGAAAAAAATGCGTTACCTTTCACTAAATAGTGACTTAAGGGTAAAAAGTAAATGCTATCGAATTTTTACGAAGTAAAATAGCTAAAATATGGTTAAATTCTTTGAGTGTATCTAATTTTGGTGCGTATGTCTTGGTTAGAAAGATATCATCAAAGGTCTACAAAGCTAAATAAGATCATGTAAAATTCATATTTTGGTTTTCCTTCATAAGAATAGATATAAATTTAATTATCTTTTATTTTATGGAAAGTATGGTCTAACAGTACAATGCATGTGATTGCCGTTCATGAAAATCATTCATTCAGAGGTCTGTAAGACCTTGCTGGTTCTAATAACTTATTCCCCAGAATTTTCATCTAGAAATTCATTAATTTCTCCTACCTTTTCCATCAGCTCCTTGACGATTCCGTTCCAATGTCCTTTTTCGTCCATTGATCCTACCAGTCCATCAGGACTGGAATATAACTCGTAGTCAAACTTCAGTATTTTCTGGATCTCGTGGAGGAGATCCATACAGTACCCGTCAAAAGAGTTATTTCCCTTGGCTATCACAAAAGGCGGATACTAAAATAAAACAAATTGTGGAAATGATTTATATAAATTTATATTGATATAGGAAATATGCCAAATATGAATATGACAAAATTCTTTGAATAAAATAGTAAAAATGCGTGAACATCGCCGAATCTTACAGTGGGGACGACTACAATCTTGTACTTCTTCTTTCCGGGTGGTTTCAATAAACTTGAGTCAAAGAGCCTTAGTCCCATCTCCTCCGTCCAATTACCAAGCTATCATAATAATAAAACTTATATGGTTATGCCATTATTATTGTCTCTTGGTTATTTACACATTTAAACTCGTTATCATGGACTTAATTCCTCAGTAAAAGAGAAATAGCAGATCTGTTGTACAGATATCGTCATATAATCTGTATGTAAATGAATAATATATTAATTATCAAACACAATATTTCTTTAACATAATTGACTCCGAAATCGTTTGATCAATTCAAATTATCGATATCCATAACGTGACGTACCAGCTCAGTAGATTGCGCCTGTTTAGAAAATGTTAACCGCTTAATGGACAAAATTAGTCTTTGTTTAAGAACGTTGTTTTTAAAATACAATGGTCCAAATACTCCATTTTTAGAACTCTGTAAAGTAAATGGAAAATAAAACAAAACTAATACATTGGTGACAACACATACTTGTACATTTTATAATTCATTGCTTTTAAAAAAAGACTCTCGTTTCTTAAAATCTTAAAATAAATTAAACATTCTCAATTTAAAGTTTAAGCACAAAGTGTCCTCCAAGCTTACTTTCTATGTGGTTGACTATATTATGGTATTTTTACTTTTGAAATTGTACTCACATTTTGAAAGCTTTGAATAAACATCCGGCTTTGGTTGAATACTTCCGCTTCCGGTCCTATGACGCTGTAACACTCACTTTGATTAAGGCTCATTGATTTTTGTACGTTCTGCTCTACAAGTTTTGTTCCTATCAAGTTCATTAAATCAAACAAGAACGCTTCATCTACCTGTTATAAAAAAACAAATCAATTCTAGATAGGATACAATTAGCAATTGTTTTCTTCAATTTCAGCGAGAATTGCTTCTACAATGAAACATTACCTCATTTTGTCAAGTATAGTTCAAGCAGAATCTCTAGCGGTAGCTTCAGGATGAAGCAATTGATTTTTACCCCAAATAGAAATACTAGTACTTAGTATTTCATTTGATACATTCTTACTATATTTCTTTATCAAATGATAAGAACATTAATAATTTAGATATAATTAATCATTTCTAAGTTTTAAGAACTTGTGTCTGATCCTTTTGTTTCAACATCTTAACAATAGAATATGTTCAAAAATCAATAATTTAGACCTTTATAAGACCAATTGCTCACCTGAAGATAAATAATTGTTAACCTTGCATATCATGCATAAATAATTTAGAATCCCTTTTATAACCCCCAAAATGCATAGTTCAGAAAATTTTGGGGGAAAAACAATCTCTAGCATTTAGATGTGATAACGATTTATCTATAAACCAGTAGCTAAGAAAGGTAGTAACTTCTGAAAAACGTAAAGAAAGTTTCATTTCATATTTTGCATCTTTTAGAGACCTGGAATGTAATTGTGCAATTTTATGGATGTATATATATATATATATATATATATATATATATATATATATATATATATATATATATATATATATATATATATATATATATTGCAATGTTTACGATTTTCCCCTTCAAGTTCATTAGTTACAAATTTGTAATAAGAAAACTTTGTTCACTTTATCTATAATTCTCTTTTTAACATTGCATTATTTCGATCGTTGGTAAAATGAATGATAATACATAACTCTCCTCAATATTTTTTTTTTATAAAACCTAGTAATTAAGATGAACAAATACTAATAAATTTTCAGAACTTGTGCCCAATCCCTTTCTAATTATAAATTACAATAAAGACAATGTATGTTCAAACCCACAAAAAGGATTCTTACATTAGACCCTTCCGCTGTGAAGGTTGAAATATACTTCGAGAGTCCCCGGATGAAGGGGATATAACTATTCTCCATAATTTCGTTGTTGGGACGGCCCGTTATCAGGATAACCGTCCCACGTCCATGATTCTTACATCCCTGGCAAGTGATACTCATATCCTGTCAATCAAAGGTCAGAGGTTAATAAACAAGGGAATACTTCCTCTAAATTCAAACGACCAAATGTATGATATTTAATACTTTATGTGCTCTAGTCACAATTATCATGGATTTACTTTGGTGCTCTTCTTGGCTTATCTAAAAAAAAATTAGCTCAAGAAATAATGTACATAGCAAGAATTTTCAACAAATACATGAACCTCTGTCATTTTTCTTGGAAACATACATGTTAGTGAAGGTGTTTTATTTATTGCAACTAACCTTGGTTAGCACAAACCAACGATATTTTTCCTCCATTAATCTTGTACTGCTCGCCTGTATAAAAAACTTTTAGTGTGTAAAAAAAAAAGACAGCATCAAACAGTTCCAAGCACAGCGTTAGTAAATATATTTATATGGATTTTTTTTTTCAAATTAAATGTCTCTTTTCAAATTCTGATCAAGATATATGACAATCACTTTAAATTTCTTTAATTACCCTTTGTATAAAATTACTGTGCTTTTTTTTCTTCAAATGCTTTTTTTCTCTCTGATAAATAAAAACACCAGAAGATATCTTCTACAAGAACGTTTTAAACCACTTTTTTCGATATTATAACTACCGTTTCCAAAATTTTCATGACATTCTCCTTGCTCGCCACAATGAAAAAATTTCTAATTTGATTTTCCTCCAATCGATATAGTTGCTCTAGTGTTGCATTGTGGGTAGTGGAAATGATTTCCTGAAAAAGATGCTGAGCTGAAAGACCTGATAGGTATCTTTTAGGGATTTTGTCCAAATCTGAAAAAAAAATCGACCACTTTAAAACAGTCATTAGGTTAAGATTTACTACTACAAATATAACCTTAATGTTGGTGGTCCATTAGCTTTTAGGGTCGACAGATTGAATTCTTGGGTTTTACAGACATCGATATACTACATGTATGCTTTATGCCTTGCTCGTAGATTCTATATTCCTTCAATAATTCATTAAAAATGTATAGAACAAAACAAAAACACAACTTAAAACTCAGAAACTACTAAAAACAAGAAAGCGAAAGCAAAAGAAACAAAACAAAGCCAAGAAGAAACACACACACCTAAAAAATACAAACAAACAAACTCGAACAATAGGAGAACAAATCGAAAACAAGCAAAAATTAATGACAAAATCAATCAATTAAAAAAAGTTCGTGGACCACAGTGAGTAATTGCTTCAAGTACAGGGCGTTTCATAATAACTACATTCTTCAAACTAAATATTTTTCTTACCCATCATATTTCTAATACAAACCATACATCATATTAAACATCAAATCCTATATCTTTATTCATGTAAAAAAAAAAGTCAAGGGAAACTTAGTATTATATTGTTAAATTGTGACATAAACGCCGATGTCATAATCTGAATATTTTTCGAAATGGATATAACTTACCAACACATTGCTGAATTGTAAAGTTGTTTTTTTTTTTCAATACAAATCAACAAAATTCATTTTAATTCAGAAGTTGAAGAAGAAAAATATTCCAAAAGAAAAGAAGCTTTCTAAAATGCTTATCAGAATGCAAGTAACTAGGGCTGCATGGGTATCGGTTGGGAATTTCGTATTGCGATATATTGCGATATTTGGAACTATATTTTTAATAACAGTTAAAGTGTTCTTTCCTTATTTTATTAACCTCCATTTATAAGCAGAGTGTATAAAACTTTCATAAATACGTACATGTATTAACAGAAGAGTTCTAGTTGATTTCACTACAGTTTGGCAACAAAATGCAACCATACAACAGAAACTTTACCGTTTGGTACTGTTTGGCACTATTGAAAACGTTCCTGACATCTTAAATTTCAAATTTTACTTCATAAATCTAAAGCCCAATCATTTTGCTGGTATATCGGTACTGGAAATACGTATCGCAATACGATATTTTTTGTTAACGAATCGCAATATACCGGAATATCGATATTATTGCGCAGCCCTACTAGTAACAAAGTTAAACAGGACAGGTGCGTGAAATATGCGAGAAATGACACAATAATCCAAGAAGACCGACTTCAAGAACCGAATGAAAATTTTCTTGCTAAAGTGGAGACTCTAAATAATGTAGCAAACTCCTTAGAAAAGTATCAGATAGATGTTTTCAGAAATTGATGCTGGCAATATCAGCATTTTCAGAGTGTATCAGGCCCGTAGAACGCGGGGGGCAGGGGAGGCCAGACCCCCCCCCATTTTTTTCTGAGTATATTTTTTTGCTATATAGTAAATTTTCCTTTAGATGCTGGTTGCCCCCCCCCCCCACTTTTTGATGTTGTAAGGTCGAGCACAGGCAAATTCCAGGATTTGGACAATAAATTAGCTTTTTTTTTGCTTGTCAGATTTTTTTTTTGGGGGGGGGGGTTGCCCCCCCCTTTTGAAACCGTTTCTACCGGCCTGTGTATTTAACATTTTTGTTGGTAATTTTACATAATAAATCTAATGGATACATGCAATAAATTGATGAAAGCAATCGTCTGTATCTCTTTCTTGCAGATTCAAACTATGCAGATAATCTAATGTCTAAGATTACAATTAGGTGATTTTTTTCTCAAGTAGATGACAATAAAGATTTAAATGTTTAATTTTGTCTAATAGAACTGAAAGCGAATTATTAAAGAAATAGTACGAATATTATATATATAGCAGATGGTTTTGACGGTCAGAACTAGCAAAATCTTATTCATTTAACGTCTTTAAATCACCCACTTTTCATCTTTCATTTACAGAAATATATATACCAGTTTCTTTTGAATATATTTCAGTGAAGGGTACGAGTATAGACTTACAGAATTTTAAAGCTGATATAAGAGTGTTTTTACCTGACAGGTGCATTTTAATACAAAGACTGTGTTTACAGTACTTGTAGTTAACATTCTTTTAATAAAGATGTGCCACTGCAGCATTCTAAATTCCATTTTAGCAGACATTTTGAATCAATAAGTTAGACAATTTAATTACCAAACGAGTTATCGTACAGAACAGCAATCCTGGTTAAATTTTCGTGAGTTATGACGTCACGGACCACGCCCATCATGACCGAGCCTGGGGGCTCAACTTCCAGATGTAGGTCGGGATCAAAGTCTTTTTCTATTAGTGTAGATCTGTCTAAAAGTGTAACGTACGGTAATCCTGCGGAACGTGCAAACGACCTTAACAGTTGACCCGTCAAAGGATCAGCCATGTCAATCAACAGAACTGCTCCATCCGCCATCACAGAACAAACTGGCATAAAGAAACAAGTACATTTATCAACGTTACACAAAAATTAAATTAATTTAAATAAATTACTGATAATACCTAATTGTTCGTTTATGATTACTAAAAATATTGCATGAAAGGGATTGCAGTCTTACATGTAATTCAATAGAGGAATTAATATATGAGTTGTGTGAGTTGTACGTAATCTAATAAGTTTTTTCAATAGATGAGAATTTTTCAAGAATAAATGAGCATTAACTTCACATGAGATGTCCCCCCCCCCCCCCAAAAGAGTAATTGTAGATATACGGGATGGAAATTTTTCTAATAATTTCATTTTTAAGAGATAAAACTCAACATATTAAATTTCAAGGACCTCTCAACACCCCATCCCCATCAAAGAAAAAAGAAAAAGAAAAACAAAAGATTGAATATTACGTTTTTTTTTTCTTTTGAAAAAAATTATTATTCTTTAATTTCAGTAGACCATACTGTAATTACATGTATACTATATTCTCATAGGCCTTTTTTTAAGGATTGGTAGCGTTCAGTTTATACGTACTTGTCTACTTGTCACAGTTTTCAGTTTGAGGAGTTGAGATAGGTTTCAATGCAAATGCACTTATAGTTTCTTTCTCTAGCCACTATTTTTATAAAAGTGTCACCTACCTTTCTCCAGTGCTGTGATAGGGTTGGTAGAGTTTAATTTAATGACTTTTACACCTCCATTCCACCCATGCAGCTGGCTCTCATCTTTCAGTGTATCTTCAAGGAGTTTCAGGTTTTTGTGTTTTTCTTTTGCCAAAACAGCAACTGTTAAAACCCATAATATTTTTTCGTCTAAAAGGTTCACCAGAAGAAAAGGAAAGAGTATATAGAGGATATTCAATGTTTTGTAGTTGGATAAGGAATTTATTTCACGAGTGGGATAGGATGTTTTGATTTTTTCACGAGTGCGAAGCACGATTGAAAATATCCAAACATCCTGCCTCATGAGTGAAATAAATTTCATATCAAAACATTTAATTTTCTGTTCATTACATTTTCTTTGATTTTCCACAGTGCAATGGGCTTTTACGTGACAGTTTAGCAGTTGAGAAATTATCTAGCTTAGCAGTTGTGAGATTGAAAACATTGAAACATGGATTTTAGCAAAATATTTGGGGGAAAATGACAGTTTTAGTATCTGTCAAGATCGTTAGTTACTATCTCTATCTTATAACAGGCCAGATTATTTTTTACTTTTGAATTCTTTCACACTGTAAGAGAATACCACTTTGGTATCCTTTCATACTGTGAGAGAATATCATTTTGTTATCCTTTCACACTGTGAGAGAATATCACTTTTATTCAATGTAATAAATCACAGTATTTCACTGTTGAAAATGTAATAAATGTATGTAATATACATATTTCGAAGACATATACCCTAAAAATTGAAAGTCTAAATCTTTACATCCAAAAATATATTCCTAATTTTGTGTGCTGCATGCAAATTAATACTACGAGGGTTGATCGGAAAGTTCGCGGACTTCTGTCATATCTTTTATACTTAACGTCATATTATACCCAAATTTGGTAGAAATGCTTTAACAACAAATTCAAATGATTTGTATTAAAAATTTTTAAAAATATCTCGATTTATTTCAATCTTATTCAGAGTTAAAATTTAATAATTTACAAACAAGACAATAAATAATGTCTGTTGGCATAACCCCTATAAAATGGCTTAAAACCGAAAAAAATCAAGACGTTCAAATCAAGAATTGTTATGTCGTTTCATATTCCAAATTATGAATTCATAGTTTGCTTCGTGGAAAAGAAATCAATTGCAGAGGAGAGTTAGTCCTCATTGAAAAAGGCAAAAAAGGTGACGTCGTATCTAACGTCAGGGAGCAGCAGTTTACAATACAGTTTTGTCTTATACTCTGGAAAACTACAGAATAAACTCTAAAAATGCTGTAGGAAACATGGAATATATCAAAAGCGAGTTGTATGTGTGTGTAAATGGCCCATTGACAAACTAATGTATGCTGCTGGAAGAAATGTTAGCAAAATACGTTTCAGTTGCAGGGAAACGTTTTTAATGAATAGATGTTGGACCAGACTGTGTGATTTGTATATACGGAGAATAATTCTGAGAACCCCTAACGCTGTTTTTGACGTTATATAATGTTGTTAAGTGTGTTCCGAAGTTACTAAACATGTTGAATATAAAATTAAGTAAATTGATTTGTGTTACATCCAATGATATGAAACTTCACACATCAACAACATAAATATTTTTACAATCTCATGATAATATGTTCATTTTAAATTTCTTGAAAGTATAGTATAACGAAGATCGACATGGTTCCCCGAACTTTCCGAACAACCCTCGTATTAATTATCTTATTTGTAATTTTCTAATACGGTCAAAAGACATACATAATGAAAATTCACGTGCTCATTTTGTTGCACTCTAAATAATCTATGAACACTAATAATATTTTATAAATATATAATTTATCCTAATTAACGAATTAATTAATTCCCATCTCTGTTTCTTATGTTGGATATTTTTCAATACGGGTGTTTTTCGACGATTTTCCAATGCTAAAGTTGTAATAAAAATGGTTCTCTTTTCATCAATATTTAAACAATCAAGAACACAATCGGGTGCCAATGTAATGAATGAATGATTATTGTTTATAATATTAGAGTTGAATACACCTGTATACATGTACATACCTATATCACGTGATTGCACCGGTTCATTTTGATGAAGAATAAAAAGGTATAGAAATACAAAATTCAACATATCCAATTTAAAATAAATACGTAATTCCAAATTACTTCACGTATTTCTTCCATTAAAGTATCGTCTGCTCCGCACGCGAACTCGATGTTGTGAATTGCTGCTGGTTCTGTAACAATTCGGGCATAAACACAGCAGACGATCGATTTGAAACTGTAATTATCTAAGTATTAATTGATGAGAAATGAATTATCAGTAGCAACGGAGATTGTGTTCTAACATCAATAGAGCAAACAAAAGTTGTGTTAACTTAATGTTGAAATCAAAAGGAAGCTCCGGGCACTTTCTGGTTTTTATGTATGCATGTCGTTAAGATCGACATATTTGGGGTGTACTTACTGCACATATACCCCTGGTGATGTTGCTGTTTAAAGATTTGTTTTTAAAGATTATCCTTTGTGTGATTTATTTTATTTCATAGTATGTTATAGTTTATTTGTTTTGCACTTTCTAGTCTGTTTAAACCAAAGCCAATAAATAAATTAAGTAAGTAAGTAAGTAAATAAATAAAACCAGTCAATAGGGGATGCCTATTCCTCCTATATGTAGCTAGGCACCTGATCCCACCTCCAGTGTTTCCGGGGGGGGGGGGGGGGCGTGTTTTTTGCCCTATCCAAGATTTGTTTTGTCTACGGGATTTATGAAATCGATTACTGTTTGTTATCCTCAGCTTTTTCATCATAAATAAAAAATAAATAAATAAAAAGATTTATAAACAAAGAACAATTTGTATGAAGAGCATATGATAATAAATGACACATATACATCAGATTTATGAATTTCATTACAAACACAATAATTACGCGGCGCATAGTGTCTGATTGATGGAAAATAGAAACAAAATGAAATACCACTAAGAGGGATTCTGTACATTTTTTTCCAGAAATTATATGTATGTGTTAATCATAATGAATCATGGTGTTCATTATGAATAATTTTGTTGTACATGTATATATGCATGTAAAGTTCATTTTTGTTGTTTTTCCTCAACTAGTAACCCCATTATGTTCTTTACTTTTCCTGAATAGCTGGAGTATATTCATTTACAATGTATTTCATTTTCTCTTGTTGCATTGCACATGTTTTTAGAAGAAGGTCATTTTTATTATCGTTAATGAAAACGAATAAATTGTGTCTTGGAGTCTATAGCCACTGTTGTGCGCTGCATATCATCTCGAAAGTGCAGTGAAAATCATTGACTTGGTTGACAAAGGAGACCAACTTTTCAAGGGCAATTATTAATTAGTCATAAGGTAAGCAAATTTTACTTTCGAGATGTACATTTTGATTTAACAACACGTCGGAAATATCAATTTTAAATATTACAAGCATGCTAGATCCATTGTATATTGCTTAATAAATGTGTTCATTACTGACCATTTCAACATTTTCTTCCGGATTGTTTACCATTGAAGAAAATTTGCATAGGCACACGACGCACAATATATGTAATTAACGCAGAAATTAGTCTAATTGTCGGGGCCTACATGTAAGTCGGCAACTTTGGAAAAGTACACTACATTTGTTTACCGCGGAGAGGAAAAAGGCTCAGGAAGTTTAAAAAGCAGGATATACAGTTTTAAAACAAGCATTTGAATAATTTTAACACTTGAAGAATTTACGCATATACAAGAATATACAATGTATAGCTATACAAGTTTACATCATTAAGCTTACTGAAATCATTTTCACTCGGTTTCTGAATTGTATACACTAAAGTACCTCACAGAATATTGTCAGTTCAAACTTATATCTGTTCCTTTTTGTTATTATGAAAATCATTTCTACATCATGAAAGCATCTTACAACCATTTACTTTTGGCACAATTAAAATCTATTGAAATAAAATTCATTGATCTGTTGCTCGCGGATTGAAGAATGTGATTTAATGAGACTGGTTCATGTACCTTACTGAAAAGATTTTATTAATTTTGTAGTTTTATTTGAAAATGTGAAAAGTTATTTTTAAATTGATGCTATACACTTACATGTATTCAATGCTTTCTCTAGAATGTATAACCCACTCCCACATCCCTTTAAGGGTTATTTGGCTTAGCTGGTGGAAATTCTACCTGCACCAACTTGTCAAAATATTTGGTTTGGTCCTCCAAAAACTAAGCACCCACTCAAATTTGAACTTTGTGCCTCTCTACCTCTACAGTAACATGCGCGGATCTAGAGGGGGAACACCCCCCCCCCCTGGGATTTGCAGTTATTTAAAGTATTTAAAGTATATACTGAAACAAATAAAAATGACTTTGGAGCCCCCCTTGAAAACTTAGACCCCACCATCACCACCATGAAATAGGTGTTTTTCACGTTTGGAAAATGGATTTTACTTTTTTTTGTTTGGTTGGTTGGTTTTTTGGGGTTTTTTTTTTTTTTGGTTTTTGTTTTTTGCTCGTCAAATTTTTTGGGGGGTTTGATAAGTTTGGGTAGGTTTTTTTTTGTTTTTGTTTGTTTGTTTGTTTGTTTTTTTTTTTTTTTTTTTTTGCGTGTCAAGAAATTTGTGGGTTAGAATTTTGTTTGACGGGGATGGATCCCCCCTCCCCTGGAAAAAATTCCTGGAGCCGCATGCAGTAATACAACGTTTGCACTCTAATTTTGATAGCAATAAGTGTAGTTTAAAATAAAACAACGGTTAAAAAAACGTCGTCAATTTTATAAGTTAAACAATTGTTGAATTTCTCAGTGTGTATTTCATAAATCGAAATAAAAATAGCGAATAAAAGACGAAGAAGTCATTATTTGACATCATTCTTTTCTCCTATCTTCCAATGAACCTTAACTACGACATACATGTAAGTAAGAGTTATCTCTCTTGAGTCTAACTCTTGTGCAAAAAAGGTTATAAACACTTCAAGAGTAGTTTGACCAGTTTAGGAAGACAAAGATGAAAATACCAGCTTACCATCCAAAAAGTTAATAAGCGGAACTTGAGGTAATTTTAAATTATGTTCTGTAACATATAACCTAATGTGTAAACAGTACGATCGATATTTCAATCAAAAAGGAAATGGGGACTGCGAGGACAGGGTTCGAAATTCACTATATACAACTCGCAAAACGTGAGTTAGGTAACTCGCAAAAACTTACGAGTTGATTTTTTTTGCATTGAAACTGTAGCAAAACTATATAATATGACAGAACACAATGCTTTTGATTTAAATCAGTAATTTAACTAAAAGTCACACTGTAGTTGTATTTTATGTATTGTACAGTAGTTACTTTTTCCTTAAGTTACATGTATTTGAATTATATAAATTTAACTTTATATGAAAGTTGCGAATATTCTTATAAAATTGCGAGTTCACTTTCTTGGTACTCGCAATTATTTGCGAGTTGTAATTTTAGGGAGTTTCTAACCCTGGAGGAATACAGTGTCCAAGCACAGGGGCCTGAAATGTGGATCGATAGCATCCCCATCTCTTTAATTAAAAAAAAAAATGTAATAGCTTATAATTTCTCAACAACAAAAAATCCCGTCAATCACATCCATATGTCGTTCTATGCAAGCAGATTGTACATTTTCTTACGTTTAGAGAATGACCTTGTACCGTATTATAAAAATACACAAAGTATATAAGAAACAAACAGGGGTTCCCTGCTTTAAGACATATTTCCAAGGTAATAACAGTGTTACCTATCATAATTTTGCAAGCACTCTGTCAGGGGGATGTTCTTCTACTACATGTAAGCTTGATATCTTTAACCTAAACCCCATCATTTACATATATTAGTGTTTTATATGCCGTAATCATTAGTATTAGGGCAGCTTTATCAACTCTGAAACATGGCGTAAGAAACGAAATTGTCAAAATTATGTTTTACAAGAACGTCGATAAATGTATCGTTTTAAGATAGTACTACATTAGTAACTGTAACATCGGTGGAGGTTGTCATGGAACCTGAAAAGCAGGACTTGTTTTATTCAGCTAAGACCAAGATAAATAAATTGTGTGTTTCCTATTCCAACCTGAGAAAAAATAGGGTAGGTAGGTAGGGAAAACATTTTTATTTTATTTTAATATTTTTTTGGTAAGCACGCTACTATTTTTTCCTGGGGAAACATTCTGATTAATGTGTATAGGATATGCATATTCTGAAACACGGAAGTGATCGAGATTAGGATTTCTAATACAGGGAGCCTCGTTATTACGTTGACGGTTTTATAAGATAGAACGTTGACGGTTTTATAAGATAGAACGTTGACGGTTTTATAAGATAGAACGTTGACGGTTTTATAAGATAGAACGTTGACGGTTTTATAAGATAGAACGTTGACGGTTTTATAAGATAGAACGTTGACGGTTTTATAAGATAGAACGTTGACGGTTTTATAAGATAGAACGTTGACGGTTTTATAAGATAGAACGTTGACGGTTTTATAAGATAGAACGTTGACGGTTTTATAAGATAGAACGTTGACGGTTTTATAAGATAGAACGTTGACGGTTTTATAAGATAGAACGTTGACGGTTTTATAAGATAGAACGTTCAAAATATGTTTTAGGGTCGGTCGGGGAACCGGAAAGACACTATTTATTTATCTAGGCCTGACTGGTTTACTTAAAATATTTACAGGAATTTTAAAAAGAAGGAGACGAAAATCGATCTATTACATGTATTAGTAATTTTATTTTATTTCCACATACATGTATGCGTTTAGATATTTAGGATTCCGTCCGTGTTCCAATTTTTGAGCAAGGGTTAGGAATTTTACAACATATCGTATAGAAGACAATTGGTATAAATTAATAGCCAAAGAACCCCTCCTCTATCCCTTTCCATTGAGGAGCAACAATACTTAGTGCATGGACATGATTCATGTATATATGATACGTAGATTTATTTCCTGAAGCTAGGATAAATCGAAATTATGTGTATAAAGAGTCCTTTCTAAATATAAAATAATAAAAAAAAAATAACATAGACAAACTTGTGAATAATTTGAACTAGTCCGCGAATGAGATCAACAATGTGTCTGTTTTATGATGGATCACCCATATTTGTCTTTGGATATGACGCATACATATAATAATCTGTTGTCTTTTATGTCCGTTGTAATTTAAGTAGAAACCAAACAATTTTATAATGACAGTTCTAAAATTTATCCGTCTGCTTTGTCAAACTTTATCTGCAAGTCAATATATCGCGAGAAAATTTGATCATTTCATAAAAATGTAAAAAGAACATCTGTAACAACGCAAAAACTTCAACAAACAAATAATAAAACTGGTCACCGTGTGTGCTACCGCTCTCTGATCATTTTACAAACGTCAAAGAATTTCGTTTCACCATCATTTTATTTTATAATGTGTGTATATTAGTTTGAATAATTTGTGATATCTCAATGAGATGCACAACTCAAGGGCAGTAAAGAATTGAATTTTCAGCCAGCACTTCTAATTATTCAGTTACTGTATTTCTTATTAAAGTTTGACATTTGTTGTTATAAATCTAACCCGAGCTTTTTTGATGAAAGAGCGACCAGTGCTCGTCTGTCATCGTCTGTTAACTCTTTTTGAAATTTGGAAATCTCCAGAATTTATTGTTCAAACAATCGAACTTAGAACAACAGCGCATTACAAAAGAAGATACAATCTTTTTTAAACATGGAGCTTTGCCCCTTCCAAGGATAGATAACAATACGTTAAAAGGGTCATTTAGAACGAATTCTGCCGTAAGAGAAAAAAATAAATAAGCACTCCTTATAAAATGTAGATTCATATGTGTTCAAAATATGCCATCGTAGCTGGTGTTGTTTTGAGCCCTAGTCTGTAAGCTAGGATCAAAGCTTTTGAACAGGAATATGTAGCAGGAGAGGGGCATTAAAGGGGCATGGGTACACTTGCATTGCTGTTTTGTTTACAATTTGAATTTTTATTTGAAAATTAGCCTCAGTTTAATTACCTGAACTTACATGAAAATTCTTTCAATGAAGACTCCAAATACATTGGCACGATATCTGTTATAATTGTTAATGTTTACGTTTTACCGGTTGTGTTCGATTTGCTGACATCGCTCAAATCACTTACCGCAAACTTGACAACACTGGTTTTGTTTTCTTACAACCCCCCCCCCCCCCCTTTTTAAAAATACTTTTCTTGATTACATTTTTAATAAAGTTTATTGACAGACTTTAGATTTCCCACTTTCCTTGAATATTATGGTATAAATTTTAGGTCATGAAAGTGCAAAGACCGTCACGTGTGACAATCAAACACGCCCAAACTTTTTCAGACAAAAGAAGTTTCTAAACAGATTTATTATTTTTCAAAATAAAATATCAGCCTGAAACGCTCTAGCAATAATTAAGTTATGAAATTCTTCCAAAAATTCTGAAGATAATAAACTTCAGATCTGTATCCTGCTCCATTATATAATAAATTTGAAGAAAATTCGTATAGTGAAGATTTATATTTTCTCTAGTCAAATCATGGCCAACCGGGGTTAAGATAGACTAAGCCACGGTGGGAAGTCTCAGTTTCGGATAAAAATACACAATTGTAAATGTGTACAGAAAAAGTCTTGACTTTGAAGTAAAACTCTAAAGTCCAACTTCGAAGCAAAATAATTGTCCCCAGATTTTGTCTATGAATATGCAAACATTTCCAAATAATGTTTTAGTTTGAGGAAGCCATGATCATAAAAAGCCTGGATGGGATGGGGCCACGATATATCGGAACAAAGTTTTACTTCAGAAAATCGAGGACATATTTAGAGATCTATATAGCTACTTTTTAAGAATTGCATGACTACAGTAAATGAAGTTAATTCTGAATCAAGCCCATGAAGTGTAAATTCAAAGTTTTAAATCTGTTCACATCATTGGAGCTAGCAGGATCGTCACAAGCCACACAGGTTACCTATTTCACAAATTGTCGTAATGGTTTAAGTTTTGTCGTTTTGGTACATGTAGTACGTACATGCATGCTTGGATGAGCATGAGTTAGTATCATCATAGGCTAATAATTCTCGCTTTTATGTCCTGCCTACAAAATGATCGAACCTTAAATGTTTGTCAATCATTCTTTAACAGTTTCGGGGCGTGTTTCCTCTAAAAACTGATTAAAATACAATAATGGCGATAAAAATATCTCATTTTATGTTCCTGCTCAACATCTTCATATCGTCCTCTCAAAATATCAGGTCGATATTTACAAAGCAATAACCAAATGACGTGTCATAAATCGACCCTGAGTATCGGGTTTCTGATAAAAAAATAAGATTCAGATTTCAAAATAGACTGATGTGATAAAATATTATTAGATCTAGTTCATCTTCTGAAGACAGCAAACAATGTTTTATTTTTTCATCCTGGATTCGAAAGAGAGATGATATATCCAGAAGTTTGATACTATCGAAACGTGTGTGATTTAGTTGCTATGGAACCGTCCAAAATCGGGTCGTTCACCCCGTTACGCTATCATAGGTGCGAGCCAATTTCACCTGCGTTCAACTTTCCATCCCAATATCAAAGACTGAAAACGACTTAGATTGTTTGTTTATGCGTTTTAACTCTACACACCGGGTGTTTCTTCGATAGAATTTTAAAAGTCGATTAACATGAGGTTATTGTGAAATCACCTTCGCAATGTCCATTAAGAAATGACAGAGTAAGAAATTGCAGGAGGCTATTAATTCTCTTCGATTTACTTCACGCTTGTGATATATTGATTCGCGCGGTCGACATCCAGGATTTCAACATATAATAGGAAAAAATCCTATGTTTAAAAAGTTGACCACGTGACAACGATTGCAAAACTGCCGTGTGTCGTGAGTTACTTAATCAAAATTTAAGCTAGGAAGAGCTGCGGCTAAAAGGTAGGAAGAAATTGTATCTTATGATAGTTAATGGACATTTTTTTTTACTTTCATTAAATCTATTATCATTTTATCTTGTACACTAAATTAAATTTCCTCCCACAAAAATCTGGAGAAAATTCAAATAATGTACGTGTATATACCTCCATCCCGTCATAAGAACTTTGATAAAGCATATGTTTTATTGGTTATGTGGATCATCTTTTTTCCGTTGATGAGACCAATTGTTGACCTAAAAGTAATGCACTGTTTATTTAAGTTGATGCTGAAATTTAAAATCGATGATTTGTATTAAACATCGTTAATTCACCATGTAACCGGCACATACAAGTGTATGTTCGTTACATTACGGAAGGTGTCTTGTGTACCACAGCGCAAGGATCACAAAATGTGTCAACTTTTGTGCAAAAGATACGTATCTTTTTTCAGTCATTGAAAAAGAAAACATATTTTTGGATCAAGTACCCAAATAAGTTAACCTACATATATGTCCTCCGACATTCCAGTTATCATTATTTTTAAAGTTGACGAGAATCCACGCTGTTCGAAAGCATTTTAGTACTTTTTTTTGGCGTACTCTGATTTTTATTCTTAATATTAAACATACTGTACTTTATGAGAGATTTTATTTTATCAAATAAAAATCTTCAATGTGTAGACATATTTAAGAATTTTATCTGATAGTGTAAAATCTACCAGGGAGGTCAATAACAAGAAACATATCTTATAACACGCAGTTAGGATTTTCTCCGCATATTTAATAAAAGTGTCTTGGAGTTTTCTTCGCCTTTTGCCTGAAAACAGTTGTAAAAAGAAAGGAACATGCTTTTTTCAGTCAAAATTTAACATTCTTAAGCATTATACTATCTGCATCTATCCTCCCCTGATATGGGCCAGTGCATGTAGAATAAATTGTTGATATAGTAAACAATTTAAGTAAACATTGTTATGCACTAAGAATGTCCTCCTTTTAAACTGATTTCAGAGTGACACAAAAATAAAATAGAGTTGATTAACAATGCACTTCCAAGGCCGGGAAATTTGAGACGGGGGTTAAAATAAATGGGATCTTGGTGTTCGATGTCATGAAAATACACACTCTATACTTGGTAGAAGTCGAAATTTACAACAATCAGGGCCAAATTTGTGTGTCATAATTGGATATTTACAATAAACTTTAGACAGAATACTTCATGTCTTGTTTTAAATACGGAATTTCAGCTTGATTTTATTGATTGACGAGAAAGTAAAAAAAAAAGGAAAGAAAGAAAAGAAATACACATACTTGAAACGCATTTTCAACAACTAAATGTATACGTACAGGATATATTAAAGTTAATATGAATTGCAATTTTTCAAAGATCGACATTTCAATCTTCCATTCAAAACCACACTGTAATCTCTACGATGGAATTTAAATGAAAGTTCGCTATTATTTAACGTGATATAGTTACTGTAAACATTATACAAGTCGGTCATCGTCAAGAATGTTGTAAAAGTAAAGGCATTTTATGGTCCATTGAATTAAGCTTGGGTTTTAGGTATTAAGTCAACCGATAAAAAATGTCCAATCTCACTGCTCCAGTATTGGAATCTAGCCATTATATGCACAGAACTATAATCTTTATTTCGCAATTTTAACGAAAATTTGTTCTTTTGTTTACTTTAATCTTCACTAAGGGCGATTTAAAATCACAGACACCCAGGTTAAAATAGAGGACAATGCGCATTTGTAGAAAAAGGCAATTTAGAATTGAGAAATCAAATCAATTTTATGGTGTATTTTGAGGAAATGCGAGAGAAAAAAATCTCACTTAATGATAAAAAAATGATTGAATGATATCATTTTATATTCATTTGAGTGTAAAGAAAAAACGTCAAGACATTAAAAGGAGGTGGATTTTTTTTTACCAAATCTAAAATCATGCTCAAGGAAATGTTTGTTATCTCAACCAGAACATGATTTAAAATTACTTGGTCGGAAATAATAATCTTTAAAGTTACATAATGAGTCGAAATCATGTGTTTCTTTTAAGATTTCTGTACCATGAGGCGAAAACTTGATGAAAATTATGAATATATAGCGAAGGTATATGAGGCAACTAAACTGCACTGCAAAGCAAGAAAAAACCGCACAATATAAGTGCCTGAAAAAAAACCCCAAAGGTTGTATCTACCGTTTCGTCGTTAACTTGCTACATGTATATGTCAAGGTCACATCACTTCTATTTTTTAGCGTAAACTTGTACACAGCTTTCAGTTGGAACATACGAAAGTGATAAATATGTTCTAATAATCTTTTTTGAAGATTGTTGCAAAATTCTTTGTCTACCGACATTCATTTTTTGTACTTGAGACCATGGTAACTTCATCTTTTCCTACGCACGCGCACAATAAGGAGGAAGAAGTAAAGCAGTATTTTCGTATTGGGCCATAAAAAAATATTTTTTTCTCCATAAAAGTAGATTTTTTTTAGGTTTCGAAACCTGTAATTTTCTGAAACCTAATACTTTCAGGAATTGAACAAAATTTGCACGGGCCATGTAAAAATTCTGTGTTTGTAAATTTTCTCGTTTGTGCGTCACATTGTCGCTTTAAATGCAACATTCTCCTTTCAATCAAGGTTTAGTTAAATGTATTTATCCCCCCCTCTCTCTCTCAAGATGTTGAAATTAAAAAGTACAAATAATTTTATATTTTATGCACAGAGAATAAAAACGGGGCTACCCATTATATCTTGACGAGATTCACTTTATTTATTAGAAACAGGTTGGGAGCCTCTCGCAGAAAGACGTAAAATAGCCAACTAGATTTTATGTTTTAAGTACGTCACAATTCGATACCCGATTATTCAAATAAAATTCAGCAAGGTATATAGATTAAAAATATAATACACGCAATCGGGAGGAATACATTTTTCCTAAATGTAGACTCGAAATATGTTATTTCTGATATAGTAAATCAATGGGACAATATAGTTTAATCACAAAAAGCATTACATCTTGTAGTTTTAAAAACAATGTTAACACAAAAACCAACCAACCAAACAAAAAAACCCTCAAAACCTCTTCCTTATTTTTATCATGGAAACAGACGACTAAATATATCATACACACTAAATTCAGATGTAACTGTATTTTGAATTCTGACCTCTTTTTTTTAAATTTACAATAAATATTATTGAGAGTCTCAATTGTTCGTGTGGTACACCAGAGGACTCATATTATTTGTTTGTTTGTTTGTTTGTTTTGTTTTGTTTGCAACAAATATCATCATGTGAAGGAGGAATTTTTTTTGAAGGCCTTTTATGCTTTTTTCAGTTAAATCTTATTGAATGTCACATTCTTCTATGGGAAGACGAAGAACTAAATGATGGTAGATTTAAGATTTACGTAACTTTTACCAAAAAAGAACTCCAGATACATTAACTTGCTTGTTTATAAATCAAAGTTTATCTACAGATAATGACAGTTGTAACTATTTAAGGTGAAAACCTCTTTAAGTTGTAAGGACCTGCGTTCAAACCTCTTGTACAATAAAAATACAATCAAATCTCTCTCTCTCTCTCTCTCTCTCTCTCAGTTTACAATAGGACTGTTAATTTACAAGCTTACGTAACGAACACGGACCTATATGGGGGGGGGGGGGGTTAGGAGGGGATTCTCCCTCGAATTAGCGAAGTTATTAAATACACATAATAAAATAGCTAAAAAATAACCTTGGTTTCCCCCAAGAAAACACTGACCCCTGATTAGTTGCGCCTGCGCAAAAGCAATTCTAAATAAAATATTCGCAAAAAATATATTTTCTTAAATTCAAGGTTGTTGAATAATATTAATTTGGTAAAGCTTGGCTTTTATAGAGGATCTTTAGTTTTTCAAAAGATGTACATGTACAAAGAAATGATCTTTACAAAAAGGTATTCGAATTTGCGAAGTTATTAAATAAACTTAAAATAACTATAAAAAAATTACTTTGGACCCCCACCCCCCACCCCCGGAAAACATGGACCCCTGAGAAGTTGCGCCTGCGCAAAAGCAAATATTCTCCAAAAAAAAATATTTTCTGAAGTTCAAGGTTGTTGAATAATATTAATTTGGTAAAGCTTAGCTTTTATAGGATCTATAGTTTTTCAAAAGATGTACAAGGAAAATATCTTCACAAAAAGCTATTTTAATCCCCCCCCCCCCCATTCGAAAAGCACGACTACAAGTGTTTAAAGAGAAATGCGAACATTCCTAGTAGATTTATTTGTTCTAGTCGTAACCTCAAGTATTGGATATGTATTCGAAGTATACTGAAGTCTTTAAATATCTTTTATGGTCATATATTTTATTTTCTATTTGATAGTGACAGTATGAAGTGTTTCCTTGGGTTTAACAAGCTAGACCTCCGAATTAACACCCCTGAAGATGAGTGGGTGTTTAAGGAAGAGCCACACTCCTCCCGGCGACAGGAAATCCTACGAAAATATCCGGAAATCAAAAAACTGATGGGATATGATCCAACAATAGCTTACATAGTGACAGTCGAGGTTCTCATTCAAATCTTCATGTGCTGGTTATTGAAAGACTCCAACTGGGCTACAATATTCATTCTAGCATACTGTTTCGGGGGTGTCTTAAATCATTCATTAGGTAGTGCTATTCACGAAATTGGCCATAATCTGGCCTTTGGACATAGTCGACCTTGGGCCAACCGACTTCTTAGCATTTGGTGTAATTTGCCAATTGTAGCTCCAATGGCCATAAGCTATAAAAAGTACCATGCTGATCATCACCGGTACTTAGGTGAAGAAAACCAGGATGTTGATATTCCTACGCGACTGGAAAGTTTCTTATTCCGCCACCCAATCACAAAAATATTGTGGCTCATTACCCATCCAATCATCCATGCAATCCGACCCTTTTACAAGAGTCCAAAACCTCTGACCGGTTGGGAGATTATTAACACTATTTGTCAAATGATCTTTAATGGACTTATTCTGTATTTCTTCGGCATTAAGTCCTTAACCTACTTGTTATCAGGGACTTTAATGGCGCTTGGATTCCATCCTCTAGCTGGGCATTTTATTTCCGAACATTATCTGTTCCATGGAAAACAGGCGACAACATCGTACTACGGTCCGCTCAATTTCATTCTATTTAACGTTGGTTATCATATTGAACACCACGATTTCCCATATATTCCCCATACTCGTCTTCCGGAAGTGAGAAAAATCGCGGCGGAATATTATGACCACCCCTACCATACATCCTGGGTAAAGGTGCTGTGGGACTTCGTGTTTGACCGTGAGATGGGACCCCACGCCCGAGGAGTGGGTTACAGAAAGGAAGATGTCAAAGAGGAATAGTGAAATAAATATATTATTGCATATGTGAGTAAAGTTTATGAAGGATGACTGACAATTTCGTACTTTCTACTGTTTCTAGCGTAACTGTACAAAGTGTACTTTTTCTAGCGTAACTGTACAAAGTGTACCTGTGTAAATCAGTGTTTTGCTTGCTTGTTATTGGAACTTTGTTGGTTATGACTGTTGTGGTTTCTTGGACAATTCTTTCGTATTATCGTTCAAAATTTACTGAATATTTATTTTCAAATAAACTTATTGCACTACAACATTAGTTGTTATTTTGCATGACATACAATCATGTTACTAGTATAAGAACTGTCTAACAACACCATGGAGAGAAAATAATAGACGAAGAAACAAAACAACAGAAAGACACAAATTAATATTGATCTGTAGAGAAAAAATCTTGCCTTTGGCCGAAATTTATAAAATAACAAAGCAATTTATTCATTTTTTAGCTTACTTAAGCCGAAGGCTTGTGAGCTTTTGATCGAAGAGTATTCGACGTCCGTTTGTCTTTCGTCTGTAAACTTTTCACATTTTCGACTTCTCTACAGGTCCAAATCTAACCAAACTTGCTAAAAGGCTAAAAACGGAGAGTCAAGTTTGTTGAAATGACCACGCTTTTTTTTAAGGGGAGATAAACAAGAAATAATGAAAATTAGGTTGAGTTATTTGAAAATCTTTAAGAATCACTGGACCAGAGATGATGAAACTTTTATGATAGCTTCCTGATATATTTAGATTCAAGTTCAATAAATATTTCAAATCATGAGGACACGTGCACAATAAGAGATCAAAGGGTTACAATGGAATATGTTAGAAAAAAAATCTTGTGAAAAACTGCAGGGCCCTGATTAGTGATCTAGATACACAAGCATCCTCAGATAGTGCAGCTTCAATTTTAATGTTCATATAATTTTGTTCATATCTTGGGCTTTGGGGGGGAGGGGGGGGGCTACAATATTAATTCAAGTGATATTCCTGTGCTAGCATCCTCAGTTAGTGCGCATTCAAATTTGTCCAAATCATGGTCAGGGGCGAGGGAGGTCGGGGTAATAGGGGATCAAGTTTAACATGGGAATGAAAACATGTTTAAAATCTTCCGTTTCAAGAAAAACAGGACCATAATTAGACTTCTAAATATGCAACCATCTTTTAGGTTGTGTATATTCAGGGGCCCATTGTACGAAAGAACTTACGTCTAAGACCGAAAACTTAAATTGATTGTAAAATTTCGCAAAATAAATGATTTTGTTTAAAATTACTAGCGTAAAAATATCTTACTACATTCCTTTAAAAAAAATCACAACCATTTTCAATATAATGTAAATGGAACAGTTACAAGCAAAATAAAATGTTGGTCTTAGTCGTAAGTTCTTTTGTAAAAACGGGCTCCAGAAGGCTTTCAGATAACACTCAGTTTCTTGTGGATATATCAATGAAAACACTGAACACTTCTTCCTGTACTGTTAAAATAATGCTGAAATAAGAACAGAATTATTTCACATCATAAAAAAAGGAGCAATAAAAAAGGAGCAATAAACCTTGACATAATTCTATTTGGGGACCCAAATTTGGGTCAACAAATAATATCAACATTGTTAAAGCCGTACATAAGTATATCAAAAAATCCAAAAGATTTTTTATGAATAACCAGCGTAACCATTCTGTATCTTCTACGACCCCTCCCTTCTTTCTTCTCTCCTTGCACTCCTATTTTTTTCCTTTCTTAATTCTCTGCACCTTTTTTTCCCTTCTTTTGTTCTATTGTACATTTGTTGGTTGTACATCACGTGTATCTGTTTTTAGCTCACCTGAGCTGAAAGCTTAAGTGAGCTTTTCTGATCACCCATTGTCCGTCGTCTGTCCGTCCGTCCGTCTGTAAACTTTTCACAATTTTGACTTCTTCTCAAGAACCACTGGGTCAATTTTAACCAAACTTGGTACAAAGCATCCTTGGGTAAAGGGAAGTTTAAATTTTAAAAATGAAGGGCCAAGTCATCATCAAAGGGGAGATAATCAAGATAATACAAAAATTGGGTGGGGTCATTAAAATATCCTCTTCTCAGGAGCCACTGTGCCAGAAAGGCTGAAACTTATGTGGAAGCATCCTGGGGTAGTGTAGATTCTAAATTGTTCATATCATGACCCCCGGGGGTAGGGCGGGCCACAATAGGGAATCTAAGTTTTACATTGAAATATATAGTAAAAATCTTTAAAAATCTTCTTCTCAAGAACCACTGGGCCAGAGAAGCTGAAACTTATGTGGAAGCATTCTGGGGTAATGTAGATTCTAAATTGTTCAAATCATGACCCCCGGGGGTAGGGCGGGGCCACAATAGGGAATCCAAGTTTTACATTGAAATATGCAGAAAAAATCTTTAAAAATCTTCTTCTCAATAACCATTGGGCCAGAAAGGCTGAAACTTATGTGGAAGCATCCTGGGGTAGTGTAGATTCTAACTGTTCAAATCGTGACCCCTCGGGGTAGGGCGGGGCCACAATAAGTACTACGGCGGGGGGGGGGGGAGGTGAGAGAAATCAGGTGAAAAACAGCAACGCCAAAGTTACTCAGGTGAGCGCTGTGGCCGATGGGCCTCTTGTCATTTTGTTTGTGTTGAAGAGGACAATCTAAGTTGGAATAACTTGTGTCCAATCCCATTGATTGTGTTTCAATAAAATATGTTTAAATCAGAAATCCAGAGGCTCAAGTGAACTTTTCTGATCGAAAGGAGATGGGCGAACATAGCATGCAGAAAGCCTATAGCTTCAGAAATATAAAAATCATGTTCAATTTGTGAATTTAATATTTAGAGTAAAGTTCTCATTATTGAAATTTATGTAATTGTGATAAACAAAACTTTTCTGAGGAAAATTTTCTCGGCAAAATTTATTCTTTTATTAAAAAAAATTAATGTGGTATTCGTGGGGTTCGAACCCTAGCAATAAAAATCCTGAGAATCATTTTCTTTCGAGACTAGCACGCTAACCACTAGGCTACACAGGTCCTGACGAACAGTGGCATTTAAATCATGTTTGTGATATGACCCTTGACTTAATGGACTTCAAGTATTTCTCGAAAAGATGCGAACGTTATGTCATAAAAGTATATTTTTAAGGTATAGTGGGTCATTGCTCCATATTTTTGGCAGGCAAAAAATGTATATCTTTATGCAAACTTTGAGGATTAACTTTCAAAAAGCCGGAGCGAAGACCCACTCATATCGAAAAATAGTGTTATAGTATGCGAAAATGACTCTTTTTGCCCGCTTTAGTGTGTGTCTAATATTTCACAGGCAAATAATTTCAAACTTTGAGGAATTTTTGCAAATTGTAGAGATTTTACATAAAGTATATTTTAATGTTAGACGAAATATCAAGGAAAATTTTGTTATAATAGAAATTTAATTTTTCATCTTCATGTTTGTCACACTATAGGCTTATCGCTCGTCATGTTCACCCATCTCCTTTGTCCGTTATCTGTCGTAGTTGTCGTCGTCGTTGTCGTCGTAAACTATTCACATTTTCATCTTCTTCTCAAGAACCACTGGGCCAATTTGAACTAAACTTGCCACAAAGTATCCTTGGGTAAAGAGGATTCAATCTTATTCTAATGGAGGACCACGCTTTCTTCGAAGGGGAGATAATTATGATTTTGTGAAAAATTAATGGCATCATTTAAAAATCTTCTTCTCAAGAACCACTATGCTTGAAAACATGAAACTTATGTGGAATGATTGTGAGGTAGTGTAGATTCAAATTTGTCCAAATCATGACCCCCGGGGGTAGGATGGGGCCACAATGTGGGATCAAAGTTTAACATAGGAATACATAAAAATCTTTAAAAATCTTCTTCTCAAGAACAGTAAAGCCATGATTAGTCATATTTATATGGAAGCATCCTCAGGCAATCTAGATTCAGTTTTGTTCAAATCATGACCCCTGGGCATAAGGTGGGGTCACAATAGGCGATCAAAGTTTTTCATAGGAATACATAGAGAAAAATCTTTAAAAATCTTCTCAAGAACAGCAAAGCCATGATTAGATATATTGATATGGAAGCATCCTCAGGTAGTTTGTATTCAAGTGTTCAAATCATTACCCCCCGAGGATAGGGTGGGGCCACATTGGGCGATCAAAGTTTTACATAGTAAAAAATCTTTAAAATTCTTCACAAGAACAGCAAAGCCATGATTAGTCATAATAATATGAAAGCATCCTCAGGTAATGTAGATTTAAATTGTTCAAATCATGACCCCCAGGAGAATAGAGGGGTATAACAGGAAATCATAGTAATACAAAGGAATATAAAGGATATATCAATAAAAAAAAATTCATCTTAAGAACTTCAAATCCATAGTGTATCTTATTAAGTCAAAAGCACCCTTAGGAAGTGTAGATTCAAGTGTTCATATCATACCCCCCCCCCCCCCCCCCGAACCACTTTGATATTTAATTATATTTAAACTTCAAATTCAGTTCAATACTGAACTGATTTCTGCTTTTTCCTAGCCAAAGTGCTCAGGTGAGCAATGTGGCCCATGGGCCTTTTGTTTTCATTATCTTAGAACAGAAAGGTAGAGGTGCATGACTTAGGTGAATGTTGTGGCCCATTGGATTCTTGATTTTTTTTAATACAGTGTACCCTCTGAATACGTATTAAGATTTTGGTTTCTATCAAGTTCTTCAACACATCATTAAATTTAACTGAGTATCGATTTTTTGTGTGATTTATTTATGTCTTGCTAAGACACTTCGAACCATTTTTTTTTTTATCAAGGCTGTTGTAAGACATGACCTAATGTTTACGTGTATATAGAAGAGAATGTTCTAATGTCAAGGACATTGTCACCTACTTGATCCATCAACAGTCTGGTTGTAGTCTCACTAAAACTCACCAGAGCAACTTTGAACTCCTCGGGTATTATAATTTGCTGAACACCGAAAAAGAAGGGTTCCGAAAACATTCCTAGGTGTGCAGAAGTATCACACAAACGTTATATTTCAAGGTAAATTATTCACTGAAGTGTGGCTAGGAAGTCACAAGCATGTGGAGACATGGTAAACAGAAAAGTTTTGTCTGTAAGCGCATTTTTCATGGTGTCTATAAGAAAGAGACCATAACAATTTCCTGTTTACTGCCAATTCTTTTTTGTGTTCTACTAAATATTTGAATGGGTCACCTAACCAAGTCCACGTCTCTTGAATCACAATAACATTATCGTAGGGGTGTTTTGGAGCAATTAACAATAATGTCTTATAA